ACGTATATTTGCATTCACATTTTTTATTAGCGTGAGTTTAATGTATTTTTAAATTACCTCCTTTGTCAAAATTAGAAAAGAGTTAAATTCATTTGATTTTTCTAACCTACAGTTATTACGTTATTAAAATGTATCCACTTTTTCTAGGAATATTAACGAAAACAATATTTGACATTGATCCTTTTAATATGTTTTAGCAATGTGCGTGTATTTAATATTCTCTTTACGTTATGCAAAGTTGTACAAACAGTGGAAATTATAAAATAGCTCTATGCCGCTATATAAACAAACCCTACTCTATTACTTATAATAAGACACTGCGGTGCACTGAAAAGCACAGCATGGTGCGTAGTTTACTTTTATAGTCCCAAAATCTATAGCGATGACGGACGGAAGGAAGGAAGGAAGGACAGACACAGCCCGCTTATATTATAGATGTTAGAAAACGAATTTTAGACATCATTTCGCGTTTTAGAAAACCGTTTTAATAAATTGTAATAGGAATTGATTAAAATACTCAATTTTGACAGACAAGATTTTAGAAAAATATCGATGTTTTTAAAAAAATTCAACAGGGGGTTGTAGGCTGAGGTGTGACGTCATTTTAGGGGAGGGGTCTGGCTTTTTGTGACGACGTGTGACGGAGGGGAGGGGAGGTAAAAAAATCGTTTAAAAAAGCGTGACGTCATTTATGGATGACCAGTGTTTCTTCCAGACTTTTTCTCCGAATCTATAAATGGCGTCACACCCCGAGAAGGGGGAAAACCTATCGGACTTTGTAACCATTTGTGGCGAAGGGAGTGGTGCTGATGGAAGAGATAAAAAAAAATCGCAGGGATGAGAACAAACGTGTGTTAACACAGTTTATATAACACAATATATTGATACACATTCACTAAATTTTTATAAGTAAAAGGCGCACCCATATATAGATCTATAACTTTAAGTACGGGGTCGTCCATGAATGACTTCACACTCGTAGGGGAGAGGTGGGAGGTCCGTAATTTTGTGACGGTGTGTAATGAGGGGGAGGAGGGGGGGTTCAGAAGGTGCGACGTCACACTTTTGCATTATAAACAACTAGCTGCATCCCGTGCTCCGCCACGGTAAATCTTTTTAAAATGTACCAACTTTGGAACAGAACAAAACTAAACACAACACAAACGAACGCAAAAAAACAACAAAAAAAAACGAAAAAACAAACACAACACTCATAACATAAACACAATTTAAATGCAATCGTAAAGGCATATTGCTCACAGTCTAGCCCGTAGCGCCAAATCGCGCCCTTTCCGGTGATTTGCACCCCTTTCAAACTTTCGATTTGCACCTCTGCCCCCCCCCCCCCCGCCCTAAAACTTTCGATTTCCACCCCCCCCCTCGCAAATTTTTTCCAACCCAATTTGGCGCCCCCTAAGGTCGGCACCCGGGGACATATGCCCTCCCCTCGCTACGCCTCTCCTATAAAACCCCTAGCTTGTCCTCAAACCGAAAGATAGAATAATAATTAGTAAACAGTATAAATAATAGGCAGTATTTAAAATATCCGTGTTTTACCTACAATATTTCACTTTATCCATTCACGCATTTTTTTCCCAGTACTTTAAATTTTAAAAATTTACAATAGTTTCATAACTAAAACCATTGCGCACCTAATGAACGTGATGACGCGTCTATAATAGTGCTGAATAGTTGATTAAAAATTATAAGTAATAAACAGTAGGGCCTACATTCAGTGAATAAAATAAATAAAAGATTGCCTTTTATCAATCCATGCTAATTATAATTTTCTAACAATAATTTCCTCTTACACATCCACATAATTTGCATTCACATTTTGCTAATTATATTATTGCAACACTAATTCCTTCTATGACGAACGTATATTTGCATTCACATTTTTTATTAGCGTGAGTTTAATGTATTTTTAAATTACCTCCTTTGTCAAAATTAGAAAAGAGTTAAATTCATTTGATTTTTCTAACCTACAGTTATTACGTTATTAAAATGTATCCACTTTTTCTAGGAATATTAACGAAAACAATATTTGACATTGATCCTTTTAATATGTTTTAGCAATGTGCGTGTATTTAATATTCTCTTTACGTTATGCAAAGTTGTACAAACAGTGGAAATTATAAAATAGCTCTATGCCGCTATATAAACAAACCCTACTCTATTACTTATAATAAGACACTGCGGTGCACTGAAAAGCACAGCATGGTGCGTAGTTTACTTTTATAGTCCCAAAATCTATAGCGATGACGGACGGAAGGAAGGAAGGAAGGACAGACACAGCCCGCTTATATTATAGATGTTAGAAAACGAATTTTAGACATCATTTCGCGTTTTAGAAAACCGTTTTAATAAATTGTAATAGGAATTGATTAAAATACTCAATTTTGACAGACAAGATTTTAGAAAAATATCGATGTTTTTAAAAAAATTCAACAGGGGGTTGTAGGCTGAGGTGTGACGTCATTTTAGGGGAGGGGTCTGGCTTTTTGTGACGACGTGTGACGGAGGGGAGGGGAGGTAAAAAAATCGTTTAAAAAAGCGTGACGTCATTTATGGATGACCAGTGTTTCTTCCAGACTTTTTCTCCGAATCTATAAATGGCGTCACACCCCGAGAAGGGGGAAAACCTATCGGACTTTGTAACCATTTGTGGCGAAGGGAGTGGTGCTGATGGAAGAGATAAAAAAAAATCGCAGGGATGAGAACAAACGTGTGTTAACACAGTTTATATAACACAATATATTGATACACATTCACTAAATTTTTATAAGTAAAAGGCGCACCCATATATAGATCTATAACTTTAAGTACGGGGTCGTCCATGAATGACTTCACACTCGTAGGGGAGAGGTGGGAGGTCCGTAATTTTGTGACGGTGTGTAATGAGGGGGAGGAGGGGGGGTTCAGAAGGTGCGACGTCACACTTTTGCATTATAAACAACTAGCTGCATCCCGTGCTCCGCCACGGTAAATCTTTTTAAAATGTACCAACTTTGGAACAGAACAAAACTAAACACAACACAAACGAACGCAAAAAAACAACAAAAAAAAACGAAAAAACAAACACAACACTCATAACATAAACACAATTTAAATGCAATCGTAAAGGCATATTGCTCACAGTCTAGCCCGTAGCGCCAAATCGCGCCCTTTCCGGTGATTTGCACCCCTTTCAAACTTTCGATTTGCACCTCTGCCCCCCCCCCCCCCCGCCCTAAAACTTTCGATTTCCACCCCCCCCCCTCGCAAATTTTTTCCAACCCAATTTGGCGCCCCCTAAGGTCGGCACCCGGGGACATATGCCCTCCCCTCGCTACGCCTCTCCTATAAAACCCCTAGCTTGTCCTCAAACCGAAAGATAGAATAATAATTAGTAAACAGTATAAATAATAGGCAGTATTTAAAATATCCGTGTTTTACCTACAATATTTCACTTTATCCATTCACGCATTTTTTTCCCAGTACTTTAAATTTTAAAAATTTACAATAGTTTCATAACTAAAACCATTGCGCACCTAATGAACGTGATGACGCGTCTATAATAGTGCTGAATAGTTGATTAAAAATTATAAGTAATAAACAGTAGGGCCTACATTCAGTGAATAAAATAAATAAAAGATTGCCTTTTATCAATCCATGCTAATTATAATTTTCTAACAATAATTTCCTCTTACACATCCACATAATTTGCATTCACATTTTGCTAATTATATTATTGCAACACTAATTCCTTCTATGACGAACGTATATTTGCATTCACATTTTTTATTAGCGTGAGTTTAATGTATTTTTAAATTACCTCCTTTGTCAAAATTAGAAAAGAGTTAAATTCATTTGATTTTTCTAACCTACAGTTATTATGTTATTAAAATGTATCCACTTTTTCTAGGAATATTAACGAAAACAATATTTGACATTGATCCTTTTAATATGTTTTAGCAATGTGCGTGTATTTAATATTCTCTTTACGTTATGCAAAGTTGTACAAACAGTGGAAATTATAAAATAGCTCTATGCCGCTATATAAACAAACCCTACTCTATTACTTATAATAAGACACTGCGGTGCACTGAAAAGCACAGCATGGTGCGTAGTTTACTTTTATAGTCCCAAAATCTATAGCGATGACGGACGGAAGGAAGGAAGGAAGGACAGACACAGCCCGCTTATATTATAGATCTATAGCGATGACGGACGGAAGGAAGGAAGGAAGGACAGACACAGCCCGCTTATATTATAGATGTTAGAAAACGAATTTTAGACATCATTTCGCGTTTTAGAAAACCGTTTTAATAAATTGTAATAGGAATTGATTAAAATACTCAATTTTGACAGACAAGATTTTAGAAAAATATCGATGTTTTTAAAAAAATTCAACAGGGGGTTGTAGGCTGAGGTGTGACGTCATTTTAGGGGAGGGGTCTGGCTTTTTGTGACGACGTGTGACGGAGGGGAGGGGAGGTAAAAAAATCGTTTAAAAAAGCGTGACGTCATTTATGGATGACCAGTGTTTCTTCCAGACTTTTTCTCCGAGGATGGGGGGGGGGGGCACTTGAAATTCTCGGGGGGGGGGGGGGGGGAGGGCGGTAGACTTTCTTCGGGGTGGAGGGCCCTGCCCCCCCCCCCCCCCCGAAGAGATGCCCTACAACCTTTGCAAGATCAATGACTACTGAAATATTTGGCTACATAATATAGATATCTATCTGTCTGTCTGTCTGCCTGTCTGTCTGTCTGACTGCCTGCCTGTCTGTCTGTCAATATATATATATATATATATATATATATATATATATATATATATATATATATATATATATATATATATATATATATATATATATATATAGGCTATTTAACAGAAGTTTTAGGCCTTAATTTTTATTTTGGTTCGGACAACACAGATTTCCACTCAGGCTTTGTTTATTCGTGGAAAAATCCAATTTTATTGAATTAGCTCCCCTATTTTCAAGGAAAGTATAGATTTAGCTCTATCAAAAATGGCGGCTAGTGTGAATGGAGTTCTTGAAAAATCACTTGCTGATAATATAAAAACATGTAAATTGTTAATGGTTGGTGCCGGTGGTATCGGCTGTGAACTGCTTAAAAACCTCGTTTTAACAGGCGTCACAGATATACATATGGTAATTAATTATTAAAGTTTTGTAGCCTAATTAATTAGCGCCCTCCATCCAATTCCAAAATGAAATGTTCTAAAATTCTAAAAATAAATTTTTTTTTTTTTTTATTGAGAACCGAGCCAGTTTCGAACTAGAGTACTTATGAGTACTAGACTAGACTCTTGAGTCTACTTGTGAAAATAAAAACCTATAGAGCTAGCTTGACTAATCTAATCTAGATCTAGAATAATCTAGATCTAGCTAGATTGAACAGATTCTTCTAAGACTAAGTTCTATCTATTGCAAAGTCTTGTGCATGGTCAAACTCAAACAACCTTCTGTTTTTCGCCCAATACACTCTAATAATTTTTTGGATGTTTTATAGAAAACTACCACTTTTTGTTGTACACATTTCCATTTCTAAACACATCCAGGTCAAATTCTTTTGTTTCCACCTTCTGGAAGACGTTTAAATTTTCTAAATTGCGAGGTACGACATATCTCGTATACACTAGTAGTATACAATACAGGTCACATTCACGTATGAAAAGCACTATCTAGGTCCCGGATTAGACAAATAAATTCAACCAATCAAAGCTTTTAAAATTAGATTAAAATAAATAGCTTCTACAAACGTGTTGTACACTGTAAATACTAAATACTACAGTTAAAGCTATTAAAAAAGCAATCTTAGTGGAGAAATGGGGTGCCCGCAGTTGGGATTTTTATTTTTGGGCATTTACCCTCGCTGCGTAACCAACGACTTGAACTAGACTAGCCTAGATCTAGATCATAGATGTCTAGATCTAATCTTGATACTCTATATCTTATATATTTTCTAAAGTTTCCATTATCTACTTCTTCTAGATCTAATTCTAGTTTGTATCTCTACACACAAACATGTCCAAGCAACCAGTAAAAAATAAATATCAAACAGTATTTTAGTAATACTGGCTCTTCTGAAAATAGGTGTGTTAGGTTGTTAGAAATAGGTGTGTTAGGTTGTTAGTACAAGTACAGTAGTAGTATTGTAATCTTGACTAGTTTTATGGTTAGAAATTAAGGTTAGGGGATAGGAAGACTAACTAGGGTTAGGGATAGTTCTAGCATTGTGACTTTAGCAAGCCATGTGTGTATAATTTAGTGTTTAGTTAAATACCAGTAACTTAACACCCCCTTTAAGTTTTTTTTTTATTTGAAGACCTTTGGTCAATCATTGAAGTAACTCTGTTTTTTCCCCAACAGATTGACCTTGACACAATAGATGTCAGTAATCTCAACAGACAGTTTTTGTTTCGTAAGGAACATGTTAAAAAATCAAAAGCTCAGGTAAAAATACTTTTTATGTTTACTGTTTTTATGTTGCGTTGATCCCTCAAATGTAATATGGCGGAGGTTGAAAGATTGGGGCTTGTAGGTCAGGTATGTCTGGGATGTAGATAGGGAGGGTAATCAGATTCAATGTGGTAATTGTCTCAAAACCACAATTTAAAAAAACAACTGGTTAACAGCCTATCTATTCCAATTTTGAGTGCCAACTGCACTTGTGGAAATGTCTTCAGAACTTGTTAATGATTTTTGTATATTTAATATTTAATGTGTTGCTATTGAGTTTATGCTAGTTTTCATTTTGATGTTTGCAATTAGGTGGCCAAGGAGAGTGCTCTTAAGTTCAACCCAAAAGCCAACATTGTTGCTGACCACAACAGTATCTTTAGGTACAGGTCCTTGTTTCATCAGCTTATTGTTCACATTAATACAAAAACAGTTAAAAAGAATATATTTTAAGCAGTGTAACAATTTTAATAACTCATGTTCACTATAAAAATAGTGTGTCGATCAAATCATGTTTATATATAATAACTTAAGTTAACAGAACTCATTGTTACTTTAGCCTAAGTTATTATAAATACTTTGATTATCAGTTTATATCTTATTTCAGCTCAGAGTATGGTGTAGATTTTTTCAAGCAGTTTACTATGGTTCTCAATGCCTTAGATAACAGAGGTACTTTAAAATTTTATTTTTGGAATAGTTAGACCATGTTTCATTGATGTTTGATTTAATAACTGTACCTTAAATAATTCATGACAACTGCATTGTTTCTGTTCAGCTGCTCGTAACCATGTGAACCGCATGTGTCTGGCTGCAAAGATACCATTAGTAGAGAGTGGAACAGCTGGTTATCTTGGACAAGTTACTGTTATCAAAAAGGTTAATTGGTGCAATTAGACATTAGTGGTATAGGATATGTTAAAGTTAAATAGGTGATGCTTCCAGTCATTTTTCAGTTTATTTAAAAAAAATATATAACTACAATTGTAAATTATTTTTTACGCAATAATTTGTTGATTAATGAAACCAATTAATCATTTCTGTTGTAATCAGGGTGAGACGGAATGTTATGAATGTCAGCCAAAACCAACACAGAAAACATTCCCCGGATGCACTATTAGGAACACCCCTTCCGAACCCATCCACTGTGTTGTATGGGCCAAACATTTATTTAAGTAAGTCGGCCATAAATCTAAAAAGTATCGGGCAAACTTAATTTTTACTTCTTACCCATCTTTAAAAAACACAGCATGATAGAAAAAAAATTCTTTTTTGTTTGTTTGATTGTTTCTTTCCACTAATAGCCAGCTGTTTGGTGAAGATGACCCAGACCAAGATGTGTCTCCAGACACAGCAGATCCAGAGTTGTCTGGTATGTTAGGTTCTGTTTGTATGGTGCTAAAATCTTAGTTCTTAGTCATTTAGTGCATTAGACACTATCAATTCCCTTCAATAACTTGATTGATACCATACATTTATATTTTATTTTGAAACATTTTAATGTGACATTTGAAAAAAGGATGCCTCTGCTACTACATTTGCCTAGAACTAAAAATTATCTTATGTGATTTGACTTAGCCTAAAAAATTCTTTACTTTAAAAGCTGAAGCTGGACAGACTGCCCTAACTACTGAAGCCAAGAAAGATACTGTGGGTGGCATTGAACGCAAGTCTACTCGTGCATGGGCCATGGAGACTGGCTATGATCCACAGAAAATCTTTAACAAGGTTAGAGTCTATTTGGTTTTTTTCCCTGATTAATTAGTTGCTTTGAAGATTATCTTCAATGAATTTGATTTTCTACTAAACACTTAAAACTTAGGAAACTAACTTTACCACTGTATTTTCCCTGCACAGTTATTCAGGGACGACATAAAATACCTTCTCTCTATGGAGACTTTGTGGAAAAAACGTCGACCTCCACAACCTTTGGACTATGACAATTTACCAGAGAAAGGTAAAGTTCCTTTCCACTTTTTGAATCTTTTAATGAGACAATTATTTTGTAATCTCTGCTGTAAAAATTTATTGTCTCTGTATTTCTACTGCTAGTGGAGAGCACTGGTACTTCAGTTATGAGGGATCAGCGTGTCTGGCCTGTGCAGGAATGTGCTGAAGTGTTTGGTAAATGTTTAGAAGCTCTCAAGGGAAACCTGGCTCAGCGAGGAGAGGGAGGCACACTTGTCTGGGACAAGGTAATAGTTTTTAATCATCATTGTTACTGTTATTTAATTATGATAAATATTATGGTCTGTCAGTATAGCTATTCACTGACCTCTCGTGTACCAACATGCACAGATATTCATTGATCAGCCTTGTTTCAAGATGGTATCCATTTTGTTTCAACTTAAATATTTAGCAAGTCAAATAGCAAACCAACTATCTAAAAATTCCAGATTTCAAGTTATAAAATAAAAGTGCCTATGCAAATTTATCTTTGTTTAGAAACTGTTTTGATCAGGAGCTACCTCTACAATATGGTATGTAGGGAATAATTTAATTGTATTGTCTGTTTCAGGATGATGACAGCTGTATGGACTTTGTCACTTGTGTTGCTAACATCAGAGCTTGTGTTTTTGGAATCCCTCTCAAATCCAGATTTGATATTAAATGTGAGGTTCAAATGAAATTTATACTATTGTCTGTATTGTAAGGGTTTAAATTAAAAATTATTTTTTTAGAAACTTAGCAATAAAGCATTTTATGTTATCTTAATATTTCAAAACTTATTTTTAATAATCTGTGTAGCTTACTCCAATGATGTGTCTCATTCATTAGAATGTAACTCTAATTTCTACAGTATATTATCAGTGTTTTAATAGATACTTGCAATCTTCTTACATGAAAAATCTTACTCTCCTCAGCAATGGCTGGCAACATTATTCCTGCTATTGCCACAACCAATGCCATTATTGCTGGTCTCATAGTGATGGAGGCCCTTAAGATTCTTTCTGGCAATATATCCAAATGTAAACAAGTAAGTGCATCGGTTTCCAGAGCTTCAAGGATATTGAAAATTTTTATTTATTTAAATAATTTTAGAAACTTATAATATGCAAAAGAAATCCTGTGCTTGTAGAAAATTTAAAACAACACTTTATTTAGAGCAATAATAGCTACTTTTAAAAGCTTATTGGAACTCAGGATTGTGGAGAAAGTGCAGGGTTAAATCGTCTAGTTTTGTACTGTATTTCTAGAGAATTTGTGCATGCACAAACTTCAAACATTAAACCTTTATTAGATGTAAGCAACATGCTGGTGAACTATTAAGCTTTTTTTTTTAAAGAGAAAATTAATATTTAAAAAATATCTCATCCTCAGATCTACCTGAACCGCATTCCAAATGACAGAAAACGTCTGCTGGTACCTTGTGCACTAGACCCACCCAACCCTAAATGTTACGTGTGTTCTGAAAAACCTGAGTGTACTGTTGTCCTTAACACCACAAAAACAACTGTCAGGATGCTACAGGATAAGGTCAGCCAACTATTATCTGTACACATTAGGGTAGTAAAGCATCTTGAGCATCAATATATAAAATATGTGGGAAACAAAAATCTTTCAAAACATCAATAAACAAACACACCTTTTTTAATCTAAAAATCCTAGGTCCAGTGTTAAGTGTGTGCATTAGTTTTGTTTCTCATAACTCTTTATAAAAAACAGTTGATATAGGTTTATTTTCCTGATGTATGCATTTGTCTTTCTTAATTTTCTTGTTAAAAAAAAAACAAATCAATTTCAGATTCTCAAAGGTCACTTAAACATGATTGCACCAGATGTTGAAATTGATGATGGTAAAGGTACGGGATTATTTGTTACATTATTTTAATTTTTTTGCTTTAATTGTAGATGCTCGAACACTTTCATGAAGTTCTCTAGCTCCAACCTGTTACATTGTACACTACAGAATTCTTATTCTGCATGATTTAAAGAATAAATTAAGAAAATTGATAAGCCAACTAATAAATGTAACATTCACCAAAATGCCATGCTGTGTGAATTTTATTTATTTTGTATTTAAAATGATCTAACAATATTTTAGTCTTAAGAAATGTTTAAAAAAAAAAGATAAGTAGATGGATAGGAATAATGTTTCTATGGCAATAGCTCAATCTACACAAGCCATATAATTGTTACGTTTAAATTATAAATCATTCTGTGAAAATAATATTTGACCATGCTGAAATGTGATTGTTTCAGGAACCATTATTATTTCCTCTGAAGAAGGAGAAACAGATGGTAAATGTTTTTACAAGTATTTTCTTCTAATGTTATTTATACTATATATCTTATTTCCTCAAATGTGTTAAAATATAAGAGCATCACACTAGGGTATCAATAAAATGAATATACACCCCCATTTAAATTTTCAGAAAACAATGATAAATTTTTGAGTGACTTTTCTATAATTAACAACACAAGACTGAAGTGTGATGACTTCCTTCAGAACTATGAACTCAACATCACTATTGTTCATGTGTAAGAAGCCTATTTTATTGTTTTAAAATTAAGCATTAATTGTAATACAATGAGGTTTGCTGTTAAAGTTATTTTAGTACCATGCATTTATGCTACTGTAATTTGTGCTGCATTGTATAATGATGCTTTTGTCATCAGGACTGTTCATCAGATAGGTCCTAAGTAAGTTCACCCAACAAAAAGGTTATGTTAATTTACAAAGTGTTGTTTTGATTGTAGAGAGAAGCTAGACAAAGAAAAAGAGTTTGAAGTTGTAGGAGACCTCTCACAGCTACAACCCAAGGAAGAGCGCAACGGAACTGCCAGTAAAAATGGAGAATCTTCTAGAGGTCGTTAGATCTAACAAGTGTTTCATTTATTGAATATAAGTATTTAGTTGAGACAGAATATAATTGTTTTAAAACATTCCATCCAACACAAGAACCAGATAATAGAACAGTACGGCTGTATCTAAATTGTCTTATAACTTTCTCTAGCTGTAGAATTTTTAAAATCTTAACTTTATTGTGATACATTTTTAACTTAAATATGTTAATAATCTGCTCAAATTTATATAATTGCATATTTTAAAAATTGTTTTATGAAATGCAATTTTTATTGTATATACTCTTGTGTAGTAATTTTACAAAAAAATACGTTCATATTTGTTTATATGGAATTATATTTTTAAGATGCCTTTGCAACTCATATAAAATGTTTTATATTTTGGTGAGAAATTTAAAAAAAGGAAAAATGATTATTCTAATAACCTAAAAATTCCCATGTTTGTTATACACATATTTAAAAAAAACAACAGAAAACAAATGCAAGTAAATATGTATATGTATGACTTATGTATTGATCCACTGTTAGGTAATAACCACATAAAATTGTATTTATTGCCTGCTTTCCTTCCGTACTGTGAATCTTGAATTAAATTGCCATAGATCGTTAAATCACAACTAAGATAACACTTTAAAAAATTTATTAATCGAACTTTATTAAATTATTTAATAGCTCAATATAACAATTATAAATTGTTTTTTTATAACCAAATTTAAAGTTTACAAATTTTAAATGCTTTTAGTGCTTTAAAACAAATTCTTTTCCGTGTGTTTGATTTTAACTCCTTCCCAGCACATATTTAAAATATATTGAAGTAGCTTATCCTTAGTTACCAAGTAAAAAAATGAGTACTAAATGCATGCTGACAAGATCAGATAACTCCTAGTTGAATGTCTGCCTCTACCACTGCCCCATGTTTCCTTTGCAGCCAAGGCAGATGAAGATGATGATTTGGTGCTGATGGAGGATCAAGAGGATGATGAGATGCCAGAGCAAATTTCTCCAAACACTGGCAGGAAGCGTCCAGCTGAATCTAATGATGAGGATTCCATTATTAAAAGAAAGAAGCAAGAGTTGGCTGGTGGAGACAGTGGACAGAGTGATCATGTTATAGAAATATTATAGTCGTTATGTGAACATGCTACAGACATCACTACACCACTGCCCTTTTTTTATCGTTTTCTTTGGTGTAATTTTTTTCTAGCGTGTTTACTAAATTTGAAGAAAAAAAACTAATTCTCAAAATTTGATCAAGTTTAGTTGACTTTCCCCAGAGTGAACCTCAAAGATTTCAGTTTTAGATTCACAAGAGCTAGTTCAGTAACAATGTTAACTACTAATCATATCTGTAGCCTGAGTTAGGCTATTGTCTAAGATGTTATCATTTTTCTTGTTTGCATATTCAACTCATTTATTAATTCAAAATGTTGGTAGTTTGGTGATCTACACAACTACTTTAATTTTATTTTTAACAGTAGAAAAAAATTCCTGTCATAATCATATTCGTTTAAGAATATTTTTATACATCCCAGTTGTAAAATGTTAAATTGCTTTTATAATAAAAAGTACTTTCGTGTTTCGTCCAGAATTTTAAAAAACAATAGATAAATTTCATGTATTACTTTTGTTGTTGCTGTAAAATTCTGTAGAATTTGATAAGAAAATTTTTGGTTGGCGCAGGAAGTCCAACATTAGAACATTAATTTTCTACCCTACGTTTTGCTGGTTGTGTACAGGTTGGAAATCAACAAAACTGAATATATTTTTCAGGGACCATTTACATTTTTTAATTTTAGTAAAATATTTTGATCTGATACATTTTTGTTACTAACATAAGCTACTCTGAAGAACTTCTGAACTATTTTCATTAAACAACAAATTAGCACAGTAATTTGTTGAAAATTATGTTTTCTGCGGTCTGTTATTTTCAACTAAATAATTGAGGTTTGAGCAATGTGTCCATACTTTGTTACAACTGTAAATCAACCATTTTTTTCTTCTTGTTATTCATATCAAATTGATTAATTTTTGTACTCTCTCCAATCATGTTATTAAATATTGTGCTGCATATCTTGTTCTGTTTTGCTCATTGCCAAATCATGTTAATTTTTATCTTCTTCGCTAGAGAATTTTCCCCCTTTCATACACTAGAGGAATGTACAAAAACTTAAAAATTGTGTGTGACTTTAAATATAACTCAAGATTATCTGGAGTCAGGATACTGACCACAATAAAAATTTACAATTAGAATTTATTCACCCCAGAAACTTGAGTCATACAACTAGCATCAATAGTTGATATGGCTGAGAACTAGAAGCCAATTAAAGACTGTGCAAAAAAAAAAAAGTGAGCATCAATTGTACATTTTTTATTTAATGATTTTTACATATAAAGTAATTACCGTAATTATGTCAAGTACTGGTCATTTGTTTAAATACAAGCTATAGTTTGTGTTTTAGAAAAGGGTAAGAAAATAAAATAAATGCACAATTTATAAGTAAGGGGTGAGCAATGCTGAGTATAGAACTAGCAGAGTTAAGCTTAGGAAGAAAAATAAGTTCATTACAGAAGCAAATAGTATAAAAAAAATAATTGAGAATTTAATAATCAACTTTACTAGACAGTTACAAACTGCTTGAGCAGTCTCTTGTAAGACCTATATTTATATATCACTATGTAGTAATTAGGCTAAAGACATTTTATAAAGTAACTTGAAAAGGTGAATAAATAAATGCATAATTTAAATACATCCCTAAAATTAAAGCTTTAAAAACTTAGGTAGTGGTAACATTTATATGGCCTTGTGAATCACATTGCATAAACATTTCTGAAGTCAATTTGTGAGAAACTGATGGAAGGTTCATAACAAACATGTCAAAATATGTGGTTATGGTGCAAAATTAATAACTTTTGTTGATGTTGGAGTTCCAGTTCTTTCTAAGCTTAGGTAAGCAACATAACTAAATTATTGTGGCATAGAGGTAGCTGACTAATGTTCTTAGCAACCACCAAAGCAACCACCAAAGTAACAAAAAAATTTATTGATCACCTTTTTCCAGTTAAATATTTCAAAAAAGTCACTTCCCTATAATTTAAAACTCAAGTTGTTTGGATGAGTGATGATAGTAGTTCTGATAGATATTACCAGTAATATGAGCATCTAAAATTGTATTAAATAGTTAGGACATTTTTTCAATGCTGTAAATTTATCAGTTTAGTTCATCACAGCATTAAGCTATTATTTTCTTGTAAATTTCTGGTCATGTTATTTGTTACATAAAAAATAAAATTAAACAATCCTAAAGCTCATAATGCCACACATAATAGTAAGATTTTTTATCATGAACATAGCTGTAAACTATGTATAATTACAGAAAAAATATATAAATTTGACATCAATTTTGCATTACCTTTTTCCATAAATACAAAACAAGTACATGTCAAATATTACAGATGCATAACTATTTCATTAACAAATTCTAAATAATAAAAATATAATGTAGATAGTAATTACAATGTAAGAAAATAGAATCCATAACATTTGTATCTAACCCCTTATCTACTGAAATAAGTCAACAGAACAGCTTGTTTTAATAATTATGCTCAAGAAACAACAGGTCACTAAGTGATTATAAGACATGTCCAGATAACAGTTGGGAAAATTATAATCTACTATATACAGCAAAAAATATTTATACTGATCATAAAATAAACATAAAAGGAATAATTTCCTTTAATAAAATACCGTGAAATCAAATTTACTTGGACATACTAAAGAAATGTTGAGCTGTTATTAAAATTGTATGAATTTTAGGCAACAATGTGTTTAGAATTAAATTTAAAAATGAATACTAATTTAATTAATAAATAAATGGTTAACCCACCCATAATTTAATAGTGTTAGATTTACTTGTATTGGCTTTATAAATAAAAGATTTATAGAATTTAGGAGGATAAAATAGTAAAAATAAGTAGTTTAATTTGGCTTTGAAAACATTTTAACAACATTAGTGCAACAAATTCCACAAAAAACTGTGGTTAAATAAATGTGGTTATTTTCCAACAGAGCCCCCCCCCCCCCCCATTAGCTGCTGAACAGTAAGTACTGTATCTCTTGATTAAGGAGAAACCCACTAAGTAACTTCAAAAAGACTCAGTTTTATAAAACATTTTATTCTTGGGTTAATTTTAATTTAATCCCTGCAGTTTGATATTGAGACTGATATTACACACAGTAACGGAAAAAATTAAAAAGAGGAAAAAATACTAGTATATTCATCATTACAGAAGCAAGATGAAAAATTCTAAATACTAAACTGCATTCTTACATAAGTAAAAGTTAAATTTACTTTATAAAATCATAATCAAGTCAGCAATAACCATTAGTTCTACAATTTTTTCCTTACACAGTAAATTACTTAATAGTAATAACATAAAAATTCAACTGTACATAAGAAATTAGTGAGCTAAATATAATAAACATGATCAATAAGGACTCTAAAGTGACATCACACAACCTGAAAAAGTGGGGTGAAGTGGCTATCACTTCTGCACTAATTATGGGACTAGAGGGTTTAGGAAATTTGTGTATTTAAAAGCAAAGAAAAAACAAAACATGATAACTTTAGTTTATCTTGTTTGGATTGGAGGGGGGTGTGATTGAATTTTGAATATCTCAAGGGAAAAACTTGGCTTTTGTAACCATTGGAGTGAAGAAGATTTAGAATAAAAATATTAGCTGGATTGTGTGATGTCATTTATGGTGACCCCTAAATATCCATGCACCACTTTAAATATTTGGTCTCTAGGCATTCATCACAAAAGTTTTATACTGCTGCACTGTCATCCAATTACAGACCTGGTGTTGCTGTGCTGTTGTTGAGCAGAGGAAGGGAGTGGACAATATAGTAGTCATGAAAGTAGGCCAAAATGGCCACTGGCTGGCCAAGGATGAGAGACAACCACATGGTGATGTTGCCCCACTTGCCTCGCACAAACTTAGATGTCAAGTATGCTGTAGGAACCTGGGGTAGGATCATTTTATGGTATAGTAAATATCTAGCGTGGGACGAGTGGTCTAGCGGTAGAGAGCTGGACTGCTAACCCGTAAGTCTCAAGTTCGAATCCGGGTTCAAGTCAGTATATAGACCACCATATATGAGTCCACCCAACTCTGATGGGTACCTAACTCACGTTAGGGAAAGTAAAGACGGCTGAGCATAGTGCTGACCACACTATCTCTTCATATGCTGAGGTCACAAAAACAAGTGAACTCTACTTCACTTGCCCCATAGGCCTTCAGGTTTGAAAGGGAAACTTTACTTTACTAAAATATCTAGCAGCAACACATATAACTTTACTGCTTAATAAATATTTCTAAATGTTAATATATTTCAAATAATAAAAATTTTAAACCTATAAAATCAGATTAAAATTAAGCTGGGATTATTGCTTTGAAATATAACATAGGTAATATTTAGTTGCTTTAAAAGTGATAATCTAAATTCATTTGCTGATTTAAACAAGATTTATCAACGTGAAGTGTAATTGGATAATCTAAGCACAGTTAAAATAAAATAAAAAGAATCAGACCTGCATCAACATTCCCATGAAAGCCCAGGTTTTAAACATCCTAAGGGGTACACTGATTAGATACTGTGGTAGGGAAAAATTTAAACAGGTTAATATGGAATAGAATATTTAAATAAATTAATTGCACACAATTTAATTTACAAGAAAATATTATTGTACTAAGCAAAACTCCCCACAAGCTTAAACAGTTACCCTACCAATACTTTATTTTAAATAAAAGCAACACCTCACCTCATGAAAAAAAGCTGACAGTAAAAAAACAAAGCATGAGGCAGTAAACCTAGAACATCCAGTGCTCAGCAAGGGCTTGTACACATGTCTGAGGATTAAACCATGACGGATTTGACACTAGCATTTAATTTAATTAAAGGTAACCGTAACCTTTAATCCAAAGTTAACTATTGAGCAAAAGACATTTTTAAACAAATCTAATGAAGAATTTGAAGAAACTAGCAGGCTGTACCTAGTAGCAAATCTGTGAACAGGGATGTTCCAGTGCTGCCAGAACTCAGACACAGTTTCAGCATTCCTGGAGATTAAAAAGTTCTCAATAACAAAAAACATAAATGTACAAGAAAGTGTGTTGCAGATATGAATTCCAAGATTTATTTTTTTAATATAGGGGTTGGGGTCAATCATAAAAAAAAAAATCACACACCTAGCAGGAAAGAGCTCAAAAAATGTAAAATGTTTTTCAAATAAAAATGACTGAAAACATGATAATTTATACTAGAATTATGGCTATTGTTTTGATTGGTGGAACTTTATATTGTCATGGAAGGTGGGGTAAAGTCTATAACATCATTTATGGATCATCCCATAAAACATTATTTTGCTAACAACAAAATTTTAGATTATGCATTTAATTTAATTTAATATCTAGAGATATCACTACCTAAAACTTCTAATAACACAAAAGGTTATATCCAAGATAATGTCAAGCAATGACAGATGAATAATGTGATTTAAGAGTGAGTACCTACCACCAGTCCTTGTAGAAAACTCTGTCTCCAAACCTTAACAGTTCAGCTACAACATTTAAAGTGGAGTGAAAGAACCAGTAGAAAAATACTAGCCAGATCAAATGGTTTGGTATCTGGTAAAACAAAAATTTAAGTCACTGAAAAAATGCATATTTTTGAAAAGTAAGTATGAAACAAGATCAAAAAAGCATGAAATTAAAAAAAAAACCATTAGGCCTAATATTTGCCAGAATTTTTCTTTGACAAAATAACAATTGTAAAAATAGATTTATGATGGCAGAACGACAAAAACAAGAAAGAAGAATTAGGAGGTCCGCCAAACATAATGTCACATTACGCTATTTATAAAATATATGATTGCTCAAGATGTTCCGCAATATTAAATAACAAAAATGGCCTACTGATAGTTTTAACAGGCGCTCCAGCATTTTGAAAGCTTCCATCTCAGCTAAAGGTTGTCTAGCATTGTTCACAGCAGGGACAATCCACTGTCAAAGATAAATTACCTTCAATCAACCATCTTTCCTATGTTATTTGCTACATCAAACTTTTCGTAACATAAGTTTCACAAAAAAATTGTTACAAAGCCACAGTGTGGGATTACCTGCTGCATAAGAGCAACCATCAGCCAACACAGAAATACCTGGAATATAACAGTAAGTCTATGATACACTTGTTTTGGTAGAGTTATATGGCTTGCTTAGAAATTTTAAAATTATATGTAGTATTTTGCAATATATATATAAATGCATTTTTAGGACTAACCATTTCAATAATGCGCTTGGCTAGGAATCGCTTCCTAATGCGGGCAGATCTTGGAAAATTCAGCTCATAACACAAAGTTGGAGCAAACATAAAATAAGCCAAATCTGGACAAAAACAAAAGGCCAAAATAAAAATTCTGTTTAATATTAAAACTGAGATAATACAAGTTATTGTGCATGAAAGTAGAATAATTTCAGAAAATATAAATGTATAGAATGTGCATCTCTAGCTATCATCAAAGTACCTTTAACATTGAGATTTCCGGGGTATGACTGTGTAACTTCAGTTGCTGTGTTGTTAGACTTCTGAGAGACTACAGTTTGAAAATAAATATTGTACTCACTTATTTCAGTGAAATAAACATTAGATAGAAAAACAAAAAGCTCACATCAAACTAAATCAATGGTTGTCAGGTAGAAAATCTATATATATAATTCTCTTCTGGGAGCCTTTAGAAAACAAGCTGCAAGCGCGCCTTGCAATCCCCTCTCTTCCTCTCTACCGCAACCCCCCCTCCCCCCCCACCCCTACATGGACTGGTGAGCTGTTGTTCACTCTAAATGTTTACATTTTACAATCATAGAGCAGGGTTTGGTGACGGCTATTAGGGGCAGATAATTTAGTTTGAAACGATATTAAAATTAGAGGAGGTAACTAAGAGGAGGCTGCTGCTTTCACGGGGGGGGGGGGGGGGGAGGGAGGGGTTTTTAATGTTTTAAAGCACATATTTTCAGTGGCAGCATTGGTACTGTCGAATTCACAAATTATGAATTACTGAAAAGTAGAAAAAAACAACAACTAAATAGCGGCGTATGATACACCGCGGGTCGGCTCGTATGTACAATTTTCCCACAGCTACTATCTCATTTCCATTTATCTCAGTTTATGTTACCTAAACTTTTGGGTTTAGCTTATCATGTTGGTTTCGGTTAAGACCAGGATAGTTTATGGGACAAGTTGGCTAAGGGTGACATAACCTTGCTAACCACACAGATGAACCCATTTTCCTCAAAGGTGAAACCAGTATTTAATCACCAATTTATTGATTTTTAGTTCATTTCAATTCATGTTTTGATTTTTCAAAATGATTTGATGTTTTTAATATTTTACTAATAAATATTCTATACTCTAATGTGATTCATACTTAGAGAATGAAGAAAAAAAAAAACAACTTTAGGATAACTCTTACCATCCAAATTCCCTGAGGATGATCTCCTCTTGAATTTATTGACATTGAGATATTCCCTGCACCAGAAGTTGACATGGCCATATGAGATAAGCTTGAGGAAACAGATGGTCACATTACCCAATGTGAAGATGGAGAAAGCTGAAAGAAAAATCATCATTACAAATTATTGTAAAAGAACAAGTCATGTAGAGAATTATAAAACATGAACTAACTAGCAAACAGGGGAGGAAAATAAAAACTTGTATTTAAATGCATACTGACTTCTCAGGGAACACAAAAATATATTGTAGAGATAGTTTTAAAAAAACCAATCATTTATTTACATTTTAAGACATTTAAAAATATGTTTTTACTGTAATATGCTACAGAATGTATCAAAGTGGAGGAAATGATTTACCAATGACTGGATGTAGGTAGTAAATAATAGCAGCAGGAAACAGTAGGAGAACAGAAAGGTTTATCACATAGATGATTGTCCCAGTTCTGTTGCTGATCTTTCCCTGGGGGAGGTGAAACTAATTTTATCATAAAACAGAAACAATAGAAAATAAGGGACGTCTTTTTTTGTAGCCTACCACATGAGAAAGGAATGTGTCATCTTTCAATACCCACAACAGGAAATGTGGCAATCAAATTAAAAAAAAAAAAAAAAAAAAAAAACATCAGCTTCTTCTATCTTGAGGGAGGGACAGACAGAAAGAGCGGAGAGTGGAGCTGATTTTGTGACCTATGTCCGAATGGGACTCAACAATTTGAGAACCACTGCCTTATCTCCCTGTATCAATGCGACTTGAAAATCTTACATCAGTGAATACAGAAAACAAACTTAAGATAAGTTATCGTGCACAGTCGAAAAAAAAAACCCGCGTGATTAATTTTTTGTTCAATATTTCCTTCAAGCCTGGACCACGGATCTAGGCCTAACCCCAAGACCGTTCGGCTTACTTGTCTCGCGAAGATAAAGTAAAGCATGGGCGGAGTTAGAATAAAGTAGGTAGCTAATAACGGAAGAGATAACTTTGTAGATGGGTACAACAAACTTCTAATTAAAAAAAAGTGGCGAGAAAGCGAGGAGGGAAGGGAAAGGAGTAGCCCATCCATGACACTTCGCACATAAGGGCCTTTGGTTAAAATATGTAACATACTGTACATTTGTATTTCTCAAAAAATGAAAATGATTTTGTTTTCGTTTTATTTTATTTTTGTTTTTGGGAAAGGCCTATTGTCACAAAATTACTGACCCTCTTCCTACTAAGAGTGTGACGTCATTTATGCACGCCCCCCCTCCCCCTCCTGGTTGTTGTATTAATATTGTATAGGGGCGGCCTTTATGTTTCCTCACCTGCCCTAAATCAAACTGTGGACAGGTTGGTTACGCCACTGAGTTCACTGCTGTCTAGCAGAAGGCAGGAGTTCACCAGACAGGCCCGCCAGTTGCGTGAACTTTGTGATAACAGCGCTGCGCTAGGTGTTTTGTCAACACTGGCCCATGCGGGCTGCCATACGATTTCCCAAAGTTCCTCACGTTCCCACCGCTCCAGTGATCACGTGGACAACCAACTGCAATTCAATAGGTCCTGTCGGTTCTATTTATACACCTTTTTGACCCGAGCGCGGGGTTAATGCCCTGTTCAGCCAAACAGAAAAATGTAAACATTGGGAAGAAGCTTCGGTACTTTTCCCCTCTGAGCGAGCAAGACGCCGAAGAAGCGAAGAGAAGGGGGAAAAATAATTAACACCCCAACATTTCATACTTGTGTTAATGACCCTATGCTAAATAGTAATGAAACAGTCTGGGCTTGCAAAGTAATCAAACTTTTCTGATTAGTCTTGCTTCAGTAGCGTCACAAAGCGGTGTGTGTGAAAGGGGGGGGGGTTGTTATGTTCACCGTTTCCAGTTAGGTAAATAGCTTATTGAACTCACGCATATCATTCGACATAGGGTGAACCCATATATTATAACTTATAATATAAGATGGGGGTGACACCATACTGACTATATTTTTACTATATGGTTGTTGCCACCCGCCCTAGAGACCCCACTGTTAACCTAATCGTTATCTCCCCCTCCCACAAGTTGCCAACTACGACGCCACAATTAGAATACGCCTACTACTCATTCAGTCAAACAATCTTATGTCCCAGCTAAAATTTGATTCCTACAGCAGATGACTAGAGGTAACAAGTATATACAAGTTTATCCAACAACAGATAGGGAATATTTAGTGATGTCGCAATAACAAATCAACGAGAATGCAAATTGAGCATAAATGTAAAACATTACAAACTCAAACTTTTTTCAAAGCAAAGAAATTACCACAATTACACCATGTAAACTAGACGGTTGCTAGCACAGACCTGCTCCTTATCCCCTTGTCAAGCCCAACCCTCTCCCCATGTTCCTTATCCTCTTGTCAAGCCCAGCCCCCCACCCCCCATGCTTCTCATCCCCTTGTCAAGCCCAACCCCCTATGTTTCTGATCCTCTTATCAACATGATCCCAGTGTGAGTACTGACTTAGCGATTAGTGAACGCGCCCCTCAGTGCGTCACATCTGGGCCAACCACTTCATGTCGTCATCATCTGACGAGAGATGTGAGGTCAGTCAATAATGTGTCAAGTCGCTAGGTCGGTAATCTTTCTTCAGTGTCGAGCTTTTTGTAGTGCACCAGTAATGCCGACCGTTAGTCTTGAATCAAGAACATTCCCAATAAGTCAGCATGCTTACATCCATAGAGTCATCACGTGAACACCTCTCACAAAGTCATCACGTGAACACCTCTCACAAAGTCATCACGTGAACACCTCCCACAAAGTTAGCACGTGAACACCTCCCACAAAGTCATCACGTGAACACCTCTCACAGTCATCACGTAAACACCTCCAACAAAGTCATCACGTAAACACCTCCAACAAAGTCATTACCTCCCACAAAGTAAGTAAGTGAACACCTCCCACAAAGTCATCACGTAAACACCTCCCACAAAGTTATCACCTCCCACAAAGTCAACACGTAAACACCTCCCACAAAGTCATCACCTCCCACAAAGTTAGCGCGTCAACTTCCACAAAGTCAACACGTAAACACCTCCCACAAAGTCATCACCTCCCACAAAGTCATCACGTAAACACCTCCCACAAAGTCATCACCTCCCACAAAGTCATCGCGTAAACACCTCCCACAAAGTCATCACCTCCCACAAAGTCATCACGTAAACACCTCCCACAAAGTCATCACGTAAACACCTCCCACAAAGTCATCACGTAAACACCTCCCACAAAGTTATCACCTCCCACAAAGTCAACACGTAAACACCTCCCACAAAGTCATCACCTCCCACAAAGTTAGCGCGTCAACTTCCACAAAGTCAACACGTAAACACCTCCCACAAAGTCATCACCTCCCACAAAGTCATCACGTAAACACCTCCCACAAAGTCATCACCTCCCACAAAGTCATCGCGTAAACACCTCCCACAAAGTCATCACCTCCCACAAAGTCATCACGTAAACACCTCCCACAAAGTCATCACGTAAACACCTCCCACAAAGTCATCACGTGAACACCTCCCACAAAGTCAGCATGTCCATCCGTATAAATGATATATCAAGTATAGCCTACACTTTAACCAGGGTCGCCCCCCCCCCCCCCCTTCACGCGGAGTAAAATGTTAATGTAAGCACACCTCCCATAAAAATCAACCGATATGTTATGTAGTTGATATATTATTTTCCCGTTAGTTTACCTGTAAAGTTACCTAGGTGGGGGAAAAAAAGACTCTAGAAAACAGAAGTCTAGTCTTTCAACTGACATCATCTGTTCAACAGGAAAATTACTAATCAGCTTTCTCGAAGTGGGCCAAGTACGAAAGCACGGTGACCTCGCCCGTTAAAGTGCTCTCTGTTCTACAATTATAGTGGCGGGGCGGGCATGTCAAGCCGTTTTAACAGTTATATTTTTTCCCTACATCACATTAAAACGAACACAAAAAAATTCCACCCATACAAACATTACTGAACCCAAACATTGAAACAACAATCATTTTATACGTACTACTACGGCTACAACAGTATTTTAATCTGTTATCAAAAGTTTAAAAATCAATTAGACATATATCTAGACAATATTTATATTTGTTCACTTTTAGGATGCAACTTTATTCGTATCAAGAGATGTCACATGTTCGTATATAGATACATGTCACATATTTACCCATAAACGAAGAGAAACCATGTTTTTTTCCCCCAGCACTAGCTGAGTCCAATCCAATCAATTCATCGAGGCCTTGACCCCAATACAGGGTCAATGGAGATATTGATTTTACTTTTTACCCGCCTTTTTACATACCACTGTCCCATAATGGAAATAATAAAACGGTGTTAAACTGGGACCAGAAAACAATACCCACGCACTTGCCAATACAAGAACACCAGCTCAAAACATACATTAACACACTGGATTTAAAAGCTATGGGCCTATCCTATAGTTACTATTTAACATACTTTACATACCCCCCCCCCCCCCCTATAATACTCTACATGAATCACCCATGCCGGACAGAAACAAAATACAGCCGAGGTTGCATGTTTAAGACAAAAAAAAATATGGAGCATGTGATTAAACGGTAGATGCGGTAAGCGAAACATATTCACTGCACGAAGACGTCATTAGTTCAAGGTTTTGATAAGCCAAGGACTGCATGATAGCTTTAGGTAAATTCTAAAAATAACCACACAAAAATCCAACCTTGACCCAAAAGTTCCGGAGTAAACAATGTAATGTACCACGTGAACACAAAGTACATTATACATAAGCTGCACTCTAGGAAAGAACGTTTTTGTTAAACAAAAAACATTGGTTCCAATGAAATGCCCCAAAATTAAGAAAAATAAAAATCCAAATAGATCGAGAGTCTAGAACTCATTACTTTAAGAAGAGATACTTCAAAAAACAACAACCCAATCATACTTGCTGAGTAGCAAATTTCACTATCATTTTGAGGGAATCTCAACCTGGTAGTAATACTCGCAAAGACATGACTTTCAATCATTGTTTGACTTTGGCATTACAAACTAATTATTTCTAGAAAATTCTACCTTATATTATTAAATAAACAGTTTACTTGATCAGTTTAACAATAAAGCTTAAAAGTTGTATCATCTTATACTCAGAACTGAGTGGGTTCAGAACTTAAGAGTCATGTCATTATGAATATAATTTAAAAAAGCCATTCACAGGTCGTACCTATGTATACATATCTTCAGAAAATAAATGTAAGGGGAACTGATATTGTAAAGGGAAGTGAGGTGGTGTCATTCTTTCATATGTGCATCTTTGTGGGGTAAAGGAGGTTTACCAAAATAATAAACTTAAATAAAATGAAATTTATTAATACAGTGCAGACCTACAATGCAAAATTTATTTACAGTTACTAGACCTTATGACTCATGAAGATTTACAGGGATTTACATGTAAGTAAAATTCCTTAACACAAGACTTCTAATTTTACACTTAAAATCAGACTTTGACCATCACAGTAATACCTTTAGGTAAACTAACAGTGCCAATGAATTGTATTAACAATATCTGACATTTAATTAACACACACACACAACATTAAATTTAAAATGTAGCTACTCTTTAACTGGTTTATAATAGATATTTTAACAAGACTGAAATTGAGTTATACTGTTATACAGTGGTTATAAATAAAACCATAACTGAATGGTGGAACAAAATGTATAAGGAACTTACAAGTGAGAGAAGTTTTTCTGTGTACAGGGCTATTGCAGGGAATATGGTGATAGCTGTGAACACAACGTAAAATAATCAACATAATGGAAAGAATTTAAAGAACATGTTTAAAAACATTTTATTTAATACACAGATCTTTAGCTATTAAATTAGTGCATTTAACCTACTATAACATAATATTCAGTACATAATTTTGCATTATTGTTATAAATGTTCATAAGTTTAGAACCAAATTAGACTCTTCAAAATTTGACATTAAAAAAGCAAGGTCAAGTAACTAATCCTGTGATAGTAGAGTATAACAGATATGAAGATGGCTGCTTACATAAAGTCAAGGCCAAATTAGGCCAATTGTAAGGTTCACTTAAAAACCAGTCTGTAAATGATAAATTGATGAGAATGCCATATCTGAAATGTAACAAAACATCTGAAATAATCTAAGAAACATTTTGATCCACATCTGGTATTAAGAAGGTGGAAAAAGTAAGGTTAATGATAACTTATAAATAAATACTTGCTCAGAAGTAATTTATTATAAAATGTAAAAATAAAAGAATTGAGCAGTTTAATGAAACATTAAGTCTAATTTTGTTTATATCATTAATAAATTAACACTCAGCTAATTCTCTTAACAGCTTGTGGATTGAAAAATGAAAGAACATAAGGGTACTTAAGTCACACATGTATAGTAAGCTTTCAAATATTTAAAAAAAATGTTTTTGTTAATGAGTTAGCCATAAAATGATGTTACATTCTACCTTTTGAAAAGCTACCTATATTATTTTTTTAAAAAATAAACAATATTCAGAATTATACCAAGGATGTGGTGCAGTTTTGTTGTGCTGTTTTAGGGTAAAACTAACTTTTTGTGATGACATAATGATAAAGAGGGAAGGGAAACACAATTCTGTGATTTGAAAATTAGTAAAACAAAGCATTGGAACATAATGTAAATAAAAATAACAACTGAGGTTTTTCAAACTAAATTTTTCAGACTTAACCACATTTGATCTGTGCTAAGAAAAACCTGAGTAAACATATCAGTTTTAATTTTCATTACATTATGTTTAGTTCTGCTTTATCTGGTGAATCCATATTTATTTTCATTTAATTATTTTATTTTTAATCTAGGTAATCAAGGACAAAGTAAAAGCAATATAAAAATAGTAAATTTTACAAATGAAGATTAAGTTTTTCTATTACTTGATGATGTTTTCCAGAAAAAGTCTAGCATTACCCAAAACCTGAAGAAAAATAACATTGCAATCATTAAAAGATCCATTAATTAAATCTAATACAATGGAGAAAAGAGGCTTTCCAGTTAAATATAAAATACAGAAACAATAAACACATTTAACTCATTATTAAGGTAATATTTAATCCAAAACTAACCTTCACCACTTTATTTCATTCATACTATTCTTAAACTTAATTATAGCTATTTCCCTGCTTCTTGATAATAGGACAGTACAGGATAGTTATGAGGATAAAGCTACATTGTACAATAAAGTAAAGACTATGTAGACAAATAAAAACAAAGTTAAACCCTTACCAGTAGTATGAGACAAAGATTGAGGACACCATAATAATTAGTGAATCCACTGCTGGTACTAAACAAGGAATCTGCATGGCTGTGAACTCTGAGAAAGAAAATGAACAAGCCAAAAATGAATAAGGCAAAGAACAGCAAAGTGGTGGCCACAAGTAAGATAAAAATAGATGACAGAGGGTAAAAATGAGTAAAATATACCTACTAGGTATAATTCAGAAAATTTCTATACAATATTATAAAAACAGCTGATATCCAAAGTTGTTACCCACATCAGCCCAAATATATAGAAGAATATAGTTTAATTAATTTTACTATAGTAACAACCAGTAAAATAACCAAACTTTTAGAAATATTATTTACTGGATTATTATGGACAATTATTATTGAGTCAAAAGTCAAAAGATCTGATTCATACTGCAATTAGTGTGTGTGTCTAGCCTAATTCTACAGAAAAAATAAATAAAATACATGTATAAAAAGGAGGAACTAAATGAGTTAGAGCCAGAACAATAAACTTACAATTCCTTATTGGCCTTTGGTTTGGGATGCACCATAAACTCTGGTTCTGTAAGCCAAGATGGCAATGCAACATTTCTTGACAACAAATTCTTCCCTATTTTATAAAGCCCTGTACCATCTTTTTGTGGCCCTTTTCTAATTTTAGTAGCCTTATTATAATTGTTATCACTTGGTGGATGCTCCTTGATATCATCAGCTTCAACCTTATGATGGTTAGTCATTTTCTCACAGGAGAGATGACCATTTGTGCCATTGTGTGAAAGTCGTGGTCGCAAGGAGCCCAGTGTTTTACACTGATGCTGGGCTAATAATAAGGAAGACTGCTGTGTACTGCATGCTACACACAAATGATTATCAGAAAGAGAACTTAAATTATCACATTCAGAACTTGCTGACAGCAGCAGAGTTTTGCCTTCTTCAACAGTATGACCATTTGTGTCTGAAGTTTCTGTGTTTCCATTAAAAAGGAGATCTTTTGTCAGCCCAGGTATGTTTTTATTCTTATTAGAGCTAATAGCTTTTGAAGTTAAGCTTTTCTTCAATTGGACTTTGGTTTTCTTATCCAGAGCCATTGAACAATTTTGCACCAATATTAGTATTAATAAAGATCTATATTAAAAGTTAAACACAAAATTTGAATCCGACCTAAACAATTTTTCAGATTGTCTATTCATAAAATAAACCACAAAATTATAACACTATACCACAATTAATCTTGGTAGGTGAAAAATAAATACTTTAAAATTTTTAACATAGTTTGAGTATGCCTAGTAAATATATAGAATATAATATATAGATATGAGATATATAGATTAGATTTAAGATTTACAACTAAATTTAATTATACTGCATTTAGACTGCATACAACTGACAATTGACCGCACTGATACAGTTCTGAGTGTTATTGTAACTATTTTTAGTATAGGTGCCTATTCACTTTAATATTTATTTAGTTAGGCCTTCTTAGTTAATAGTTAATCATAGCCTAGCTACACTCTAGAATGCTAGATTAGATCTAGTCTATGGACTCACTATAGACTTGAGCATAGTATTACTAAATATTAAATAAGTAGGCCTATAGTATATTTAATATTAGGCCTAGAGCCGGCGTTTGGGGGTGGCGAGCGGGGCGAATGCCCCAGGCCCCGCGCTTCAGCACCTTCACTGTTATCTGAATTAGTTTGTAAACTTAAATAATTGATGCTGAATTAACTTGGGAAAAACTAAATGGTCGAATGCCAACGTTGTTGATTGTTATAAATGAGGCCCCGGTTGATGTTAGTGAGTTATCACCCACCTAAACTGGGACAGGCCGTAAATTATAGTGTCACACACCTCCCAGTGTGAAGGGTACGGTCGCCTTGCATTTGACCTGAGGTGACTGTAGATGGGTAGACTCGAATTAGCCCCCGACCTGACCAGGGAGGAAAATTTGGAAAACACGTAATGAGATACCCTATTGTATGCGGCCTGATGAAGACGTTTTGTAGTGAACAGACAGGATGCCTGTAGTAGACAATTAGTGAACGCTAGTCCTGACTTTCTTGTTGTAATTGTCGTATATGTAGGCTTACTTGTCTTGGTATAACAAAATTAACATTCAATGGCGGGCATAGGGGGTGGGAGGGCATAGGGGCATCAACATCAGTAGGGGGGGGGGGGGGGGGCGGGAATCCAACAGAGTGATTTTTTATTTATTTTTTTGGAAGAGAATAAAAGTGTTGTTATGTTGTGTCATCTTAAAGATTCATCTGTTACCAAACAGAATTTTTAATTTATCGAATTCATTCAAATTGTTATATACAATCGTTTCCAATGGTGCTGACATAATATAGTCATCGAATTGTCCGCGTTGCACAACTTTTATGGAGGAATGGGCATTATTGAAGGGCAGTGATATGGTAGTCATTAATAAACGCACATTTTTTTAATTGCAGGATATCCTTTACAATAGTTAAGACCATAATGATTTTGGTTTAAAAATATTGTATGGATTCTAAACAAATTTTGAAGTCATAACTGTTTTGATACCTCGGGCAGAGTTCACTTTATTGTAAATTTGTCCTGAGTTCTCACACGTCTAAAGTACCGGCATTCACGACAGCCCGAACATGCCGTCTGGAAACTCATAAATAAGGTGTAGCTGACTGGAACGTCGTTTTCTCCCTAATTATAGTAACGAACCCTTTCTTGTGAGACCGCGATCATGGCCTGTAATGTAATACGTGGACGCTCTATAAACACAAACCTTCTCCGGTCAGAGATCCAGTAACGTAGTACTCGAATTTGGAGATTTTTTTCTTAGGGTTTGGCAACTCAAGGCATAGCTTTAACTGCCACCCACCCCAAAGCTCCACCCTACATTTGAGAATTATTTCTTTTGGATATCCATAAACATAGAGTGGGTTTTCACGATTCGTAACCAGTGTTAATTCACGATTCGAGCTAAGCCCAAAAGCTATCATTTTTCTTTTGTTTTAACTTTAATTACTTTTGTTTTGTTGATATTGTAATTTGTCTAAAATTGTGCACTTACTAAGTTACTAACAGTACAGTCTCTTTTTTTAAATTCACCTAAAACGCTTGACTTTTATATTAACTATTGGTCATTAACAAACATTTTAAACAACTTTGTCCTAATTTTTTTGGCATGTCATTGAATTTCCTTGAGTGTTTGGTATGGATTTCATAACTGTCAAAAGTGATTTAATATCTTCGCAAAAAAAAAAATTAAGAGCATTTGCTAAAACGTGAGAGAGGTAAACATCTGTTATTAAAGTGAGAAGTTTTACATTAGCTTATAGACTCCAAAATATTTAGCTTTTATGTGTGCATGTATAATATATATATATATATATCTTTATATAGGCTATTTATATAATGGAAAAAAGCAGGCCTCGCGCGGATGGTTGGCACTAGGCCACGCTTATTCCTAACGACGGCTCTGATTAGGCCTAAAGTATATAAGGGCCTATAACTATACTATAGTGCTATAGGCTATATAATTTATACTATATAGGCCTATATAATTTTATATTATTTAGGCGTATTAACCTTATTAATCATATTACTATTAGGCCTAATATTAATATTAATACAGATCTAGAAGTCTGTAGTATAGTATAGTACATAGGCCTACATAGGCTATCACTAGCTAGTACTAGTAGTATCACTATCATATCTTATTTTATTATTTTAATTTTAAAATTTAAATATTTAGGCCTAATATTATAATACTTTATAGTAATATTAGTCTAATACTATTATTTAGTGAATTAGTCTAACACTAACTAAGAAGTAAGTAATACTAATACTATTAATTACTAAGTACTAGATTCTAAGTAGGCACTATTATTTACAAGATCTAGTCTATACTATAGTAATATACTCTATAGTATACTATAGTAATATTAGTTTTTAGTTATTTAGGCCCTAGTAGTTATTACTTGACTCATTACAGTTACAGGCGGACGTTCTGTTCGGATTCAAAGGCCGTCATAGTGTCATAGGTATTATTACTATAAATATATAAATATAATAGGCCTAAATAATGGTAATCTATCATTTTGGGTACGTAAAATTGCCTGCGGCTAGTAATGTGAAAAACAGGTGACTCCTTACATTTTAATAATTATTTCACATTTTGAGGAGGATTTATGGTTTTTAAAATACAAAAATGTTTCATTGTTTCGTTTATGTACCTGTTTTTAAACAATTGAATTAAAACTTTTCCGTAATAAATGAAGACTAGCGATGTTTCCAACAGATGCAACCATGCTCATTAACTATAGCAGCCATCTTCATCATGTTTAAGTTTTATTTTTATAACTAGATCTATAAGCTTATAGCGTGAGATTCAGGGGGAAGCCACTCTATTTTACAAATGGCTGCTGTATATATAGCAAATCTTGCTCTCAGACACTGCTGTTTAAATTAAAGTTAATTTCTGGCCTATATCGATATATTTAATATTTAAAATTAGAATTTGAAATAAAAATATTTATTATGGTTATTTGATTTATGCAGGTGTTCATTATTTCATAAAATGGTATGAATAACATGTAGAGTAGAATTTAATAAATAATAAAATAACTAGATCTAGTTTTATTATCAACCAGTTGCTTTTTGTTATTTTCCGGTGAGTAAATATAAATAGCCTAAGCTGACGCGATTACCATAGTGGGAATTAAAAGCTCGTGTACACAAGTCCACGACATCATGTTATGCCGGTCGAGGGGCAAGAACGCGATTTTGGGCTTTCATTTTCCATTCTACAGTAATTTTCAAATTCTCTCTTTGCTCGTCAACCAAGTAAGCTAGACATTTACAAATATTTAAATGTCAATGTGGTGTCAAATGTTCTCTTAAGTAAGGGGTAAGGAAGTTAATGGTGTATTTGAAATAACAGAATATTTTATTTTAAAAAATCCATAATTCAACCTAAAATTCATTTAGTATTTAGCCATTGATTTAGGTTTATTATTATTATTCATTTATCTAAAATATTTGACACAAACATATGACAATATACTTCAATATACTTCTATTAAAGCCTTGACAATGAGGTAACGTTTTCGTACATTAATAGCCGCGGGCGATTTTAGTAATTTTACGTACCCAAATGTTGGGCCAAAACGATAGATTTTATTTAGAATCTAGGTTTATTATTCATTTATCTATAATATTTGACACAAACATATGACAATATAGATCTACTTCTATTAAAGCCTTGACAATGAGGTAACGTTTTCGTACATTAATACTTAATAGTAATTTAATAGCCGCGGGCGATTTTACGTACCCAAACCGATAGATTACCTCCTAAATAGTAAATAATAAATAATAAAATTAAAATAGCCTAAAAACACACCATACAAACAATACAATTAACTTGTGAATGAGCTAACTCTTATTCAACAAAACTTTTAGAAAATTATTTTATCTAAATTCTAGTATTAGAATATCCGTATCAGCCATTTGAACGCCGGTTATCCGACACAGCTTCAGTGTTTGAAGACACTGGTCCAACTTAACCCGACTGGGCTGTATAAACAAAAACATTTCTATTTTTAGTAACGCCTTGATCTGCATAATTTGCATATACAGTCAAGGTCAAATATTGACAAAGGGAAATAAGAATGAAATTCTTTGAGGCCAAAAACAAAATATCGTAGTAATTAAACCACTCAGAGTCATACTATTTTCTACCATACACAGGTCTGGTGATTTTAGACTGTAAATCGACATTGCAAATGAAAATGTTAAATGAAAACGATCTAACTTACGGTTTACAGTCACTTAAAAATCGCTCCTTTCGTTCAGTCTGCTGGGAGTCTTCTACTTTATTCGTGCTTTGAGAGCGACGTAGGCGAGTTTTCGTCGCCATTTCATAATATAGGAGGGGGGCAAATTCCAGTTATCTAACGAGCTCTTCGATGTTAAAAATTTGATTTAGACTAGGCTTTTTTGTATAGGCCCCTAGGGCCTAGTCATTGCCAGCCAAAATTAGATCTAGATCTATGTCTATCGGGTCGTATGGTGTTTGGACTTTAGACTTCAATCTAGATCTAGATCTAAATCTAAGAGTTTAGATCTAGGTATAGACTCGAGGCAGTATGGCTCAATGAACTTTTATGTCAAGAGTTAATATAAATCTAAAATCTAGATCTATAATTGATTAATAATTTATTAGGCCTATATTCTATATATTATATAATTATATATTATATATGATAATTACATTAATTAGGCCTATATATAATATACAGAATATAGAATAGTTTTAGTTATAGATAGAGATAGATGTTCTAAATTATATCTTCTATTGTCTATTATAGTTTATAGTCTATAGTGAATAGTCTATTATAATATTATAAAAAATTATTAGTTTATAAAATAACTTAGGCATGCTGCCCAGCTTCGCTTAGGCTTTTGAAAACATTGAGAATTTGAATGCTTAATTAATTCGCCCGAGGGTCGGTCTACGACCTCAGAAGTTATGAAGAGGTTCCTACGTGGACATTTGTTTTCGATTTACAGCTCATATAAGGCGCCGGTCAGTCGAGGTCAGTTTTCGGCCAACCGGCCCCCGTGTTCTGTCGCCCCAAGGCAAGATCCTGCCAAATTTGAAGCGCCTGCTGCGCCGGGAAGTGCCCTATCGGGCACCCGACAACTTTGCTTTATATATTATAGAGATTAGCAAATTGCATAGATAAACAAAGATTTTAATAAAGTAATTAAGGCCTGAAATACTTTAGTATAGAAATAAATTATTTGAATAGATTCTAGATCTAGGTAGGGTCTACATCTGTGTTAAGTCTAGTTTTTCTGTAGATCTAGATAATCTAGATCTAGAATATCTAGATTTAGAATCCTAATAGAAATTTTTTAAAGTTTAGCCCGAGCAAAATTGTATTATATAAATTTTATAGCGTACGTAGATCTAAATAATATTTGAATGAAATAGTTCATTTCTTTTTATTCTAAACTCGGAAGATGACATCATCAGTTTCGTGCTCTTTTTTTAGTGTAAACAATAAGCGACGTCATTGTTAAATGCGTTCTTGTCCCAAGTTTAAACACTTTTCCGGTTGCATAATTAAAATTGTTTTTCTACATTCAAATACGCCTTCAATTTTCATTTTTCTTCTTTAAATAAAATTGTGGTTATACATTTAAAACATCTAACATATTATTTTCAACAAAAGTCCGTATAAAGTTCTTCATATATCGCTACAGTTTTTGATGTGATGTCCGGCGAAAATATTTTGCGGACAGAGAGAGAGAGAGAGAGAGAGAGAGAGAGAGAGGTGTGCACATGGGCCATTATATATTAGGATAAAATATAATAGGCCTATAGATCTATAAACTTCTTAGTGTTAGATCTAGTTACTAGATCTAGAATCTAGACTCTATAGGCCCTAATCTATTTTATTTAATATTTAGGCCAATTTTTGAATTTAGGCCCCAGATCTACTATTTTATTTAAAATCATTTAGATCTAGATCTAGTTCGATGAGTCTAGTTTAAATAGGCCTAATTAGTTAATTTGTTTAGTATAATTAGGCCTACTATCAATTAGGCCTAATTAAATTAGCCTAAATAATAAATCATAGATCTAATACTAGTAATAGGCCTTTTATTCTTTTATTTCTCTAGGCCTATGCAAGTTCAAGTAAATTACAAATTAAATTTAGTTCAGTAACATAAATTTGACACAATTATTTTATAATTTACGAGCCTAAATATTAGGCCTACTAGATTCTAATTAATAGTTTTTTAGTTAATTAACTAACATCAAACAATAGTTTCTAGATCTAGTCTGAAATAAGTTTTTTTTCAATAGATCTATCTATCTATATCCTAGAATCTATTTTTTTTTTAAATTAAAAAAAAAGCTTTCAATTAGTCCTATTTATTATAATAATTAGGCCTACATTTTTAAGTTATGGGTTTCAATCACTTGTTGAAAATGTTTAAGTACTCAGCTGCAACAAATTTGTATGCGAAAGCAAATTTTAGCTCAATTTCCACTGGACAAAATTTTCTAAACAATATACTAGGCATAGGCCTAGCTGGCAAAACCAAAAGTAGTATCAACAGATGCTTGTGGAATTTATCAGGCAACAACAATACATCAGAGCTAGATAGTTTTTTGTCCAAATCCTTTTTAGATCTGGAAAAGATTGATGAAAATTTATTTAGGTGAGTAGATAGTAGATCTTGTATTTGTAAAGTCCTCTTTCCCTATTAGTCAGAAGTTTGAGCCTATTTTTAATTTATTTAAAAAATAAAATGTTTAAAATATTTTTATATTTAGAAGTAAAACTTTATGGAAACCCAAAAAAGTTGCCAGAGGTATATATGGAGGTCAGCTGATTGGACAGGCTCTCATAGCAGCTTCACATGGAATGCCAGAAAGTCAACACATCCACAGTCTGCACTCATATTTCCTTCAATCAGGTTTGATTGATTCTGTATTTATTCAATTTCAAGTGATTTGAATATAAATTTTAGAGTACTTCAAACATACTAGAAATAAACACTTTGTTAATATTAATTTTGAGGTCCAATTGGAGTCAGCCATAGCTTGTTTTTGTGTGTAAAAAAGCATGTATTATGCATTTTTTTATTAACGAAAATACCTCATTTGAAATATTATAAAATGTCTAGCTTAACATAATTTCTATTTTCATATCAACAAGGTAGCACAGATCGCCCAATTCTATATCATGTGGACAAAACACGAGATGGCAAGACCTATTGTTCTCGATCAGTAAAAGTTGTGCAGGCTGGTTCTCCAATATTTACTATGCAAGCATCATTCAAGAGAGCTGAATCAGTTCCTAAAACTCACCAGAATACAATGCCGAAAGTAAGGAAAAGTAAAGTATTCTAAAAATATATTTTGTTCTTATGTACTTTTTATTGTACAAAATGAAAGTGACATTGTAGCTCCTTATGATGTAAGCTTCGAGAAAAAACTTAATATAAAAGAATCCAGTAACATTTTGTATGTTTTTAAAATAACATTTTTGAAGAAAGTTTTATCATTTTTACTTACTTCTAGGTTCCATTACCAGACGAGCTACTTTCTCCTATAGAAGTTCTAGATAACTTAAGAAAGTTAGTCCTTTATTTGTGTTTATAGAATTATTCCTAAGTTAAATGCTTTAATAATATTTGTAGTAGGCCTTGCCTGGAACTGCTCAGTTTCAGTGATAATTATTTCAAAATTCTGCTCATGTTTATAAAAAAATTCCTTTTTAACTCTTTCTTTTTAGACAAGATTTGATCAGCGAAGAGCGCCACAAATTTGGATTAGAGTGGTTTGAAGGCTTTCCTATGGATGTCAGGTGGGTGGACCCAACTAGCTTTATGTATACAGTACCACAGAATCCTAAGAGGAGTGTATGGATCAAAGCTCATGGGCACATTGGTAGGTGCCAAACCTATTCAGGCTTCCAGTATTTACTAAAAACTAATTTTAATATAGCATATCTTTGCAACTTAAAAACATATACAGAGTGTATTATACAGGTAATTTTGCAATACAAATATTTTGTATTTAAAAAAAAATTCTTTGCATTTTTATCAACAATGGTAATTTGTGTTAGTTGATTGTGTATGTTACACTTTGCTGGACCTATCATTGTTGATGTTTAAAACTGATATGTTTTCAGAGCCCGCAGTTGCTAAATTTTACTCATTGAACTAATTGTGTAAAAAAAATATTTTTTTAGGTGACAATTTGCACCAGAATACTCATAAGTGCTGCTTAGCATATCTATCAGATTTGTACATTCTTCAAACTGCCTTGATGCCTCTTAGTCCAATTTGGGATAAGTCCATTTTTGTAGCCTCATTGGACCATTCTATGTGGTTTCATGCTCCAGTCCGATCCGATGAATGGCTACTGTATGAGACTGAAGCAGAACATATCGGTATGTTTATTCATTAGTTACTGAATGAATGGTTAAGTTTTTCAGTTAATAAGTAACTTAAGTAATCTTAAAGGTAGGTAATAATAAATTGTGCATGTATAATTTGTATGAGCCATGTGCTGATACTTCAGCTCAGTCAATTAATCACTCTAATATCAAAGTCTTCTAACCTAATTTAAATTTGTCCAAAACATTTCATAATTTTAGCATGAAAAGATTTGATAAAATATTAGACAAAAGGAAGTTTTGACTGTAGAAGTATACATGACATTTTAATTTATAATTAAATAACAGACTATAAAAGCATATGTTTAAATTGAAATAAATAGCTAGCATTTGTTGTTTAGAGGTAAAATACATTTTTTGAAACAGGAGATGGACGAGCTCTTTGTCATGGAAGAATATGGGATAGTAATGGCACCTTAGTGACAACTGTGGCTCAAGAAGGTGTGATGAGATTTTAAATCTTTACAAAAGAAATTCTCAGACAAGTGATAACAGTTTTTATGAAAAAGTTTTTTTATTGTCCTGTTTATGTAAATTATTGTATGTGGCTATATTATTTATGGTTAAAGAAGCTGTATTTTGTATGCTTTAACGTGAGGATGTTATTATAATCTCATAAAAATAAAAAGCAACACAGTTCCCAAAAAACTTTTCAGGAAAAAAGAGAGAATGTGGTGTACTATTTATAAAGAATAAAAGTTGTTAATTTACACCAGAATTATAGTTATTTGTAATGATCATGTATAAATTTAGGCTGTCTGGCCTTTATAGTGAGTGTATATGTGTGAAATCTGTCATTTCATGTATGGTTGACTTTTTTAAGGTTTGATTTTATGTGACTGTCACGACTGTCAATGGTTGAAACTAGTTTTAGTTTGACGTGTGCAGGAATATTAAAAAAAAAAGGTTTGTATCCACTTAACAAGCTTTGAATTATATTACCATAAGGGAAATCTTATTCACTGACAAAAACACAAGTGTATGAAGTATGATACAATGATTTTATTGAAAGGAAACAAATTCAACAGTCCTTACTCAGCACACGTTTGTTACATTCAATCACAGAACACTAAAAATTCACTATTAAAATTGCTTACACACCACACAAAATAAATGAACCATACATCACTCAGTCCTCATCTTTTTGGTCACGTGGGTAAAAAAAAGATTTGTAATTTCATTTCTTAATTAGTTAAAAAATTATCACAAATGAAAATAAAGGGAGATTGTTTATTTTTGTTTATTGGTTTATTTCTGTTAAAGCATGACACACAACACTATGCATGCGTGGTTTGAGTCCTGACCAAGTAAAATGAGATTGTTTATATTTTTGTTTTGAGTTGATATTTAACTAAATGCAACAAGCTCGCCAGTTGGTTGAGTCATGCCGGTGGTTCGTTTTGCTAGAGATACAACAAAGGGTCAACTCCAAATATTGTCCAAGATGGATTATTATGTGTGATAATCTTGACCTCTATTCAATAAGTAGTCGCGTATACACCCAGACAAAGTATTTCAGCTTGTTAATGTTAGGCTTATTGTTCAATTAATAAAGTTAAATAGTCTTCTAAGCAAAACTCGACAATTATAACAAGGGGGTTGGAGTGACACCATGATGTATACATGCTAACTTTAGAGAAACATTGCTATATCCAACTATATTAACAAATTATAGATAAAAGCTTATAAACATACATTGGCATATATTTAAATTATAGGCCTATGTAGGCCAATACACATATATATATATATATATATATATATATATATATATATATATATATATATATACGTTTCTTGGAAGGGGGGGATGACACCACGAAGTGTCGCGCCGGGTTACACTCAACCTAGCGACGCCACTTGTTGCAACATTTACATATCACAACAGGATGTTTTGATTCAGCATTAGATAAGTTAATGGGTGTGGCTTTTACCTAGATCCCTAATCTGGGGAAGGGGATCAGATTAACATTGCATTAGGCTATAATTAATAATTTTTATATGGTCATTTAATAACTATTTTTCCGTTTAAAAATAGGATAGGGCATAATAATCTATATATACGAGAAAAATGGCCCGTTGAGGAAGGATACAACGGGCGCTAGGCTGATAGTGCTGTCTCTTTTCTCTAAACTAAACCCCCCCCCCCCCACACACACCCCCCCCCCCCCACCCCCAAAAAAACATGTCTACCGTCCCATTCAACGAAATATAATTATATACTTTTTCCAGTGTCCGCCCCCTCCCCGAAAATTCTACCCCCGCCCCCGAAAATTTCAAGTACCCCCACCCCTCTCCGGGGAGGAAAAAGTCTGAAAGAAACACTGGTGTCGCGCTTAGCCACTACCCAAAGAATTGCATTAAAGAAATTGCAAGAAAACCACTTTTTAGATTAGACACATTAATTAGGCGGTAATTTTATTATAGAGTATCGATGAAGAAATTTCTTTTGAGTTAGGGAGGGGGGGGGGGGGGTTCAGACGTTCTTACGCGGGGGTGGGGCTTCGCCCCTACCCGAAGAATTGTATGAAAGAAACTCTTCACGCAAACCACTTAGATCAGACAAAATTTCCTTTTTATTCAATGTTTACTCGAGAATCAATGACGTCATATTACTGCGTGCACTCTCCGGCTTGAGATTATTTTCTACTCTGTGCTAAATGTGACGACGTCATACTTCGTTTTTCGTTTCACTGTGCAAGTTTTTAATTTGCTTGTGTTTTCTCTAGAGCGTTCTTGTCAGATAGATAGATACACAGACAGCGAAACTATTAGTATTAATAATTCTCTTCTGGGAGCCGTTAGAAAACAAGCTGCAAGCGCCTCCTTGCAGTCCCCTCTCTTTCTCTCTATCACTACCACCCCCACCCCCACATTGTCTGGTGAGCTGTGGTCACGCTATATGTTTACAAAGCTAAATGTTTACAAATCGTAGAGCCGGGTTTCTATTAGGGGCAGATAATTTAGTTCGATTTTAAATTAAACTTACAGGAGGTAACTAAGAAATAACTAAGAGGAGGCTGCTTTCACGAGGGGGGGGGGGGTAGGGTCGGGGTTAGGGGAAAAGGGGGTTAGTGTTATAAAGCAAATATTTTCAGTGGCAGCATTGGTATTGTCGAATTCACCGAAGAGATGCCTGGAAGAAACTCTGCTCGTAATAAATAATTTTTGTCTTCCATTTCCTGCTTGGAAGTTTAAAAAATTGGAATCGAACTTTGACCTTTACAACCGGTACTTGATGATTGATATTCTATAAAAAAAATGTATAGGTCTAGAACTTACGTATAAAAACTTGAAAACATCGATTAAGATCTTGATCTAATACACATTGCAAGATCAACGGAGTCATGTCGGTAGTACAGAAAAACAATCAATCACCAGAACTTGATAGTTTCTTGACACGATCGTTTTTAGATTTAGAAAAGATTGATGACAATTTGTTTAGGTAAGAAAGAATGGTAATCTATCGTTTTGGGTACGTAAAATCGCCCGCGACTAGTAATGTGAAAAACAGGTGACTCCTTACATTTTAATAATTATTTCACATTTTGAGGAGGATTTATGTTTTGAAAAATACAAAAATGTTTCCTTGTTTCATTTATGTACCTGTTTTTAAACAATTGAATTAAAACTTTTCAGTAATAAATGAACACCAGCGATGTTTCCAACAGATGCAACCATGCTCATTTACTATAGCAGCCATCTTGTTAAAGTTTTATTTTTATAGACTTATAGCGCGAGATTCAGGCGGAAGTCACTCTATTTTACAAACGGCTGCTGTTTATACAGCAAATCTTGCTTGCAGACACTGCTGTTTAAAGTTAATTTCTGGCCTATATTGATATATTTAGCCATTGATTTAGGTTTATTATTCATTTATCTATAATATTTGACACAAACATATCACAATATACTTCTATTACAGCCTTGACAATGAGGTAACGTTTTCGTACATTAATAGCCGCTGGCGATTTTACGTACCCAAAACGATAGATTACCGAAAGAATCATTCATTAAGATGTAGATCTATGTATGTAGATCTAAGAATGGTAAGATTCCGTAAGAATTTAGAAATATATTATATAAAATTATATTAATATAAAAATTTAATTTTTCTATAATATAGAATGCAAAGTGTTTCAATAATTTCTATCACAATTTATAAAAACTGTTTTCTAAAATGTGAAATAACTGCTGAAATTCAGTTTCTAGTTTCTAAAATACCATTTTTCTTAAAATAGCAAGTTTGAAGTCACTCTATCTGAACTCCATCCCCGCCATATCATCTTAAAATTATGAAAGCCTCTTTTCCTATGAGTGTGACGTTATTTATGGGCAACCCCTAATTCATAAACTATGAATGACTTTGTTCTATCCATGTAAGAGTATTTCTTGATTGAGTTATTTAAAAACACAAGTGTGCGAAAAAATTATTTTAAAATATTTTATTGAAAAGAAACTTGCATATTTATACCACTGGGATGAAATGCTGATTCCTCCAGTTGTTAGCTGAGAGATTATTATAAAAATGGTCATTCACATTTCAATAATAGCCAACATGTCAAAAAACCACAAAGTGACGCCACCACAGCCGAATAAAAAAAGCCCAACACATAGGCCTAATTTTGCTGATTTCAATAAACTATCTTATTAGTATTTTCTTCTTCATGTCATTATAAACCATTTTGTTTATTTGGCATAAGTTCAGCTTTCAATTAATAAATGTTGCGCTAGTATTACAATAAAATTACATACAAAAAAATGCTTTTTATTTTTCATGCAAATTGGAAGGCTGTATTATATTATTGAGAATTCTTCAAAGAGTTTTTTATTTAATTGATACATAATACATAATAAAAATATAATAAAAGCAACCTTTGCAAAACATAAAATCAGTTGGTCAAGTCACACATTATTTGAGCAACTAATTTTAATTTTAAAACATTTTAAAAGACTTTTGTTGTTTTTAATAATATGATAAATTTTTTTTAGAAGTAAATCACTATGGAAACACAAATTAGCTCGTGGTGTCTATGGAGGACAACTCATTGGCCAATCCCTCATAGCTGCTTCATATGGAATACCTGAAAATCAACATATACATAGTTTACATTCATATTTCTTACAGAAAGGTTGGTGCTAATTTTTGTTGAGTGAATCAACTATAATTTTAATATTTGTGTACATTTTATAGCAATTCATTAGGCCTACATTTTTGTAGGTGAAAACATATTACAACTATAGTTTCTTTTAAAATAATTATAGATGTTACGTATTAAATTATGTGGTTTCTTGTCATACAATTACAAAAACAAAGTTTTTGGAGTTCAAAAAAAATCACAATAAATATTTTTTTCAGGCTCACAATTTTTGTATGAATATTTTATAATATGAGTAGCTATTGATTCCCAAAGGCAACACAGATCTGCCCATGTTGTACCATGTTGATAAAACAAGAGGGGGTAAAACCTACTGCTCCCGCTCAATAAAGGCAGTACAGGCAGGCAGCGTTGTGTTCACCATGCAGGCTTCATTTAAAATGGCAGAATCTATAGAGAAAACTCATCAGCTGCCCATGCCAAAGGTTTTGTTTACATTTTTTATAACAGCGTTGTCAACAAGTATGTGATAGATAGGATATGGTGTGGAATTTTTTTTCATTATAAATTGGTTAATGTAAAAGTTTGTGAATATGTGTTGACTTTTTGACTATTGTTAAATTATTTTTTTCTACTTGGCTTAGGTACCACACCCTAATGAGCTAAAAGCCCCACCTGAGATACTGTCAACTTTAAGACAGTAAGTATTTGAGCAATAGCAAATCAGTCTGAACTAATAATGTGGGTTAGCTTATACTGATAGACAGATCTCTAGTGGTATTCTTTAATTTTATAAAGTTGCTACACTGTACAGTTCCTGAAATTAAATGTTTGATGTCATTATGTAACATTTTTGCTTCTTGTCTCTTGAGGCCAGACAACAAAGTCCCACCATCTAAGTCCTACGTTTTTAACTCATAATTATGACTACATGACCTAGTTTGAAATAGGACTTTGTTAAAATATAGTTCTTTTTTTAATTTTAGCATTCTTTTAATCAGTAATATCAAAGACAATTTTAAAAATACCACAAAAAAAAAACAAAACAAAACAAAAAAAAACCCCAGTTTATTTTAAAATGTGATGATTTCTATATTCCAAAGAAAATTTTATTTACCAATTGTGATGATTACTAACATCCCCAGTAAAGTCCTATGAGTGATAATTGCTAATTTCAAGTGAAAATCTAAACCTATATAAGAATCTTTCCCTTCCAAAATGTAACCTATCCTTGATGACTTGCTCACTTGCAGACATGATCTGATAACAGAAGAGCGCCTCCGGCTTGGCCTGGAATATTTTGAGGGTTTCCCAATGGATATTAGATGGGTAGATCCCGAGTTATTTTTGTATATCCGGCCACATTACCCCAAGAGAAGTGTTTGGATCAAGTCCAGGGGACACATAGGTTTGTTTCTTATGTACCTTATTTACATAAAATCACTATAAATGGAACTTGAGATATGTGTTAACTAAAGCTAGCGGTTAAAACTGTTTGCAGGTGATGACCAGCACCAGAATGTACACAAATGTTGTTTGTCCTATTTGTCTGACCTGTACATAGTTCAGACAGCGTTGTTACCCTTTGCCCCCATCTGGGAGAAACCATTTTTTGTGACATCTTTGGACCACTGCATGTGGTTCCATGCACCCTGTAGAGCTGATGACTGGTTGTTGTATGAAATTGAAGCTGAAAACACAGGTAAACATCAAATTGGTGTCTTAATTATTTCTTACTTGCATAAGGTAACTTTTCTTTTTACTTTTTCTTTTATCTTAAAGAATTGTTAGCTTTCCATATTTTAATTTATGACCAAATACCTAATGCTCATTATTGTAAAAATGAATACTGTTAGTCTGAAATTTATTTAGTATTTATTTCTAGAATTCAGCATGTACTCTTTCAGTGAATATCACAAAATGTGATAGCCTCAATACAGCATGGATTTGTTTTAATTTTGTGCTTAAAAATTGATTCAAAAAAATAAAAATAAAAAACAAAAACAATTTTTTGTGAAACCAGAATGTTGTTATAGTTTTCTAACATTTCCAATGGTTTTACTACAGGTGATGGTCGAGCTCTATGCCATGGAAGAATCTGGGACACAAATGGAACTTTGGTGACAACTGTTTCACAGGAGGGAGTTATCCGCCCCGCTGTGGCTAAATTATAGAGTCGTCATGGAACAGATGAGTTCACTGGATGTAAAAACTCATTAGTGACAATAAGCTGAACCTAAATCAGTTTGACTGGTGCTGTTATCAGAGATTAAAGTTTTAATTTTTTGTTGTATTTGGATGATACAGTTTGGAGATTAAAAACAATCTTCAAATCTTAGATTTTTGTTTAGCACATTAACACAGAGTTCTTTTATCTAAATAGCTGATAGACACTTAGTGTGGTGCTATTTTCTAAAAAATTTGCATAAACCCCTATTTTTCAAATAGATAAACTTTACAACATACCTGAGAACATAAGTAAAAGTAAGAAAATTGTCTACTTGATTGAACAATTTGTGTCAGTTCTAAATATTTAAGATGATGATAGTAATACTTTTTGGCTGAATTTAATGAAACAAGTCAGTAAAAAGTGAAACAAACACTAATCTATATAAACACTACTTAAATCAAAAGTAAAAATGGACCATTGGTAAAATAGTTCTGGTTGTTAATTTTATTGTATTTATTTCTTTATACATTTGTATGTAAACAATGTATGTATACAAGTTTAATTGTAAAAGTGGTTGTTTAATTTATATAATTTGGTTTCTTTTTTTTTTCATGTCACTGACATTTGTCAGTCTTAACATTTGCCTGCTCATGTTATTCATTTCACTTAAAGAAATGCTCACAAATATATTTGGAGAGAGGGTGGGGGTCTTAACTACCCCATCCATTGACGGGAAAAGTGTAAAATTTTGTATTTAAGTTGTTCTGTTTTGAATATTTTAAAATGTACATTTGTAAAACCTAGAGCAGATCTCAAGAGGGACACGGACCCCCCCTCCCCCCCCCCCCCCCCCCCCCATATATTTATATCTATCTCACCCACCAAAAACAGAATCTTGATCGGCCTGCGCTAACAGACATTTTTGCTTCAATCCAAGATCTCTTAGTATACTTATCTGAAGTTAAAATTGAGTGTAGATAGATGTTATCGTGTAACCTACCACAGAAGATTCACTTGAGTACCCTTTGTTATAAATACAGTTCACTTTCTAGATCCTTCATACAATATTGGTTAGTAAATGAGCATCCTTTTTACCATGCTCAGATCTACACGTTTTTTATCAAGTTTCTCTTTTGAGCTTGCCTCAGTGATCAAATATTTTAACAAATCGATACACAACTTTGTGATAGTAATAAAAAAATTCAAACAACAAAATTTAAATTTTTTATTTCTGTTACAAATGAATAGTAATAAACTTGTTCTCTTTCTTACTTTTTACCTATCAATTGTGATTTAAATATTGGTATAAATCAACTTAGAAATAATTTCTGACCTTATTTTTTGTCTGTTACCCATATATATATTGTCCTGCTTCCAAAAACTGGAGTTTTACTTAGCGTCCATAAAATTACATGATCTTTTCTTTTTTTGGCAATTTTTTCCCTCCTTCTCATACATCGTCACAAAAAGTCAGATCCCACCCACGATAATGTCATTGTCATACTACATTTTCAAAGTTTATTTCTCTAAGGGGATGTAACCAAGCTAGGTTGATTTTTGCAAAACATAATTGATTTGTTTCCCTTTGAAAGGGACATTCCTTAAGTCTGTTGGTTTGGGTGAAATTTAAAACAGCTAAATACTATTTAAAACTATAAATTGTATCCAATCCGGGTTAGGAATTTATTACTTCATTCATTCTAAATCTCAAGTAAGCCGAGCTGGAGCGAGTCTTACTTAATGTTTTGAAATCCTCTTCAAAAGATGTCACACTTAGTAGTAGCTTTAGCTACCGTGGAGAAATTTTCTTGTAACACTAAACCATTTTTAAGGGAACAACTAACAATGTATAAATGAATGAAATAAGAATTAACATAGCTGTTTGTAAAAACTATTTGTTGAACTTACAGGAGGGAGGTTTTGCTTTTAAAGATGAACCTAATTCCCACGTTTTCTTTAACTTGCTTTCTCTGTGTCTGTGTTTCTGTGTTTGTTTGTCTTTCCAATCAAATCTTGCGATCGAAATTTCTGGCACTTCCCAGTTAGCTAGCGCGCTGAAATTTTCATGGAAGCTTTCTTTTGGATGACCATTGAATATTCAATTGTTATTATTACTAAATTGATCAATGGAAACATTTTATTGAGCATTTTAGACCGCTATATAATCTATATATATATAATTCTCCTCTGCGAGCCATTAGAAAAAAAACGAGCGACGCGTACCTCGCGCGCAGTGAAGCGAACGATCCCACATCGCCACAGGCTTAGGGGCAGATAATTTAGTTTGAACCGAGTTTAAACTTACAGGAGGTAGGCCAGTTTGGGGGAGACGATATGGTCGAGTGGTTGGGCACACGATTGCTATCCCACTCGACACGGGTTCAAATCTATGTGTTAACACAACGTGTTTTTTACGAGTTGTCTTTTTACGAGTTGTCTTTTTACGAGTTGTCTTTTTACGAGTTGTCTTCGTTTACCCAAAAAAAGTGAAAAGATAAAATCGATAGCAAGATTTTAATGCAAACAAACAAAGACTAAAAACTAGAAAATAATAATCATTAAAAAAGTTTTAAAAAACCCACGTTTTCTGATTGAACTAAAAAGTAGAAAATAAACGCTATACATCACAATAATGCAAGCGATCACTCTACTATAAGCGATCAAAAACGTGGGGCGCCGTGATTTTCTTACAGTTTCTAATACTGTTGACTCTCTACAAGCTCCCTAATAAAAGTCAATAGTATTATCTAATCAATAGTAATATAACTTTTACTTCGGCGCCCCACGTTTTTCATCGCTTATAGTAGAGTGATCGCTTGCATTATTGTGATGTATAGCGTTTATTTTCTACTTTTTAGTTCAATCAGAAAACGTGGGTTTTTAAAAACTTTTTTAATGATTATTATTTTGTATTTAAAATAGCGTATGATTTATTGTGAGTTCTTTTCAAGTAGAATTTGGGCCTCTTATCTGTGATAAAAAAAAAAACCGACATGTAGGCCTGCAACTCCCCGTGTTTCGGGGCCCTATATTCAACCATATAAACGTGTGTCGGGGCCCTATATTCAACCATATAAACGTGTTGCGGGGCCCTGTATTCAACCATATAAAGAGAGGACGGCTACAAAGATGTATAAACCAATTAATTTGAATATAATTTTTAAATTTTATTTATGATCAAATATTTCTGCCTAAACGCCCCCTCCCTTCTATTCAACTCCAGACTTTTTTCTCCGGGGGGGGGGGGGCGGTAGACTTTCTTCGGGGGGGGGGGCGGACACTGTTAAAAGTATATATTTTCTATATAAATTATATAAATTTCGTTGGGGGGGGGGGGGGGCGAAACTGTGCTCGCACTGAATGCCGTCACCCAAATGTCTGATCGAAGATCTTACCCCCCAGTATACTTCATCCCTGGGTCTTGCTACAGCTTAACCAGGCCCTTGTTCTGGCATCAGAATATCGCTGTTCTAGTGTGCACGATACCGATACATCGTTGGTAATCGGCCAATCTCCATAGATAAAAAATATTAAAGATATGAGGCAACTGTCTCACTACGTGACATAAGAAATTGTCCGTGGCTCACTTTTTTTTAAAATCGGGTAAACAAAAGCAGAGGTTGTCTCCGTCTGACTGCAAGTTTGTGACATGATGGAGCTGTGGTCGCTACTATTTTTCAGCTGTTTGGCTGTTTCTTGTGAGTTTTTCCCCATTTTGTTTTGTTCCGCTAAAACACCAGTAATTTTTAGCAAGAATGTTTCAAGAAGCTGAATACGAAAGTTTGATATGACTTTAAAAATAATCGTGCGTTTTACGATATAGTTTAAATTATTGTGCTTGGGTCTGGTGTAAGTCTTCTATAAAAAAAAAATTTACCGCTTTAAAAGAATATAGAATCTATATTCTTTCAAAGCGGTAAATTTTTTTTTTTAGAAAACGTATAGTTTAGAACGCTAGTTTTTGAGACAACGTATCGTCTACATTACTTTGTGGATCAGAGATCATGAAATAATGGAGAAATCATTATTACCAGAAAGTGTTAGTGTTGCCAAGAAGGCACAGTCCTGCAGTTAAAAATCGAAATTATGCAGTTTTTTGTTAAATTAATCACGGGAATTTTCACAGCATCAATACATCCACGCGAAATAACTTTAGCTCATCTAAAGTCAGTGTGGCGGACATTTTTTCCAGCTTGAAAGTATCCGCAATCAAATACATGAGAGAAAGTAGGCCTATTTGAAAAGACGCAAATTAATAAAATAAATAACTATTCAAAAAGATGAAAATGAATAAAAATAAATAAATATTCGAAAAGACGAAAATGTATAAAAATAAATAACTGTTTGAAAAGATGAAAATGAATAAAAATAAATAACTATTCGAAAAGATGAAAATGAATAAAAATAAATAAATATTCGAAAAGACGAAAATGTATAAAAATAAATAACTGTTTGAAAAGATGAAAATGAATAAAAAATAAAATAAATAAATTATAGAAGAAACCTTAGCCAACAAATTAGTGAGTAAACTTTGTTGTCTTGTTACATTGACAGCACAGGCCCTAGACTGCCCCTTGTGCTACAACAGATACGACTACACATCGTGTACGGGTGTGCAAACATGCCATCAGTCACATGACGTAAGTTTTGGTCACGTGACATTGAATCCCTCTACACACACTAGTTATGACTCCAAATTTAATATCACAATTTACACTCAATCCAATACGTATAAAACGCTGCTGAAATACCAACATGTCTTCCTTACGTATAAAACGCTGCTGAAATACCAACATGTATTCCTTACGTATAAAACGCTGCTGAAATACCAACATGTCTTCCTTACGTATAAAACGCTGCTGAAATACCAACATGTCTTCCTTACGTATAAAACGCTGCTGAAATACCAACATGTATTCCTTACGTATAAAACGCTGCTGAAATACCAACATGTATTCCTTACGTATAAAACGCTGCTGAAATACCACCACGTATTCCTTACGTATAAAACGCTGCTGAAATACCAACATGTATTCCTTACGTATAAAACGCTGCTGAAATACCACCATGTATTCCTTACGTATAAAACGCTGCTGAAATACCAACATGTATTCCTTAGGTGTGTGAGCTGACCGTTCATCTGACTGACCACAACAGTGTTGAGTACAACTGTCACAGCCGAGTTGTAAGTTCACAGATTCATATCAACAGATTCATATCAACAAAACTAGCTATTCTCAAACTATGCCCCATGGCCCATCCTACCAACAAAGCTAGCTATTCTCAAACTATGCAATTCGGGCAAGTGTCCATTCGGGCAAGTGTCCATTCGGGCATTTGTCCATTCGGGCAGTTGTCCATTCGGGCATTTGTCCATTCGGGCATTTGTCCATTCGGGCAGTTGTCCATTCGGGCATTTGTCCATTCGGGCAAGTGTCCATTCGGGCAAGTGTCCATTCGGGCATTTGTCCATTCGGGAAAACGTCCGGCTTCCATCCACTAGGCATGCTACCATCACAAAGTGACGGTCTGTTACATACACTAGGCATGTTACCATCACGAATTGACCGTTATATCCACTACATGCTACCATCATAAACTGACCGTTATATCCACTAGGCATGTTACCATCACGAATTGACCGTTATATCCACCAGGCATGCTACCATCATGAACTGACCCACTTCCACCACTGCGAACCGACCCACATGGAAAAATGCACGTTCTGCTGCCACGGTCCAACAGAGTGTGAAGTACAGAGAGAGGAACTGTTTGGAGGTGAGTACAGCTGGATGCACTTTAACGCTCACTTTATATTTCAAACGTTGTTGGTCATTTATATAATATAACTCAGTCTGTTTTAATATTTCAAGAATGAAATGAACTAAAGGATCTTATTTTTAGAAGTAAACTTTGTATTATTTAAATCCTGAATTATTAATAAATTATCTGTATATTCCAAGAACTTTTTTCTTAAACTATATTGTTGTTGGTCCTCAGGGTTTCTGCCTTCAACACCAGGACCAACTACAACACAAGGACCAACCACAACTACAACACCAGAGCCGACCACAACACCAGAGCCGACCACAACTACAACACCAGAGCCAACAACAACTACAACACCAGAGCCAACTACAACTACAACACCAACTACAACTACAACATCAACGACAACTACAACACCAGAACCAACTACAACATCAACGACAACTACAACGACGACCACGACCACGACCACAACCACGACCACAACAACCCCAAGTGAGATCTACTATATCATTGTTCGACTGCTGATTCTAATGGTTCAGTTATAAGGGGTGGGGAGTGGGGACGGTGCTTGGGTCAAGTTGAATCCCTTGGTGCAGGGGCGGGAAACAACAGATAGATGTTAAAGCACAGCCCCAGACAACATTATATGTAATAGAGTATACCATCAGTGTTACCACAACCCGTATATTCAACAAACATATCAACAGTACCACCCATCCAGTGTATACCATCCATTGTTGCACATATCCACAGTACCACCCATCCAGTGTATATCATCCATTGTTGCACATATCCATAGTACCACCCAACATCCAGTGTATACCATCCATTGTTGCACATATCCACAGTACCACCCAACATCCAGTGTATACCATCCATTGTTGCACATATCCACAGTACCACCCAACATCCAGTGTATACCATCCATTGTTGCACATATCCACAGTACCACCCAACATCTGTATACCATCCATTGTTGCACATATCCACAGTACCACCCAACATCCAGTGTATACCATCCATTGTTGCACATATCCACAGTACCACCCAACATCCCATGTATACCATCCATTGTTGCACATATCCACAGTACCACCCAACATCCAGTGTATACCATCCATTGTTGCACATATCCACAGTACCACCCAACATCCAGTGTATACCATCCATTGTTGCACATATCCACAGTACCACCCATCCAGTGTATACCATCCATTGTTGCACATATCCACAGTACCACCCATCCAGTGTATATCATCCATTGTTGCACATATCCACAGTACCACCCATCCAGTGTATACCATCCATTGTTGCACATATCCACAGTACCACCCAACATCCAGTGTATACCATCCATTGTTGCACATATCCACAGTACCACCCATCCAGTGTATACCATCCATTGTTGCACATATCCACAGTACCACCCAACATCCAGTGTATACCATCCATTGTTGCACATATCCACAGTACCACCCATCCAGTGTATATCATCCATTGTTGCACATATCCACAGTACCACCCATCCAGTGTATACCATCCATTGTTGCACATATCCACAGTACCACCCAACATCCAGTGTATACCATCCATTGTTGCACATATCCACAGTACCACCCATCCAGTGTATACCATCCATTGTAACACATATCCACAGTACCACCCAACATCCAGTGTATACCATCCATTGTTGCACATATCCACAGTACCACCCAACATCTGTATACCATCCATTGTTGCACATATCCACAGTACCACCCAACATCCAGTGTATACCATCCATTGTTGCACATATCCACAGTACCACCCAACATCCCATGTATACCATCCATTGTTGCACATATCCACAGTACCACCCAACATCCAGTGTATACCATCCATTGTTGCACATATCCACAGTACCACCCAACATCCAGTGTATACCATCCATTGTTGCACATATCCACAGTACCACCCATCCAGTGTATACCATCCATTGTTGCACATATCCACAGTACCACCCATCCAGTGTATACCATCCATTGTTGCACATATCCACAGTACCACCCAACATATGCATCCAGTGTAACGTGAGTGAGCCGTGTGATGGCTACACCATCCAGGTGACGCCACCACAAATGTGTGACCAGCAACAGCCGTACTGTTTCTCTACCATTGTACAGAACAAGGTTGAAAAGGATATCTACAAAGGGTAGGTTTAGGAGGGAAATAGACACTGAACACGAAGTGAAGTTGAATGACTTAAAACAACTTGAGTTTGTAGCGGAGTCCAGGATGTGGTTAAACTAGACTTAGTCCTCTTTACTCCTTGTTGAGCATTCGGCCTCAATCATTCTTCCACTTTGTCTCGTCGATAGTGTTGAATTTAGCGGTCTTCCAAGACATCCCTGATCTTCAACAAGACACCGTCTACAGGCCTGTCTTGAGCGCCCTCTTCTTTCGCCTTTCCCGCTCAATCGCCTTTCGCAAAGCGTGACCCTCCTAGCGCCACTGTTTCCCTATTATTTGTACTATCATGGGACCACCCCTGTCCTTCTCCACAGGTCTGTGTAAGGCACTTTGTCCTGCCACCTCAATTTCAGGATCTGTCTGAGTCGGTTCACAGAAAAATGCGCAATCGGAAAAGTGCGCAATCGGAAAACTGCGCAATGTAAAATGCGCAAATACAAACTAATTATATTAATACTAGGCATGCTGCCCAGCTTCGCTTAGGCTTTCGAAAACATTGAGAATTTGAATGCTTAATTAATTCGCCCGAAGGTCGGTCTACGACCTCAAGAGTTATGAAGAGGTTCCTCCGTGGACATTTTTTTTTCGATTTATAGCTCATATAAGGTACCGGTCAGTCGAGGTCAGTTTTGACCCCCACATCGTAGACTTTTCGGCCAACCGGCCCCCGTGTTCTGTCGCACCAAGGCAAGATCATGCCAAATTTGAAGCGCCTGCGGCGCCGGGAAGTGCCCTATCGAGCACCCGACAACTTTGCTTTATATATTATAGAGATTAGCAAATTGCATAGATAAACAAAGATTTCAATAAAGTAATTAAGGCCTGAAATACTTCAGTATAGAAATGTATTATTTGAATAGATTCTAGGTCTAGGTAGGGTCTACATAAATTTTATGAGTTTAGGCCGGAAAAATTGTATTGTATACATTTCATAGTGTACGTAGATCTAAATCAAATTTGAATGAAATAGTTCACTTCTTTTTATTCCAAACACTGCAGATGACGTCATTAGTTAATGTATAAGCAATAGTGACGTCACAGTTTTATGCGTTCTTTTTCACATCTATTAATGCTTTTCCGGTTGCATAAATAAAATTGTTTTTCTACATTCGAATACGCCTTTATTTTTTATTTTTATTCTTTAAATAAAATTGTGGTTATACATTTAAAACATCTAACATATTATTTTCAACAAAAGTCCGTATAAAGTTCTCCATATATCGCTGCCGTTTCTGACTTGATGTCCGGCGAAAATATTTTGCGGACAGACAGAGAGAGAGAGAGAGAGAGAAGAGCGCACATGGCGTTTTATAAATTAGGATAATTTAACTTTGTCGTATTTCGTGGAAATATGTTTATTATGCTACAATGTACATCTAATCACTCTTTAATTATAAGAAAACAAAAATGCCCTTGCGCACTTATTTTTGCGCAGTTTTCCGTTGCGCATATTCCCGGTCACCGTTTGGGACATTTATTAATGATGTGGTTAAACAAACCAGCTCAAATTTGCAGCTAACGATAAAATCTATCTCACTAAGGTCACTATTTTAAAAGTCCTTTACATAATTGTATTATCTCTCCCCTAGTTAACTGACGGTAGCCATCACACCCTGATCACGTGACACATCTTTTAACACGTTTCCTTTGTCTGGTTACTTCCAGCTGCGCCGATGAAAATTTCTGCCGGCTAAAGTGGTGGGAGCAGACGTCAACCAAACCCAACTGTCTGGTCGAGGATTACACCGGCCTTGACCTTGACTGCACCTTCTGCTGTACCGGGGTGGGGTGCAACCTGCCCGTCAAGCCGTATGACGTCACGCTTGTGCACTTCACGTGAGCTCGCGAAAGTTCTAAGGATAATGACTCGGGATAACACCCACACCACCGATTGACTGAACATGGACCCTAACATCACCGCGCCACACTTTTCAAGAAGTTTTTTTTTAATATGCGATTATTGAACTTTTCAAAATTGTTATTATTTTGAAAAAAAAAAAAGAATGAAGCTAAATGGTACATTTAAGTCATAAAACATTCTGTATAAATGACAAGAAAAAGTTGAATATAATTAACTGACTAAGAGGGATTGTGTTATGGATTATTGAGGATGTACAAGCATATTTTGTTTTTATTTATTTTATTATGAATTGATTCTCGAGCAGTTGATACAGATGTCTGGTACCGGATATATATTCCAATTTATTTGTCTGCTTTATCCGATGAGAATGTTCACACAAACCCAAAAACAAGAAACACTCTTACGCTGCTCAAGGAAAGGGAAATAACTAAAACAGCCACAAGGCAAGGTATAAAAAAATAACATTGCCGGGATGTCTTTACACATTTTTAACCAGTGCTGACATTGGGATGAGAATGATAAGCTGGAGGTTGTTTCAGGTACCTCTTAAATGGGTGGGTGGGGGTGGGTGGGGGGGGGGGTGCCAGCCTACTCTACTCGGAAGTTACAAGTTCTATCCATCCAGAATCCCCCCCCCCCCAATCACTCATTACCCCTTCGAGAGACAATGTCTGAAAGAAGCAATGGATTCACAGAAATTTAAATAAGACAAATCCTCCAACATTAATTAAAAAAATTTCTTTTCAATGCATTAAAAAAAAAATAAAAAAATAAAACCAACTTTCTTTAAATTGTAAAAAAGGTGGTCGCTAAAATGTGTGAAAATTTCATGAGCGTCCAGCGGTTTCAAGAAAATTTGTTTTAGTTTTTCATTTTTAGTGCAGTTTATAAAATTATTGCTGTGTTCCAAGTTTTTCTATCGGTTTTAAATAACTAGCAACTTAAAAAATTACAATAGGGAATATTTAAATAAAAAAATGTCAGTATCATATTATTTCCATTGTTAAGTTCTTTAGTCAACAACACGATAAAAGTTTTAGAAGCAAGAGCTGACAGAATATCTAACCAATAACCTAGTGATTCACCGACAGACGTACATACAGATGGACAGACGGTCAGACGGACAGATAGACAGACAGGCAGACAAAGTAAACAGCTGTTTCCGAAACTTCCAAAACATGTAAATGATTTTTTTTAAAGTCATGAAGTGTAAACAAAAAAAACCACATTCGACAAAAAAATAAATAAATCCAGCCACCAAGATTATCAGGTAAAAAAAATTGATCCTGTTATAGGAAGCGATAAGATAAAGTCGTGACGACATCTTGCAGCATGTGCACGTGACTGACGACCTGTCTGGAAACCAACATGGCCGCCAGGCGGGGTTTTTATATCAGTCTTATCTTTTGGTTGACCTATCTAACTAGGGGGCAGCAAAATTGTCTTAGTTTATTGTCTAAGTCAATGTCTACTCAAATCTTTGACAAGACTCACTGTATGAGAAGAAACTCTGTATAAAAATACAATGCATTATACATACTATCACAAGACACACTCTCATAAAACACTGTCGCAAGACATACTATGACAAGACACACGCTATCAAAAGATACACGATCACAAGACTCATCCCCCTTCCCCCCCCCCCCCCCCCCCCCAAGAGGTGCCTGGTAGAAACACTGCCTTTCACCACAACAAACTGATTCTACTAATCCAAATAAAAAAAAATAAAAGTGTTAGGTACATTGCTTGTATATGACTATTAATTATCTGCTTGAATATGTTCTTTTTTACACGTTTCTCACAAATGTTATAAAATATTCAATTTTGGTTAAAAAATATGCTTTCTGCCAACAACCATTTGGAACCAGCTTTTCAAGCCTATTTTAGATACGTAACTCATTTTCTGATAAAAGATGTGGCTTCGCAAAGAATTTTTATTGGTTAGACTACCAGAAATATACATAACACTAAGTTTATGCGGACAAGAAAGAAACGTCTATGTAGGGTTAAAAGATTATCTGCTATGTTTAAAGTTTAAAATTGCCATTCTTCCATTCTTCTAAGAGTAACGTTGATATTGTGAGCAAAAATGTAAAGAAAATAATGTAAATCTTTATGGAAGAAGTTAACGACAGACAATTATGTTTTATTGTTTTAAATTAAAAAAGAAACGATAAAAAAAAACCCCATAAAAAAAAATATAATTTATAGTCAAAGGGAAACAAACGTGAAAATATTTGACTTCGTAGTTAAGACGAGGTTACCTAACTTAAGTGTTTTTGTTGGATTTATCAATATTTATATGAATGTTTATAGATATTATTTTTTTATAAATAAAATGTTGATATTTATTAATATTAATATTTTATAGTGTTAAAAATAACATTTACTAAAACTAATATGTATTAATGTTAATATTTATTAATAAAATTAGCATCATTATATATTTAGGCTAATTTATGTATTAAATGAAACTCGTTTAATTTTCTTTCTTTATTTTTAAGAAAATATGATATGAGTAAGAATCGACTAGCGCTGCTCACTTGTTTTCATTTTGTGTTTACTATTATTAAATTAATAATAATTATTATTATTTTAAATAAATTAAACATTTTTACAATAAAACTGACTCAAAAATATAACAGCTAGGTAACTCTAGATTAACTACGAAATAAAATAATTTCATGTTTGTTCCCCTTTGATCATAACTTTAATTTTATATTCTTTAACAGAAACTTATAACATACCCCCATTAATATTATCAATAAAATAAGAAAATATGATATGATTAAGAATGAACTATTACTGTTCACTAAATTTTTATCGTATATTTATTATTATTATTTTTAATTAATTAAACGTTTTTACAACATAACTGACTCAAAATATTCAAGCGAAGTAACTTGAGCTTAACTACGAAATGAAATAATTTCATGTTTGTTCCCCTTTGACCATAAATTTGTTATAGTCATGACTGATACTTAAACTCCCATTACGCTTTAGCTGATCAGTTGTATTCGATGTTGTTATCAAGCGTGTGTGACTTATAACCACACCTCCCGGGTATTTTCCCGTCTAATAGTAATAGTTAAAGCCACCTCCCACTTCCCTGGATATTTTTCAGTGTTACAGTGATAGCCCCACCCCCGGATATTTTCCCGTCTGGCAGTGATAGTAACCCCCCCCCCCCCCGCCTCCCCGGATATTTTCCCGTCTGACAGTGATAATAAGAGCCCCACCCCCGGGATATTTTTTACGCCAGGGTCTCAGCTCAAGCTTAACCCGTCCTTAGTTACGGCCAGTGTTTCTTCCAGACTTTTTTCTCCGGGGGGGGGGGGCACTTGAAATCTTTGGGGGGGCGGTAAACTTTCTTCGGGTGGGCGGACACTGTTAAAAGTATATATTTTCTATATAAATTATATAAATTTTATTTCGTTCGGGGGGGGGGGGGGGGCGGTAAAAAATTTTCAGGGGGGCTTTGCCCCCCCCGAAGAGATGCCTGGAAGAAACTCTGGTTACGGCTTCTGAACTTCGTTCCTCGAGTGCAAACGAAACCGATACAACGCTAGCAATCGACAGAATCTTGACAGAAATGCAAAGATAAGATATGTGGTCGCTGTAAGTCTAAGTGGTGTACGACATTGGTCGGTCGTGGCTGATTTTCTTTTAAATTATGTTAAACAAAACTCGAAGTTTGCTGCATATGATTGATGACATTATGGCTCCCTTGTTACTGTTATTTGTCGTCTCTTTGACTGTCTATAGTGCGTTGTTTTAGCTATTTGAGTTTTTTATTTAAAAAAAAAATTCAATGTTCATGTTATACCACGTGTACATGGTATAAAAAATAATGAACACCATTTAACCACTGAGTGAAAAAACAAACAACGTATGCATTTATATGTTAACACATTTAATTTGCAAAGGGCATAAGCCTACGTATTTAGTACATATGTGTGTGTTAGACTTTTTCGTGACTATTCAGAAACGTTTTGATTGGAGGCTCATTTTTACTCATCAACAAATAGGACATTTTCTAAATTAAATACGGAAAAAAATCTTTCATAGCGTGTAGGTTTACTAGTTTATCTCCAGAAGCCATATCATGATGGAGTATATCCACAACAAATCCATTTATCTTCAACTACAACCATCCAGTAGCGTAGCGAGGGGGGGGGGGGGCGGGGGACGACATATGTCCCCGGGCGCCGACCTTAGGGGGCGCCAAAATGGGTTGGAAAAATAAATTGAAAGGTGTAAATCGAAAGTTTGAGGGGGGGGGGGTGCTAATGGAAATCTCGAAAGGGGGGGGGGGTGCAAATGAAAATCTCGAGGGGGGGGGTGCAATAGAAAGTTTGTCCCCGGGCGCCGGAAGGGTCGCTACGCCTCTGCAACCATCCACAGAACAACGCAACCTGTGTCTGCAGTGCAATGTGGGGAAGCCGTGTGATGGGTACACAGATTGTATCACCAGAGATTGTTATGGGTTCATCATTGTGACATCATTCTAGATGAGCTTACGACATTTGTGGGGTGTTTGGGAGGGGGGGGGGGGAGCGGCGAGAAAAATCGTCACAAAAATATGACGTCAATTATGGACAAAACTTTGACTCAAGTAGTCACAGTTTTTTATGGAAACTGCCTTTGAAATTAGAAGATAATAACTGCAGCCATCCAATAGTCGCATCTGATTATAAATGTCATGAAGTGCAGTATTAGATTTCCTTCTACTTAAATAACACCCCCCCCCCCTAAAAGCAGCCCCTTCCCCACCCCCAAGATAGCGAGGTTAAAACATAAAAATATAAATTTCAATCAGCTGATAGGGCGTCAAATCGTGACGACACATGTTGTAGCATGTCCACGTGACAGACGGCCTGTCTGGAAACCAACATGGCTGCCATGTTTTGTTTTTTAAACTTTCGTGTCTTATCTGTTAGCTGACCTGTCGAAATACATACCAGACACTATTTTGTCGAAATACATACCGGACACAATTTTCTAATTGTGTTATTTTAATTAAGTCTTACTGGTCCTTTGTTTATGCATGTTGAGAAAATAATGTTGCGATTAATAATGTGATTGTCTTGTAGACAAACATCAAACCAATAAATAGTTCACAGTAGGGTTTAATTAGAGCCCTTAAGTTATGAAGAGGTAGGGGTTAAAAGAATATTTTTTTTAGAAAGTAAAGAAGCAAGAAGGGTCCACTACTGATTCAATCCAAGGTCAGAGATATCGTCTACTCTGTCTTACAAGACACGCCGCATCACGTGATAATTACATAATTGTTAGTTTTAAGATACTCTATCAACAGCTAGGGTACGATTCGTATATTTTCCTCTTATTTATCTTCATTATATTTTTATATCAAGGTATTTTCTCGCTATAATTTTCAGATCTTCAGTGCTAAAAAGTCTGAGTTAAGCAGACGATATTCACGTCTGCAAACATTTGGTTCGACGATAAGACCGAGCTTGCATAAGGTGATCGGTCACGGTGACCTACAACCCTCCAGATAAGCTGTACCTTCACCAGACGGTGACATCAAAATATTGTTACAGATAGAGAGAAAAAATATTGTTACAGATAGAGAGAAAAAATATTGTTACAGATAGAGAGAAAAAATATTGTTACAGATAGAGAGAAAAAATATTGTTACAGATAGGAAGAAACATTTTTACTTACAGATTATAAAAAAAGCAAATTAAACATTTTTTTGGCGAACTAACATACACGATTGGCATCAATATCGTTTTCTTTCTTCTAAGTACACTTGATATATTAGTTAGATGTAACTTCCAAAAATAAAAATCAAACAAAAGTATGTACATTCTAAAAGTTGCTTTAACAAACAAACAGTCCTCAAATTAACCTATATAATAAATACAAGCTAGAAAACAAAACAAAAATCACTTTGCCTTTATAATACAAGTAACGTAAATTAAAAATTTTCCCTTTCAAACCTGACGGTCTATGGGGCAAGTGAAGTAGAGTTTACTTGTTTCTGTGACCTCGGCATATGAAGTTATACAAGCTACGTACCAAACTAAAACTTCATCAAATTTACTTACATTACATAATAAATGCGAACTAAAAAGCGAACCAAAACCCACTTACTTAACAATGTAACTCACAAAACTAAAAACTCATCAAAACCACTTACAAAATTTACACAAATTTTAAGTTCGAAATAAACAACATAGCCATATTAACCTATCAAACATGTAGCCTAAAATTAAAATTAAAGTGTTAAATCGTCCAATTTACAAATATCCATAATTGCTTGAATCATTTGTGATTGTCAAATAATTTAATTTCAAATGATATCACATATTTTAATTCAAACAATGGATGGAATGCAGAGAAAAAAATTAAAAGCTGCCTAAAAAAAACTATTAAAAAAAACAAATTGCGGCTGTTGCAAGTCGGCAAGATGAAAAAAAAAACGATACAAAAAATGAAACAGATACTTCATTATAATCGAAGTTTAACTTGTAATCGAAGCAGAGGAATCGTTCCCGTCCACTTTTATTCAAATAAAAAGATAGGGAACCCTTGAACGCTGCTTGCAACTTTTTTCGTCCGGGCAGACTTGAAAGTTTTGTCGAACGGATTGTCATGGACAAGCTGGTGCTTCTGTTTTTCGGCTGTTTGGTGGTTTTTGGTAAATGTTTTACGGCACTTATTTCATTCGCTCTTTTCGCTTTTAGATTTTTAGGAGTTCTTTTCCTTTATTACTTTTATGTCTTTGGTGTCCTGGTGCACCAAATAATTTATAGTGTTGGTATAGGGACAGTTTTGTGTTTGCAAACGTACGTACAAGAAGAATTAGATCTGTACTCAACATTTGTTAGAACTGGGCTAATACTTAGGTCACAATGTCCGTCCGTGGGTGGGGGACTGGACCAGCTTCTAGTGAAGAATTTATCCATATAATTTTGTTTCCGATGACAACGCAAGAATATATACTTTTTAATCTAATTAGATATTAACCTGACCATTACAAGTTAATTTAAAGATGACGATATTCAATAACAAAAGGGGAGATAACAATTTTAAGTAGTTGCGGTAGTGAGTAGTGGAACAGCCCGTTGAACTGTGGACATGAGTTTACACGGCTAAAGCTTTGCGATTTTTAAAGCTTTGCAGAGCCGCCCCCCCACCCCCCCTCGAAGAAAGTCTACCCTCCTCCCCCCCCCCCGAACGAAATGGAATTTATATAGAAAACATATACTTTTATCAGTGTCTGCCCCCCTAAGGAAAATGTTGACCGCCCCCCCCCCTCGAAAATATTAAGTGCCCCCCCCCCTTCCCCCGGAGAAAAAAGTCTTCAAGAAACATTACTCTATTCTGTTAAAACGCAGCGTAATCGGCTAACAGTTTAAAACTTTTTTTTTGGAGACAGTAAAAAAAAAAAAGAAACAAAACAAAGGGAGTAAACTATGTTGTCACTGGTCTTATTTATTTCACAGCCCAGGCCCTAGACTGCCCCGTGTGCTACAACAGATACGACTACACATCGTGTACGGGTGTGCAAACATGCCATCAGTCACATGACGTAAGTTTTGGTCACGTGACATTTAGTCTCTCTACACATCATGCACACGTGTGCAACATGTCCTAAGACTTAGGTATTTTCTTCTGGCTGTGGTGGACGTCAAACTGTCGAGAATCTTAAAGACATCATCCAAACCAATGACAAGATAACTTTAACAATTTATCTCTCAGTTGTTAGATAGCCCACAACTTATGAGATATTCTTAGTTTTTTTCTTCTTTCATATTTTACAATTTAACATCTTTAGCCATAAAAGTACTTTTGTCATGTTTGGCACATGGAAGCAAGTACTGAACAGAAAAAAGACGGTTGAAAACAATGACGGTTGTCATGGAAACCTCCCCCCACCCAAAAAAAAGCCATTTTGAATTTTTCGGCTGTTTTAAAAACGAAAAAGCTTTTTTTTTTTAAAAAAATTATGCACATATAGCAATCAAATTTACACTGCTTATATTTTAGCCCATGGTAAAATCGAGAAATGGTGACACTGTTGTATCCTTGGTATATATTCAAATTCTAATAATGTTAAATTAAAACGTTTGTAATGATGCGACTGTTCAATAATTTTTTAATTTGTCAGGTGTGTGAGCTGACGGTCCATCTGAAAGATTTCAACAGTGTCGAGTATATCTGTCACAGCCGAGTTGTAAGTCATCATCAGTACACACAGTCAAGTTGTAAGTCATCCAATCAGTACACACCCCGCCTTTGGTCATTGATCTAACATACAAATTACATTATCTTACAATAGGCTCCACTCACAAGGTAACTAGTACATACTACACAAGGTAACCAAATTACAAAAATATACCACACGAGGTAACCAATACAGCTCAAGTCGGCTGATTTTCAAGATAAATACACTTAATAAAACCAGCTCATTTTTTAAATTTTTTTTTTGCATTATCCTTTAATATGTTACTAAACATATTATTATATTTGTCATGTATAAATACACTTTTCTTTAAAAAAAAAACTACAACACGTAACAAAAATAAATGAGGTGGCATTTTGGGGGCTGGAACGGAATAGTGACATTTCTATTAATTTGAATGGAATGATTAGCGATGTTACAATAAAAAAACTGACCATTTGTTAAACCAACTAGGCATGTTACCATCACAAACTGACCGTTATATCCTCTAGGCATGCTACCATCACAAACTGACCGTTATATTCACTACATGTTACCATTATCCACTAGGCATGCTACCATCATGAACTGATCGTTATATCCTATAGGCATGTTACCATCATGAACTGACCGTTATATCCTCTAGGCATGCTACCATCATGAACTGACCGTTATATCCTCTAGGCATGTTACCATCACAAACTGACCATTATATCCTCTAGGCATGCTACCATCATGAACTGACCCACTTCCACCACTGCGAGCCAACCCACATGGAAAAATGCACGTTCTGTTGCCACGGTGTGACAGAGTGTGAGCTACAGAGGGAGGAACTGTTTGGACGTGAGTACCATTCGACACGTTCTGAATGTCGCGACCTATTTCTCGGCCCTGTTTATCACAATTTGTAAGTTCTTGAATCATTTGAACGCATTTTCATATCTGCAAAAACCTCGAAATTTTTAGACGTGTTTGGGTTTCGACCCAGCAACTTTTGTAAAAAAAATGTTCTTTAAAATTCTTCCAGAGTACCTCACAACAACAGCAGCTCCGGTGGAGCAGACCACTACAACTGAGGAACCGACCACCACAACCACGCCAACTACCACCACAACCACGCCAACTACAACCACAACAACACCAACTACCACCACTACAACACCAACTACCACCACTACAACACCAACTACCACCACTACAACACCAACCACCACCACAACTACCACCACAACAACTACAACTACAACTACGACGACACCAGGTAAAATATACTATATGTACTAAATATATAAATAATTATTTAGTTAAATATTTAGTCCTTTTGTGCTTCCAACCTCAAGATGACCTCATTCCAGAAATTCTATTTTTTCATGACACAAAAATGCTACCCATAACGAGCTACAACTCATGTTATCCACACCACCGCTAATTCTCATCATACCATCCATTGTTTCACATATCCACAGTACCACCCAACATATGCATCCAGTGTAACGTGAGTGAGCCGTGTGACGCCTACACTGTCCAGGTGACGCCACCAAAGCTGTGTGACCAGCAACAGCCGTACTGTTTCACCAGCATCGTGCAGAACCAGGTGGAAAAGGATATCTACAAAGGGTAGGTCTGGGAGAAGATTCAATGATAAGCTCCATCGCCCGGTCCTGGAACGATAAATACATTGTCTTACTGCCTTGGGACCCAATATGAACTGTACCGTAAAATATTTACCTGGATTACAAAGTGTCTTTCACACGCCATCACCACACTGCCAACATCGCCCAGCAGGGTTGTTGACAAGAAAATAAAGCTGGAAAGGCAAAGTAGTACGTTCAATACTTAGTCAACACAACCATATAGTAGAAATGTCTTCCTACCCCAATATTTCCTAACACCTAGCATCTATCTTGTCTTTCGTTTTTTAAAGGGTGTGTCAGTTACTATATAAAATATAACTGATTTTAGTTACAAATGTTTTACTATGTGTGTATTTTTTTGGAGATGAGTAAGGATTCTGGCTTTTTATAGCGATGTGTGATGGTTTGTGGTATTTTGACCGAGCTCAGTCAATATTTAAACAAGTTAATTAAAAAAGTCTAGTGACATTTGTGCGCAATTTCCTTATGTTATCTAAAAATAGCTCTGACGTATAATGTTGGGGTGCGTTCAAGCTAGAAGAACAATCGGTTTGTAGGTGTTTATGTAATTTTAAAATTTGTGACCGAACGAGAGAATATTTTTGAAAACTTTCTTCGGCAATATTGTTCTAAATTATGACAGGAATCGATTGGTACATGTTTCAAGTCGCTAAGTGGTCTGGTTGCCGAGATATGGGCCAAAAACTGAATTTTTTCGAGGTTTTTTGGCTTTTCCGGGAAATACATGAAAGAAACCCGGAATTTTTATGGCCTATGCTCATTCTCGTAACTTGCTTAACATAATTGCTTTTGGAACTATTCATCGATATTGCTTCGTTGAGGAGGAGATACGACTTAAAGCCCGGACACACATTCATCCATCCATCCATCCATTCCCAGAAATGACGAGTTAATAAACGCAATTCTCCAGAATGGAAATTGCGCTAAAAAATAATTCATCTGCAATTTTGAAGGGGGGGGGGTGGGTGGGTGGGGGGGGGGGGTTGTAGGCTAAGGTGTACCGTCTTTTATAGATGACCCCATTGTTAATTTGAAACAATAGCTTATTTTATTCTCAAATGATTTCACACTCGTATTTTTGTTTAAAAGTCCTAGTTTTTTAGTACCTTGTGTAGTCAAGGTTATCACGGTGAAGCGTCCTATAAAGTCAATAGGCTCATAAGGATGAGGGGCCGTGGTCTCAGGAAAAGGTTATATAATAATGTTAATCAGATAGGAAATGAGAAAAAATTTCCAACTTTTTGTTATTTAACATGTGCATTAACATGTGCACGGTCATTAACCGTCGCTTAGTTTAAATTGTAAGATATTTGCCGATTTTGCTGATACGTATTTAATTAATGAATGTAAAACAAATTTATCTTTTGTTTTTATTATTCTGCTTCTAAATTTGAATATTATTGTAATTTTAATTTAATCAAAAGTGCAACTAAAATCTTTTTTCTATCTACAAAAATCTGCCGTACTTTTATGTTTTCTTGTATCAGCTACCTGAAATCTTTAACGTACATTGGTACATTATTCACACACATGTAAATAAAATCGTTTAAAATTGATAAAGATGTCTTCAATTACTTTTGTATGTATTTCTAAACTTCCAGATGCGCCGATGAAGATTTCTGTCGGTTAAAGTGGTGGGAGCAGACGTCTACCAAACCCATCTGCCTGGTCATAGATTACACTGGCCTTGACCTTGACTGCACCTTCTGCTGTACTGGAGTTGGATGCAACCTGCCCGTGAAGCCGTATGACGTCACACTTGTACAGTTTGTTTAAATGAACCGTGGTTCTAACACTGTTGGCACATGGAACCCCTAACAAGTGTTCTCAAGTCTTTCTTTCTGTCTATATTACATTTTTCAAAATTAAAATTTTGGATTTTAAAGTAAAACCTACTTTGATACATCTTTATCTGGCAATAAAAACTTAAAAAAAAAATCTTTTCATTTGGCATTTGTTTACATAATCTAAGGGCTCGATGACTACAAGGTGAAAAAGTCCAAAATACAGATCTAGCCTACTGCTAAAATAATACTTTTTCCAGGTCATATAATAACTAAATTAATTTTTTGGAACAGAATAACTCCTCTAAACAATAACAAAAAGGGCTAGGAAGGGTGTGGGGTGGGTTTGATAAAAACGATTAAAACCTGCTTTGATTTGAAAGAAAACACTATATCCACATCCAAAAGCAATCTAAAGAATAATAAAAAGCACCAAACAATCTCAAATGTATGAAAAGCACCCAAAACTGCACATAAGACGACGGATGTTACAAATTTGCACGCAAAGAACAACACCTTATCTTCAGACTCAGAGCAGTCCACAACAAACTAAAACAACACATGTATAAAAAACTAAAAGTTGATCCTGGAAAAACTTGCCAGAAGTTTGGTCTGAGGGACCCACAGAATGTTGGTCTGAGGGTCCTGCAGATGTTTGGTCTGAGGTTCCCACAGGAGTTTGGTCTGAGGGTCCCACTGAAGGTTGGTATAAGGGTCCCAATGAAGGTTGGTGTGAAGGTCCCACAGATGTTTGGTCTGAGGGTCCCAATGAATGTTGGTCTGAGGGTCCCACAGAATGTTGTTCTGAGGGTCCCACAGGAGTTTGGTCTGAGGGACCCACTGAATGTTGGTCTGAGGGTCCTGCAGATGTTAGGTCTGAGGGTCCCAATGAAGGTTGGTCCTAGGGTCCCACAGGAGTTTGGTCTGAGGGTCCCACAGAAGGTTGGTCTGAGGGCCCCACAGAAGGTTGGTCTGAGGGCCCCACAGATGGTTGGTCTGAGGGTCCCACAGAAGGTTTGTCTGAGGGTCCCACAGAAGGTTGATTTGAGGGACAGTAAATAAAAATAACCTAACAGAGAATTTTATACAGACTCAATAGGAGATATTTATTTTCCATTTTAAAGGAAAATTAAATTTTACGATGCAAGTTTGGGTAAAAGTTATCTTAATTCTAAATTTTAAAACAAACAATGCATTAACATGTGAGATATTATTTATAACCATTTTATTATAAAACTCATGTTTAATATTTATATAAATGGTGCTCAGTTTCTTAACATAAACATTTATATTATATTATAAAGATCAAAGTTATTTGATGTATAAAAAAAATTATCAATACATTTATATTAAATTATCTGAGGGTTAGAGATTTCCTTAAAAAAAACAATCACATTCATGTAAATTTGTATATTACACATAAAGAATTAAAACATATAACAATTTACATGCCATACATTTTATGTTATAAATACTGTGAGAGGTTTAAATAATAAATAAATAAAAATAAAATAAAAGACATGATCACTGGTTAAATGTAAAGGTAGAGAGTTAAAATATCTGAGTCGTTTTAACTCTTGGTGTCATTAAATTGTGTTGTAATTGTACAAAGGTAAAACAAGTAATGCTGTAAATATATTAAAAAACAACTGAAATATTCTACATAAACAGTTGAGACACAGAGAAGGAACCAAAGAAAAAAAAAGGAAGAATAAAACAGCTTCCAGTTTACCCTAAAGATTTTGTCACTATACAAAACTCCACACAGGTGCGTCAACAGTGAACACAGTTATCTAGTTTAGGAAACTATTTCATTTTATTATGACGAGCAGCTAGACCAATTAATTATGCAATAAAGTTTAGCATTCTGGAAATTTTTTTCTCATTAAACCCTTCTACTTGATCAAACTTTCATTTATTGTAGAAAAATTACACTCATGAAATAAATACATAATTTCAAAGTGAAAAAAACAACAACTTATAAATACAAATATTAGTTAATCAAAATTAATTTTTCAGCACTCCCTTGTCTAAAAACAATATAGAAGATCAAAATAGCCTCATATACATGGTTTTAAAAACATGGCATATGTGATAATAAATTAATATAATATAAAAATTCTATAACCGGTGAGTAAAAAAGTCAAAATGTTTTTAAAAAGGCAAATATAAAATTCCAATAATTTAGACAATAATTGGTGGTATATTTATAATTGGTTTGTTGAAGCAACAAACAATACAAAATATTTTACATACACTGAAGTAAAGGAAAAAATTATCATAAAATATTGCAAATGTCTAACAGTTAAAATAATTTTCTTGAAATATATAAAAAACAGAGTTAGATAATTATTTCAAATCTTTGGAATAAAGTTGTCACAAAATATTGCGAATGGCCTAGAAAATAATAAGGTATCATGTGACTAGAATGATTTAAATACTAGACAACCAGGTACAGCCGTAACTGCTGCTGGTGCATCTTCTCTGCTACATTCTCTATCCTGATCAGCTTTGAGCTGGAACTACCTGCTCCATAGACGCGATAGATCTCAAAGTTTTCCTTCTGCTGGATGGCCAACTCTGTCTGGTTGTAGGAGATACGAAAGTTTTCTTTCGACCAGTGTTTGGTGGTTTTCACCTGAGAAAAGGAAGCAAAACATATGTGATGGCCTGTTCATGCAAATAGAAAATTACATTTAGAATATAGAGTCATGTCCAGACTGAACTTTCATTTATAGTTGAATAGAAATATGCCACACCTTATAGTTTTAAGTAGAAAAAAAATGAATTGAATATATAATAAAAAAAAAATTAATTAACATAGCTAAAACAATTTTAATTAATTTTTCTGAGGCTGTCTTTGTAACTCCACAGTTTCCTCCAAAGTGTCAAGTACTAAACTTGAATATTTGTAACTTATTAAGTTTTCTATTAGTGCAACAATCACAGTAACTCAACCATAAAAACTGTAGAAATAAAATGAAAGAAGTGCCTAAACGAGCAAACATTCTGCACCAAGTTTAACCCCACAAAACACCCGACACAGACTTTATGAGCTCCCTAAATTTCCCATTAAACCTCTCACCTCTATATAAATAGTTTTAGTTTTGTTAGGATCATCAGTCAGACAAGTGACTTTAAAGTCATAAGGCAGCCCCCTCTCACAGTCCACGTTGGCCCACTGGACATCCACAATTGTCTGGTCTACACACTGCTGCTGCTGCAGGAAGTTCCAGACCAGCTTCTCGCCCCACTGACCTACTTCTATGAGGGAGGCGTCGTCTGCCAGCGTCTGCAGGGATGTGATCAGGTTCTGCTCACACTTGAGCTCAGTGTAGTCGAGTTCTTTGTTGGTCTCTGTCCAGACAGGCTCATCTGCAGGTGAGTTTACAGGTGGGTGAGGCAGTTTACAGGTGGGTAAGTCAGTTTACAGGTGGGTGAGTCAGTTTACAGGTGGGTGAGGCAGTTTACAGGTGGGTAAGTCAGTTTACAGGTGGGTGAGTCAGTTTACAGGTGGGTGAGTCAGTTTACAGGTGGGTGAGTCATTTTACAGGTGGGTGAGTCAGTTTACAGGTGGGTGAGTCAGTTTACAGGTGGGTGAGTCAGTTTACAGGTGGGTGAGGCAGTTTACAGGTGGGTGAGGCAGTTTACTGGTGGGTGAGTCAGTTTACAGGTGGGTGAGTCAGTTTACAGGTGGGTGAGTCAGTTTACAGGTGGGTGAGTCATTTTACAGGTGGGTGAGTCAGTTACCAGGTGGGTGAGTCATTTTACAGGTGGGTGAGTCAGTTAACAGGTAGATTAGAAAAAATTATGATTTTACAGGTCTTCTTCTTCTTCGTTCTAACTTACAGGTGAATGAGAATCATTTTACATTGGATGGGAATTATTTTGCAGGTGGATAAGAATAATTTTAAATTAAATTTTTACATAGCATAACATATACTTAATACAAGACAGCTTATAGGACGGCATTGCAGTGTGGTAAAGCATATATCTGTTTACCCTAAAGACTTAATTAAGATTCCTGGTATAGAATTTGTAAGATATCACTGATAAGATATACAAAATACATAAGGCAATGTTTTATGCATACTTAAAAAAATGTTTTTGGCCATAAGAGGTTAAATTAGAAACAGGCTATAAAATAAACTCACTAAAGTTAATGCCACCATGGTTGGCACCATGCTGTCCACTGGTCTGACCAAAAGTATCAAAATATTTTTCTGTACTTTCAACTGGCATATGAAATGGGTATTCAAAACCCTGAAACTCCTGGCTGTCTTTGTTAATCTGTTCTCCCTGAAAAAGGTTTTTATATCCATGTGTTATACATAAGATAACAGGAAGACATAGGAGAGCTCATGGATTCAGGTGATGTATAAATGTTACACACACCTGAGCTGTAGGTAAAACTTGTTAAATCCCCCAACTGTATCCTAATGTTGATATCTACACACCTGAGCTAAAGGTAAACATTGTAAAGTGCCCACCTGTATCCTAGTGTGGATATCTACACACCTGAGCTAAAGGTAAACATTGTAAAGTGCCCACCTGTATCCTAGTGTGGATATCTACACACCTGAGCTAAAGGTAAACATTGTAAAGTGCCCACCTGTATCCTAGTGTGGATATATGGACCCTCTAGCACTGAGCTAGATCTGGAGACAGTGGTACTGCCATGATCCCTGGGCTGTGTTCCAGTCAACTGCTTCACATCTTTATTATTTAGATCATAAATATCATACAAAATTAATGTAAAAAAAAAAAATTGTTCAGCAAATAGTCTATCTTAATTATAAAAGTTCACACAAAAAAATTAATTGCAAAAGTTGACCAGCTGATATAAACAAGATAAATAATTTCAATGTTTATGTTAACCTTCAGTAGATCTTTCATCACTGTCTTCAGTAGCCGATGATGAAATATTCGTGGTTGTCTCCCCTGATCTGTATGTGATGGTTGGTTGAGGTGGGCTGATAAAGCCTTCAGGGGGAGCTGGTGGTGGCCAAATATTGTCAGCTCTATTGCCATCTGACATTAAGGAATAATTCTTAGTGAGTTACAGTTCAATACCTTTTTTTTTCTAGATTATAAAAAGTAAATGAATTTTAGTTATAGTGGTATGCTAGACACCATAATTTTTATATTTGATTTGAACCAATATAAAGTGTTAAAACAATCACATCATAGACTAACCATTCTCTGAACAACTGGTGCTTAAAGATGGGCTCAGGTTTAAAATTACAAAATAAATCTACAAGTATAATATAAATACCTATTTTTAGAACAACCAAGGGATCAAACTCTTGACCTAACTTTGGAGGCCAGGATTGTCTTTCATGACATTCCACCACAGTGGTTGGATCCTCTGTGTCAGTACCTGAAGTAACAAAATGCTCTGATCACATCCTTTATAACTTGGATGTAACAAAACACTTTGATCACAGCCTTTATAACTTGGCCACAGAAACCTGACATTTTTATAAATCAATTTGTCTGGTACTACTAGTATACACAATTATCAATCTGCATGCCTGTCTTATACTACTGTAATTAGTTGATATATATGTCATACAATTAACCATACAGCTAACCTGTCAAATTGAGTCATACAATGAACCTGTCAGGCTACCTGTGTCATACAATTTACCTGTCAGACTACCTGTGTCATACAATGTCAGACTACCTGTGTCATACAATTTACCTGTCAGACTACCTGTGTCATACAATGTCAGAATACCTGTGTCATACAATTTACCTGTCAAACTACCTGTGTCATACAATCAATCTGTCAGCTACCTGTGTCATGCAATTTACCTGTCAGACTACCTGTGTCATACAATTTACCTGTCTGACTACCTGTGTCATACAATGTCAGATTACCTGTCATACAATTTACCTGTCAGGCTACCTGAATCATACATTGAACAAGCTCACTCACCTTTTCCATACACCATCATCTCCTCCTCAGGCTCAGGTACTGGACTGACTGGAATCACAGGCAGGGAGACAACCCATGCCTCCTCATCAGCAGGTAAATCTTCTAACTCATTCCTTTTGAACATCTCAGCCAAAAACTCCTCAGATGGGTGGTCAAGAAAAGATGCTTTTGTTGGCAGCAAGCGCCTGTAGGACAGCACAAAAAATTACTAACAGAATTTAACTACATAAATAGGGGGGGGGGGTTAAATGGGGCTCTGGAAAAAGGTAGTAAAACAATTATTTATCCTTACCCTATTTCTCTACAACAGCTATTGTCTCCATCAGAAAAATATTTGGCAATCTGACGGTTAATGACATCCATGTCAGTGATAAAATCTTTTTGAATGTAGAAATGCTTGTCAATGACAAAACAATCCATCTCTTTGACCACATTCACCTCTTCATGACCAGATAATGAATACTTGATCTTTAGTTCACTAACCTGGGATTGATAAGATGGCAAGCCATTGAGAATAGTAACAAGTTGTATGAAAATAGTGGGAATCTTTATCAGCAATATTATATCCTGCTCAATATTTTAATCTTATGTTCTAGGTACCAATAAGGGGAGGTTGTGCATTAAATGAGGAGAGTATAAAAAGTGAACGTTTGCTTTGGAATGAGGTTGTATTGGAAACAATGTCACATGTCAAATAGAATAAGAAACTGTTATTGTAATGGTCATGTTAGGATAAATGATAGGGTTAATGGAAGTCTGGATAGGGATGATCAAAAATCTGACCACCACATGACTTTATAGTCATCATGGACCCACCTGACCACCCCATGACTTTAAAGTCAGCATGGACCCACCTGACCACCCCATGATGTCAGCATGGACCCACCTGACCACCCCATGATGTCAGCATGGACCCACCTGACCACCCCATGACTTTAAAGTCAGCATGGACCCACCTGACCACCCCATGATGTCAGCATGGACCCACCTGACCACCCCATGATGTCAGCATGGACCCACCTGACCACCCCATGACTTTAAAGTCAGCATGGACCCACCTGACCACCCCATGACTTTAAAGTCAGCATGGACCCACCTGACCACCCCATGATGTCAGCATGGACCCACCTGACCACCCCATGACTTTAAAGTCAGCATGGACCCACCTGACCACCCCATGATGTCAGCATGGACCCACCTGACCACCCCATGATGTCAGCATGGACCCACCTGACCACCCCATGATGTCAGCATGGACCCACCTGACCACCCCATGACTTTAAAGTCAACATGGACCCACCTGACACACCAGCAGCTCCTTCAACTGTCCAGATTTTTTCTCCTTCACTCTCCAGTAGACCTCAGGATAGTGCTTATACAGAAAGCTCTGTAGCAGACCAACAACAGTGTGGAGGTATGTCTGGCCTTTGGTGTATGGCAGGAACATTAATGTGACGGCTTCCACAGTGACACAGTCACTTAATTTTTTCACATCTAGTAATGTGAACAGGTGCTCTAGGTACTCATTACCTGCTGACAGGAATCAATCAGATTTTATAGAAGATATATTGTCTGATTTATTTCAAAAACAAATTCTTTTCAAATGTTTTTATTTATATTCATTCTAAAATAAAACCAATGAGATAAACAGTAAATATCTAAAATTTTACAAGTATTATATAAAATTACTCCTTATAATTCTAAAACTTGTTAGTATTACATTTCTCAATATTTTGGTGTTATCTGCCACCCAAAAATGACATTCAATTTTTAGTCACAAAATGACAAACATCCTCTACCCAAAAATAAAGTTACAAAGTTTCATTCTCCTAAAATGACAAATGATAAACAAATGTGAACATAAATTGTGATTTCAAGTAAAGTTAAAACATTACCCATAGTTCCATCTGGCTTTTTCTCATGCTTGTGTGAACCCCTTGTATCCAAATGCAGAAAATGGACCCCGGGTTTTGAATTAAACATTTCTGCTAGCTCTGCGTCATCTGCTATCATTGGTCCATCCTTCATACTGACCCAGAGATTTGACTTAGTTGGGAACATAGAAGCTTCTTGCAGTATTTCCATCACTTGGGGGAAGATTTCTTTAACCTCCAGAGCAAATTGAGTCGGCACACCTGAATTGTATAAAAAGTTAAACGGTTGTTTTTAGCATAGTAAAGTAGTATAAGCAATTAAGTTTTTTATATTTTAAATTAAAATAATAATGTTTATGTTATAAATAACACTTATGAACTGTCACGTCTAAGTAAGTGTATAAGAATATATTAAGGACAATATTACAACATTTTCACCTCCTTCAATATCATCAGCAAGGCTTAGATCATTTCCAATTTTTGAAAGTATGTTTAAACTATCTGCCAAAACACCTTCTTCAGAAAGTGAATGAATGGTGCAGATGTGTTTCAAAAGTTCTGCCAGATAAAGTGCATTAGGTTCTTTCTGGATCCTGAACAACTTTTTTAACATTTTATATTGTTCCTGGTACATTTTCTCCAGCTGGAATTTTAATAAATCAATGTTATGATATCTATGTGCAGGTGTATCCAACTTTAAATTAAGAATGCTCTACTGTTTTGTTTGAATATTCAAATTTTAATATTATTTAATCTATTTAAAATGTGTTTTTAAACTAAAACTAGTAGGCCTATTCATTTTTGAATTATCCAATAAAAGGATTAAGCATGTATTAAACCTTCCTTTTAGGTGTGGTTAATTAATTTAAATATTAACAATTTTCACATTAAAATTATCCTGTGGGGAAAATTAAATTTACCAAAAGATAATTGCTAAGTGTTGTTTAACAAAATAGAAAAAATAGATATAAAGCTGTTTTAGCATCTAGAAATTTAAAAAAATACAATATTAAGTTGATATTGAAAATTTAAAAACAATTAGTACAATATTTATTTTTTCCGCTCTGGATATTACTAAATAAGTCAACACCTCAAACGACAAAGAAATTTGCTTTAAAAAAAAACAACAAAAAGGTATAATGCTCTTTAACAAAAACACTGGTGAAAATGTATCCTCACTGTTCTAAATTTGCGTAGTGGAGACTTGTACAAGTCCAGTGAGGGCTGATACTTGAGGAAGAGTCCATCATAGTCAGACCACCAGACCTCATCTCTCCTCATCATCAACCCCGCACAGAACTCTCCAGCCCCATCACACTCAGTCAGGGGGACAAAAATGGCAGGGTGGGTGTGGAAGAGGTCCTGAGATTCTTTAGGTTTCAGATTTCCTTCTAGGTAAGCATACACCTGAAAAAATTAAATTTTAATTTCTGTATTGCAATAATTTAATAAATTTGGTGGAGAATCATAAACCATTTCTAATATATATTATTATGATTAAAATCAAATATAGGCTACATGAGCAGAAAGACGTAATTACAAAAGTTTATTTAAACAGACATTCTATAGTTACAATGGAAAAAAAATCAACTGATCAAAAAATGTTTTACTTCAAAAAAGTGCCAGACTCTAGTGCAGAATGTGACTGGGACATCATCGTCCTCTCTAGTACACCAAGAGATTAAATTCTCTTTAACCATTTCAGCTGTTACATTGGACTTGATCTGATATTACAAATAAAAAATAAGATAAATAAAATTAAATGGCACAATGAAATTTTTAGTAAAAAGATTATAAATATAAATAATAAATGAATAATTTCTATACAGTGAAAATGTATTACATTTAGGAATTTTGTAAACGGGGTATCCTTTTGTGACTTCACATCAAGGTATTGAACTGTATCTGCAAGCAATCTTTGTATATTATCCTGTTTCAGGTAGAGCTGAACTGGAGACTGCAGCTTATGAAATTCTTGGGAATCCAGCTGTTTACTTTGTTTGTCAAATGTGACTTTGGTTGAGTATGTTGGTAGCCAGGGCAAGGACTGTAACTGCTTACCAAAAGTGCTCTAAAATTAATAATAAAGAATATTATTTTTAAATACATTTCATCATCACTGTGATAAACAAATGCAATAACTCAAAAACTTACTTGAGTTTTTTTGTGGACTTTTCCATTTTTGTATCTTATCTCTTTACAGACAAAGTTTTGATACTGTGATTCCCATTCCCTGTTCAACAGTTCAAACACTTGCCCCATCTGCTCATACAGAGTGTCAGGCTGCTGGTTGTTGTTGAGAAGATTGTAGAACTCTTCACATTGGAAGTCCAGAATGGTATACCCATCTGGCAAGTCAGCCAATTCTTGCTGGATTTGGAAAAAAATCTCATGCTCATCATATAAGTAAAAAAAAGTAACGTTTCCCTTTCAAACCTGACGATTTATGGGGCAAGTGAAGTAGAGTTCACTTGTTTCTGTGACCTCGGCATATGAAGAGATAGTGTGGTCAGCACTATGCCCAGCCGCCTTTACTTTCCCTAACGTGCTAATGCTCATCATATGAATACTTAAAATTCTGAAGTTTAAGATTTTGGGCAATCAAATAAGAAAAGATTACATGCCAAACAGAAAAAGAGAAACACCAAGTTTAAGTAGATAATAAGTGAATTCAAATTATTATTTCTATTTTAAAAATTAAAATTTTCAATTCATTAGGTTAAAGTTGTTCCTACAAATAAACTTATTCATTTATGATTTACTGAAGCTTTATCAGGAAAGGTTAAAACTTGATTCATTAATTCTAGACAGTTTCAGCAGCCTTAAGTAAACCTTTAATCATTAATAAGCCTCAGTGTATTGGGACAAATTGGAAGCTTCAGCAATTTCAATTAAACCTTGACTCAACAATAAGCCTCAGTATAGTGGGACAGTACTCACCATATTGATCTCATCCACCTGTAGCTCCACCTCTCTCACCTTCAGGAATTCCACCACACCCAAGTCTTGGAGAAAACTTCTCCAGGTGTCCTTGTCATGCTGTGTGGGGGGGATTGGCAGGTAGGACGAGTCCAGTAGAACCCAGTCTATGCCTTAAACAAAAGGTACAAAAAAAGAATATTAAATAATAATAACAGATGGCTTATATTGAACCATGTTTTTGAAATTAATGAAAGATCAAGTTTATGTAGATAACAAGAAAATAATTACAAATTCTAATTAAGAGATTTTAGGTTACCAGGTAATAAGTGGAACAAGTCAATTTTAGTTCCATAGGCTGTTGAGAAGTGAATGTCAACATCTACTGGGGACTTAACGCCATGGTTTGTGACCAGCTTTATAACTGACCGCAGCTCCGACTTGTCCAAGATGGATGGATTATTGTCCAACTCATTTTTGATGTAGATCAGATAACTGACTATGATGTCTGGATGTTTGTCCTTTAAGAGAGATGGACAGCTTAGACAATGTAAGGGTAGTAATGACCAGTGGGCAGAGCTATCAGTACCAGAAAGGATAATTCATTAGTTTAAATCTGTGGAAATAGCTAGAGGGATAGGACATGGTTACAAATTCTGGTTAGTCTGATAATTGCTCTATCAACCTACAAGCGATTAGGATAGGACTACAGCCTCACTCAGCAGAACACTTTTATTGAGTAAATCAACTTTTAAACTCAGGTAAGTTTTTTTGTCCTTCCTACAAGATTTTACTGTGGCTGATTCAGACACTACTGATAAAAACCCCTAGACAATGATGAGCTTATTGGCTAGCACCATAACCAGCAATAGTGACTCACTCAGTAAGTGACATAGTATCTGACTTGCAGCATATTGCAAGTACACATATGTATTTATTGAAGTGTATGTATAGTTATAAAGTTGGCTAAAAACAACCAAATCAACCATCAACTTACTCTCCATTGATCTGATCTCAACACAGGCATGATGTGGCTGTGGATGAGGTCATGAGCGGTCAATTGTTTGATGCCAATTCTCTGCAGTAGCTTGACCGCCTGGGTGTTGACCAGGTCAAAGTGCACCAAGTTCAGATCTGTCTTTAACTTCTCTAGAGGATCTGTCCATGGTAGACACAGGGGAAGTTTAATGTGTCAACCAAGTTCAGATCTGTCTTTAACTTCTCTAGAGGATCTGTCCATGGTAGACACAGTGGAAGTTTAATGTGTCAACTTTAATATTGTTCATGTTTATTGGGCTCCACAAATTGCCTTATAGATAAGACATTCTAAAGATAAAAATAAAAATCCAGAAGCAGATATAAAAGCCAAATTAGGATGGAGATCAGAAACATTGAACATCTCAATGTGTTTTAATTATTTAAAAGTTGCAGGACAAATGTAACATTGATGATGACTATTGCTTGGACCTTACGCTTTTAAAACAATAATGTAACAAACAAACCAAAATTTTTATGTGATTAAATAATAATTTTTTTTGCTTGATTATGCAATTGCAAAAAAATACTACCTACATGGATTGAAAAAAATAAAATACCTCTGCTTTTGTCAGCTTTTTGCTTTTTCTCGCTAGGACCTGATTGGTCTGTACTGATCAAGAGAAAAACTGTTGTTTGTGTGAGGGATACCAGGTCTCCATTTGATAAAGGAATGATCCTGAAAGTAATTTTCATGATGATCTTATGTGAAAAGACAAAATGAAAGTATAAAAGTGCTGTTAATTAAAACTATGCATACTGGCTGATATATATCTTAGTTTTATTGAAGTAAGAATAATTTAAATAAGTGAAGTAAACAGTACACTACACAAAGAAAAATACATATAATTACATACAAGTATAAGGGTTTGAAAAAATTATAAGGTTTAAAGGGAGCTTTTAAAATGAAAGCTAAAGTTTGCTGAATTCTTAAAGTCAAAACTAATACAATTATCTAAATCCCAATATTATTTATAAGGCTATCTTGGGAATTTTTAATTTAAAAAAAACAACAAAAAAACTTTTGACCAGCTGATACACGTGTGGTGACTTAAATAAAAAACAAATGAAACTTTGAGCTAACGAAACTTCAAATTTTCCAAAATGAAGAACCAGTGATAATTAATAACAACAATAAAAACAAGGGTAGATACAAAATATGTGTGTGTGTCACTTTCCATCCAACTCTCTCTCTCTCTCTCTCTATATATATATATATATATGAAAAGGGAGAAAGTGGAGTAAAAACAAAAATAAACAACAAAAATGTTATCAAATTATTAAAAACACAAAAATGTAATTTATTCTGAAAAATACCTCTTGAATAGCTAGAATAAGAGAAAAAAACTGATTTAAAAGTAATTACACAGCATAAAAACTAAAAACATTTCTTTAAATCACTGCATAAATATTAAAGATGAATACATTTAGAAATTTGAGTAAAAATAAGCAGTTATAAAACATATTTTTCATCTTGATATTTAAAAAAATCTTACTTCATATTCTGAAGATGATCAAATAATTCAGAATTGTCTTGATGTTTATCAAGGTGGCGATAAAGGCAGGCCAACCAGTTTGCTATTTCTAAAGATTTATATGCGATATATAAAAGTTAATCAAACATAATTTTGATGTTAGTGCAATGAAAACATCAATATATATTTATATCAAGTGAATGACTTTCACAGTTTAATATCTGAATATAACTTTGACCAGTAAAGTTAAAGTTACCCTTTAAACCCAAGGATATATACATAGGGCAGATGAAGTAGGGTTTATATGTTTTTTGAGTTTGGCATGTGAAGATGGTATGTCAGCATTATGCCCAGCCACCCTTACTGTCCCAAACATGAGACAGGTACCCTTGCACCAGGGTTAGAGCTCATTTGATGGATGAGATTAAACCACTAAAGCCTACCCTCAATATCTGTATGCTTGAAATTTTGACTGATGGACTGTCCAAGATGCAGCAGATGCTTAGCTGTTACTGAGTTGATGCCCAGTGCATGCAGAAGTGGCTCACTCAAAACTTTGGCCACATCAGGGTGGAGGTAGTACAAGTCTAACTCCTTCTGCAACCTCTCAGGGGAGATCATTCTCAGAACTAATTTGTCATGGGTGATCACTGTTTTTGATGGAATTTTCCACACAATGCCTAGTGGTTACAAAATATTCATGATCAGTGGTTCATAAATTGATAAAAAAATATTTCTAATAATAAAACTGTTAACTTCTTATAATATAAAGTTACTTCTAAAAGTAACAGACTTGAAGAGAGAAAATGTTTTGTTGATATAATACTGATAAACAGCATCTTGCGATAAAAATGTAATATTGTTCTACTGAAAATGTATATGTTACTTTTACTGTCTGTAGAAAGCACAGGGACACATTCCTTTGCTTTGAGTTGTCTCAAGATCTGTGTGGAGACTGGCTTGAAAAAATCCAGAAGTTCTCCTTCAAGGGGGATGAACTGAAGATACATGACAAAGGCTTCAAGGGCTGGGATGTCTGGCTTGGTCTGAAAACAAGAATACCTGGTTGTAGATTACCTGTAGAAAACAGGTAACCTGCTGACAGGCTGCCTGTAGAAAACTGGTTTACCTGCCCCACAGGCACCCTGACTGTTACAATTTTCACATCAACATTTTGTATTTTAAAAAGTATCAGTGAAACAAAATTGTAACAAAAAGACTTAAAAAAAAAGGAAACCAATAAGCAATATAACAGTGGTGTGGATAAGTAAATGATAGTGCGGAATAGGTAAACTAATACAGACACTGTTCATCTAGCAGTAAAAAAATGATTTGATTGTTTACCTTGAAGGCATCAAAAGCTTCTAAAAACAAGAGATGAATCTCATCCCTCAACCACTGGTTCCATGCACTGTCTTGATCAATGTCTTCTCTACTAGAGGGAACATCAAAGTCTCCTACAGGTACACACAACAATTGTCAAAGTTGCCAATAGGTAGACAAAAACTTGTCAAAATAGATAGTCCACATACACAAAAATCTCATCATGTGGTTGTAGAAAAAAAAGCTGCTATTTGATTATTTTCTTGTGTATCAGACTAACTGCATATTCATATGTAGTAAATTTTTTTTTTTAAATAAATTAATTCAACAAAATTGTTTAGTAAAAGAATAGGAGAAAAACCTTAATATTAAATCTTCAACAAATGTTATAAAATGCTAGCACAAACATATACCAATATTATGTTGTATAGAATACTGTTACGTATGTAATTTAAGTAGATGAATCATGTACAATTTTTTTTAGCCCTGTAACTCCAGTATACAACTTCATTACTTACCTTGAATGATAAACCTAAACCCAAACGACCTGAGAGGTAGAAAAGCAAACACTGGCTGCATCTCATATTTTACCTGTGGTTTAATTTCATAGTAAAAATGTGACAGTATGTGGGGTAATATTACTAACAACAGATTTAACAAGCGAGTGCAAGAAATGGAGTCACTTTTAAAAAATATTTCTAAAATGGAATGAATACTTAATAAAATTCAAAGAATAATGTATCTTTAGTGAACACATATCCTAAAGTTTAAAAAAAAAATCCTCTGCAGTGAGGTATAGTAAATGTACCTGTGAATTGATTGCTGATGTATTTTTCAATGGGAATGCCAGAGCTATTTCTGTACACTCAACTTCCGCACCTGATTTAGCCTGTGTTCAAAGATCAACACAATGTTAGGTTATAAAAGTAGAACTTGTTGAGATGGTTAAAAAATCTGTTTGGAAAACAAGCTTGAGCTAAATTAAAATAAAATATTGAATTACATAATGGATGTATCCATGACTCACCTGTAAGGATATGCCTGATGTATCCATGACTCACCTGTAAGGATATGCCTGATGTATCCATGACTCACCTGTAAGGATAGGCCTGTTGTATCCATGACTCACCTGTAAGGACATGCCTGATGTATCCATGACTCACCTGTAAGGATATGCCTGATGTATCCACAACTCACCTGTAAGGATACGCCTGATGTATCCATGACTCATATGTAATGACCTGAAGGATGTATCCACAACTCACCTGTAAGGACATGTCTGATGTATCCAAAACTTTCTTCAGCACAAACCACTTGTCTGTGCCATGATTGTGTGAAATGTGAATTTCTCCATTAGGTAAATCCTTGCGCACCATGAAAGTTTCTGCACCTTCTACCTGTAATCATTGGTTTTATCAACATTGTAAGCCATAACAGATTCATGTTGGCCGTAATACAATTTAAAATGAATCCCTAGGATTTTCCAATGGAATGGCACAGTTAAGCAGTAAAATCTCAAGATCCTGGGCTCAAGTCCACCCAGGGTATCTGACTCACATAAAGGACAGTAAAGGTGGATGGGCATAAAACTGACTACACTATTTATATGCAAATATGCAGAGGCCATAGAAACTATACTAACAGGTCCAAAAGGGTAACTTTATTTTACTTTTATTTAGGAGTTCAAAACAAAGTCTATTTTAAGCACATTACAACTACTATAATTACATAATAATTGTTTCAGAATATATACTTTAAAAATAAGAAAATAAGCATGAGAATAAAATCATGACTGACCTTATTATCTATTGTTATCTTCTTAAGGCGATGAAGAAACAGCAACAGTGAGGGCTTTATGTCATTGAAACGGGCGGCATGGGTACGGATTTGTTGCCTGATTTCTTCAGTCCAGGGCAAAATGATTTTTGTTTGCCATCTGAAATCACAAGTTTGTTTGCTGCAAAAAGTTATAAACAATGCTTGACAATAAGATTAAATGGAGCTATAATTAAAATTTTATAATGATTTCGTTTTTTTGTTTTTTGTAGTGAAGTGTGATTTGGCCTATACCAGCATGCAATGAACATTTTGCTAAAAAAAAATTCTGATTGTTTACTCTGTGTCCCCCTGTTTGCTGTCATCTGACCAGTGAGGTAGGATGTAGCCCATTGGTCCACTGTTGACATCAAAATAAATATGGTAACCATTAGAGTGGACCTCAGGTCTCATGGTCACACGAAACACAGACTTGAAGCCAATGCCTTTTTGACCTGAAGAAGTATAGAAAATAACAATGTTAAAATTAGCTGCAGAAGTAGGTCAAATATATTATATATATCATTGGAAATAATAACTAAAATGTTTTTTTTCTCTTACATTTATATAGTTCTAAAATACAGAAATAGATTAACATTTCATTCAATAAACAGAGCTATGAAAGAAATAATATATATCTATATTTGAAAGCTATATAGGCTACACAGATTTGTATAGCTATAATGTAAACATGGTAAGGGGTGGAAGCAGGCGTTGTAACTGAAATAGCAATATAAACATAAAGTGATATTTCAACGCCAAGGGTAGACAAAGGTACAGAATATAGTCCAAGTAAAGACAGAACAGACAGACCCGACGGGTTCCGAACCTACCATTCGACACGGCACCAAATCGCCTCGCCTTCCATGCCTCAAGTCTGACTCAAGTTTTCCCGTCTGACAGTGATAATAAGAGCCCCACCCCCGGGATATTTTTTACGCCAGGGTCTCAGCTCAAGCTTAACCCGTCCTTAGTTACGGCCAGTGTTTCTTCCAGACTTTTTTCTCCGGGGGGGGGGGGGGCACTTGAAATCTTTGGGGGGGCGGTAAACTTTCTTCGGGTGGGCGGACACTGTTAAAAGTATATATTTTCTATATAAATTATATAAATTTTATTTCGTTCGGGGGGGGGGGGGGGGGGGCGGTAAAAAATTTTCAGGGGGGCTTTGCCCCCCCCGAAGAGATGCCTGGAAGAAACTCTGGTTACGGCTTCTGAACTTCGTTCCTCGAGTGCAAACGAAACCGATACAACGCTAGCAATCGACAGAATCTTGACAGAAATGCAAAGATAAGATATGTGGTCGCTGTAAGTCTAAGTGGTGTACGACATTGGTCGGTCGTGGCTGATTTTCTTTTAAATTATGTTAAACAAAACTCGAAGTTTGCTGCATATGATTGATGACATTATGGCTCCCTTGTTACTGTTATTTGTCGTCTCTTTGACTGTCTATAGTGCGTTGTTTTAGCTATTTGAGTTTTTTATTTAAAAAAAAAATTCAATGTTCATGTTATACCACGTGTACATGGTATAAAAAATAATGAACACCATTTAACCACTGAGTGAAAAAACAAACAACGTATGCATTTATATGTTAACACATTTAATTTGCAAAGGGCATAAGCCTACGTATTTAGTACATATGTGTGTGTTAGACTTTTTCGTGACTATTCAGAAACGTTTTGATTGGAGGCTCATTTTTACTCATCAACAAATAGGACATTTTCTAAATTAAATACGGAAAAAAATCTTTCATAGCGTGTAGGTTTACTAGTTTATCTCCAGAAGCCATATCATGATGGAGTATATCCACAACAAATCCATTTATCTTCAACTACAACCATCCAGTAGCGTAGCGAGGGGGGGGGGGGGGCGGGGGACGACATATGTCCCCGGGCGCCGACCTTAGGGGGCGCCAAAATGGGTTGGAAAAATAAATTGAAAGGTGTAAATCGAAAGTTTGAGGGGGGGGGGGGTGCTAATGGAAATCTCGAAAGGGGGGGGGGTGCAAATGAAAATCTCGAGGGGGGGGGTGCAATAGAAAGTTTGTCCCCGGGCGCCGGAAGGGTCGCTACGCCTCTGCAACCATCCACAGAACAACGCAACCTGTGTCTGCAGTGCAATGTGGGGAAGCCGTGTGATGGGTACACAGATTGTATCACCAGAGATTGTTATGGGTTCATCATTGTGACATCATTCTAGATGAGCTTACGACATTTGTGGGGTGTTTGGGAGGGGGGGGGGGGAGCGGCGAGAAAAATCGTCACAAAAATATGACGTCAATTATGGACAAAACTTTGACTCAAGTAGTCACAGTTTTTTATGGAAACTGCCTTTGAAATTAGAAGATAATAACTGCAGCCATCCAATAGTCGCATCTGATTATAAATGTCATGAAGTGCAGTATTAGATTTCCTTCTACTTAAATAACACCCCCCCCCCTAAAAGCAGCCCCTTCCCCACCCCCAAGATAGCGAGGTTAAAACATAAAAATATAAATTTCAATCAGCTGATAGGGCGTCAAATCGTGACGACACATGTTGTAGCATGTCCACGTGACAGACGGCCTGTCTGGAAACCAACATGGCTGCCATGTTTTGTTTTTTAAACTTTCGTGTCTTATCTGTTAGCTGACCTGTCGAAATACATACCAGACACTATTTTGTCGAAATACATACCGGACACAATTTTCTAATTGTGTTATTTTAATTAAGTCTTACTGGTCCTTTGTTTATGCATGTTGAGAAAATAATGTTGCGATTAATAATGTGATTGTCTTGTAGACAAACATCAAACCAATAAATAGTTCACAGTAGGGTTTAATTAGAGCCCTTAAGTTATGAAGAGGTAGGGGTTAAAAGAATATTTTTTTTAGAAAGTAAAGAAGCAAGAAGGGTCCACTACTGATTCAATCCAAGGTCAGAGATATCGTCTACTCTGTCTTACAAGACACGCCGCATCACGTGATAATTACATAATTGTTAGTTTTAAGATACTCTATCAACAGCTAGGGTACGATTCGTATATTTTCCTCTTATTTATCTTCATTATATTTTTATATCAAGGTATTTTCTCGCTATAATTTTCAGATCTTCAGTGCTAAAAAGTCTGAGTTAAGCAGACGATATTCACGTCTGCAAACATTTGGTTCGACGATAAGACCGAGCTTGCATAAGGTGATCGGTCACGGTGACCTACAACCCTCCAGATAAGCTGTACCTTCACCAGACGGTGACATCAAAATATTGTTACAGATAGAGAGAAAAAATATTGTTACAGATAGAGAGAAAAAATATTGTTACAGATAGAGAGAAAAAATATTGTTACAGATAGAGAGAAAAAATATTGTTACAGATAGGAAGAAACATTTTTACTTACAGATTATAAAAAAAGCAAATTAAACATTTTTTTGGCGAACTAACATACACGATTGGCATCAATATCGTTTTCTTTCTTCTAAGTACACTTGATATATTAGTTAGATGTAACTTCCAAAAATAAAAATCAAACAAAAGTATGTACATTCTAAAAGTTGCTTTAACAAACAAACAGTCCTCAAATTAACCTATATAATAAATACAAGCTAGAAAACAAAACAAAAATCACTTTGCCTTTATAATACAAGTAACGTAAATTAAAAATTTTCCCTTTCAAACCTGACGGTCTATGGGGCAAGTGAAGTAGAGTTTACTTGTTTCTGTGACCTCGGCATATGAAGTTATACAAGCTACGTACCAAACTAAAACTTCATCAAATTTACTTACATTACATAATAAATGCGAACTAAAAAGCGAACCAAAACCCACTTACTTAACAATGTAACTCACAAAACTAAAAACTCATCAAAACCACTTACAAAATTTACACAAATTTTAAGTTCGAAATAAACAACATAGCCATATTAACCTATCAAACATGTAGCCTAAAATTAAAATTAAAGTGTTAAATCGTCCAATTTACAAATATCCATAATTGCTTGAATCATTTGTGATTGTCAAATAATTTAATTTCAAATGATATCACATATTTTAATTCAAACAATGGATGGAATGCAGAGAAAAAAATTAAAAGCTGCCTAAAAAAAACTATTAAAAAAAACAAATTGCGGCTGTTGCAAGTCGGCAAGATGAAAAAAAAAACGATACAAAAAATGAAACAGATACTTCATTATAATCGAAGTTTAACTTGTAATCGAAGCAGAGGAATCGTTCCCGTCCACTTTTATTCAAATAAAAAGATAGGGAACCCTTGAACGCTGCTTGCAACTTTTTTCGTCCGGGCAGACTTGAAAGTTTTGTCGAACGGATTGTCATGGACAAGCTGGTGCTTCTGTTTTTCGGCTGTTTGGTGGTTTTTGGTAAATGTTTTACGGCACTTATTTCATTCGCTCTTTTCGCTTTTAGATTTTTAGGAGTTCTTTTCCTTTATTACTTTTATGTCTTTGGTGTCCTGGTGCACCAAATAATTTATAGTGTTGGTATAGGGACAGTTTTGTGTTTGCAAACGTACGTACAAGAAGAATTAGATCTGTACTCAACATTTGTTAGAACTGGGCTAATACTTAGGTCACAATGTCCGTCCGTGGGTGGGGGACTGGACCAGCTTCTAGTGAAGAATTTATCCATATAATTTTGTTTCCGATGACAACGCAAGAATATATACTTTTTAATCTAATTAGATATTAACCTGACCATTACAAGTTAATTTAAAGATGACGATATTCAATAACAAAAGGGGAGATAACAATTTTAAGTAGTTGCGGTAGTGAGTAGTGGAACAGCCCGTTGAACTGTGGACATGAGTTTACACGGCTAAAGCTTTGCGATTTTTAAAGCTTTGCAGAGCCGCCCCCCCACCCCCCCTCGAAGAAAGTCTACCCTCCTCCCCCCCCCCCGAACGAAATGGAATTTATATAGAAAACATATACTTTTATCAGTGTCTGCCCCCCTAAGGAAAATGTTGACCGCCCCCCCCCCTCGAAAATATTAAGTGCCCCCCCCCCCTTCCCCCGGAGAAAAAAGTCTTCAAGAAACATTACTCTATTCTGTTAAAACGCAGCGTAATCGGCTAACAGTTTAAAACTTTTTTTTTGGAGACAGTAAAAAAAAAAAAGAAACAAAACAAAGGGAGTAAACTATGTTGTCACTGGTCTTATTTATTTCACAGCCCAGGCCCTAGACTGCCCCGTGTGCTACAACAGATACGACTACACATCGTGTACGGGTGTGCAAACATGCCATCCAGTCACATGACGTAAGTTTTGGTCACGTGACATTTAGTCTCTCTACACATCATGCACACGTGTGCAACATGTCCTAAGACTTAGGTATTTTCTTCTGGCTGTGGTGGACGTCAAACTGTCGAGAATCTTAAAGACATCATCCAAACCAATGACAAGATAACTTTAACAATTTATCTCTCAGTTGTTAGATAGCCCACAACTTATGAGATATTCTTAGTTTTTTTCTTCTTTCATATTTTACAATTTAACATCTTTAGCCATAAAAGTACTTTTGTCATGTTTGGCACATGGAAGCAAGTACTGAACAGAAAAAAGACGGTTGAAAACAATGACGGTTGTCATGGAAACCTCCCCCCACCCAAAAAAAAGCCATTTTGAATTTTTCGGCTGTTTTAAAAACGAAAAAGCTTTTTTTTTTTAAAAAAATTATGCACATATAGCAATCAAATTTACACTGCTTATATTTTAGCCCATGGTAAAATCGAGAAATGGTGACACTGTTGTATCCTTGGTATATATTCAAATTCTAATAATGTTAAATTAAAACGTTTGTAATGATGCGACTGTTCAATAATTTTTTAATTTGTCAGGTGTGTGAGCTGACGGTCCATCTGAAAGATTTCAACAGTGTCGAGTATATCTGTCACAGCCGAGTTGTAAGTCATCATCAGTACACACAGTCAAGTTGTAAGTCATCCAATCAGTACACACCCCGCCTTTGGTCATTGATCTAACATACAAATTACATTATCTTACAATAGGCTCCACTCACAAGGTAACTAGTACATACTACACAAGGTAACCAAATTACAAAAATATACCACACGAGGTAACCAATACAGCTCAAGTCGGCTGATTTTCAAGATAAATACACTTAATAAAACCAGCTCATTTTTTAAAATTTTTTTTTGCATTATCCTTTAATATGTTACTAAACATATTATTATATTTGTCATGTATAAATACACTTTTCTTTAAAAAAAAAACTACAACACGTAACAAAAATAAATGAGGTGGCATTTTGGGGGCTGGAACGGAATAGTGACATTTCTATTAATTTGAATGGAATGATTAGCGATGTTACAATAAAAAAACTGACCATTTGTTAAACCAACTAGGCATGTTACCATCACAAACTGACCGTTATATCCTCTAGGCATGCTACCATCACAAACTGACCGTTATATTCACTACATGTTACCATTATCCACTAGGCATGCTACCATCATGAACTGATCGTTATATCCTATAGGCATGTTACCATCATGAACTGACCGTTATATCCTCTAGGCATGCTACCATCATGAACTGACCGTTATATCCTCTAGGCATGTTACCATCACAAACTGACCATTATATCCTCTAGGCATGCTACCATCATGAACTGACCCACTTCCACCACTGCGAGCCAACCCACATGGAAAAATGCACGTTCTGTTGCCACGGTGTGACAGAGTGTGAGCTACAGAGGGAGGAACTGTTTGGACGTGAGTACCATTCGACACGTTCTGAATGTCGCGACCTATTTCTCGGCCCTGTTTATCACAATTTGTAAGTTCTTGAATCATTTGAACGCATTTTCATATCTGCAAAAACCTCGAAATTTTTAGACGTGTTTGGGTTTCGACCCAGCAACTTTTGTAAAAAAAATGTTCTTTAAAATTCTTCCAGAGTACCTCACAACAACAGCAGCTCCGGTGGAGCAGACCACTACAACTGAGGAACCGACCACCACAACCACGCCAACTACCACCACAACCACGCCAACTACAACCACAACAACACCAACTACCACCACTACAACACCAACTACCACCACTACAACACCAACTACCACCACTACAACACCAACCACCACCACAACTACCACCACAACAACTACAACTACAACTACGACGACACCAGGTAAAATATACTATATGTACTAAATATATAAATAATTATTTAGTTAAATATTTAGTCCTTTTGTGCTTCCAACCTCAAGATGACCTCATTCCAGAAATTCTATTTTTTCATGACACAAAAATGCTACCCATAACGAGCTACAACTCATGTTATCCACACCACCGCTAATTCTCATCATACCATCCATTGTTTCACATATCCACAGTACCACCCAACATATGCATCCAGTGTAACGTGAGTGAGCCGTGTGACGCCTACACTGTCCAGGTGACGCCACCAAAGCTGTGTGACCAGCAACAGCCGTACTGTTTCACCAGCATCGTGCAGAACCAGGTGGAAAAGGATATCTACAAAGGGTAGGTCTGGGAGAAGATTCAATGATAAGCTCCATCGCCCGGTCCTGGAACGATAAATACATTGTCTTACTGCCTTGGGACCCAATATGAACTGTACCGTAAAATATTTACCTGGATTACAAAGTGTCTTTCACACGCCATCACCACACTGCCAACATCGCCCAGCAGGGTTGTTGACAAGAAAATAAAGCTGGAAAGGCAAAGTAGTACGTTCAATACTTAGTCAACACAACCATATAGTAGAAATGTCTTCCTACCCCAATATTTCCTAACACCTAGCATCTATCTTGTCTTTCGTTTTTTAAAGGGTGTGTCAGTTACTATATAAAATATAACTGATTTTAGTTACAAATGTTTTACTATGTGTGTATTTTTTTGGAGATGAGTAAGGATTCTGGCTTTTTATAGCGATGTGTGATGGTTTGTGGTATTTTGACCGAGCTCAGTCAATATTTAAACAAGTTAATTAAAAAAGTCTAGTGACATTTGTGCGCAATTTCCTTATGTTATCTAAAAATAGCTCTGACGTATAATGTTGGGGTGCGTTCAAGCTAGAAGAACAATCGGTTTGTAGGTGTTTATGTAATTTTAAAATTTGTGACCGAACGAGAGAATATTTTTGAAAACTTTCTTCGGCAATATTGTTCTAAATTATGACAGGAATCGATTGGTACATGTTTCAAGTCGCTAAGTGGTCTGGTTGCCGAGATATGGGCCAAAAACTGAATTTTTTCGAGGTTTTTTGGCTTTTCCGGGAAATACATGAAAGAAACCCGGAATTTTTATGGCCTATGCTCATTCTCGTAACTTGCTTAACATAATTGCTTTTGGAACTATTCATCGATATTGCTTCGTTGAGGAGGAGATACGACTTAAAGCCCGGACACACATTCATCCATCCATCCATCCATTCCCAGAAATGACGAGTTAATAAACGCAATTCTCCAGAATGGAAATTGCGCTAAAAAATAATTCATCTGCAATTTTGAAGGGGGGGGGGTGGGTGGGTGGGGGGGGGGGTTGTAGGCTAAGGTGTACCGTCTTTTATAGATGACCCCATTGTTAATTTGAAACAATAGCTTATTTTATTCTCAAATGATTTCACACTCGTATTTTTGTTTAAAAGTCCTAGTTTTTTAGTACCTTGTGTAGTCAAGGTTATCACGGTGAAGCGTCCTATAAAGTCAATAGGCTCATAAGGATGAGGGGCCGTGGTCTCAGGAAAAGGTTATATAATAATGTTAATCAGATAGGAAATGAGAAAAAATTTCCAACTTTTTGTTATTTAACATGTGCATTAACATGTGCACGGTCATTAACCGTCGCTTAGTTTAAATTGTAAGATATTTGCCGATTTTGCTGATACGTATTTAATTAATGAATGTAAAACAAATTTATCTTTTGTTTTTATTATTCTGCTTCTAAATTTGAATATTATTGTAATTTTAATTTAATCAAAAGTGCAACTAAAATCTTTTTTCTATCTACAAAAATCTGCCGTACTTTTATGTTTTCTTGTATCAGCTACCTGAAATCTTTAACGTACATTGGTACATTATTCACACACATGTAAATAAAATCGTTTAAAATTGATAAAGATGTCTTCAATTACTTTTGTATGTATTTCTAAACTTCCAGATGCGCCGATGAAGATTTCTGTCGGTTAAAGTGGTGGGAGCAGACGTCTACCAAACCCATCTGCCTGGTCATAGATTACACTGGCCTTGACCTTGACTGCACCTTCTGCTGTACTGGAGTTGGATGCAACCTGCCCGTGAAGCCGTATGACGTCACACTTGTACAGTTTGTTTAAATGAACCGTGGTTCTAACACTGTTGGCACATGGAACCCCTAACAAGTGTTCTCAAGTCTTTCTTTCTGTCTATATTACATTTTTCAAAATTAAAATTTTGGATTTTAAAGTAAAACCTACTTTGATACATCTTTATCTGGCAATAAAAACTTAAAAAAAAAATCTTTTCATTTGGCATTTGTTTACATAATCTAAGGGCTCGATGACTACAAGGTGAAAAAGTCCAAAATACAGATCTAGCCTACTGCTAAAATAATACTTTTTCCAGGTCATATAATAACTAAATTAATTTTTTGGAACAGAATAACTCCTCTAAACAATAACAAAAAGGGCTAGGAAGGGTGTGGGGTGGGTTTGATAAAAACGATTAAAACCTGCTTTGATTTGAAAGAAAACACTATATCCACATCCAAAAGCAATCTAAAGAATAATAAAAAGCACCAAACAATCTCAAATGTATGAAAAGCACCCAAAACTGCACATAAGACGACGGATGTTACAAATTTGCACGCAAAGAACAACACCTTATCTTCAGACTCAGAGCAGTCCACAACAAACTAAAACAACACATGTATAAAAAACTAAAAGTTGATCCTGGAAAAACTTGCCAGAAGTTTGGTCTGAGGGACCCACAGAATGTTGGTCTGAGGGTCCTGCAGATGTTTGGTCTGAGGTTCCCACAGGAGTTTGGTCTGAGGGTCCCACTGAAGGTTGGTATAAGGGTCCCAATGAAGGTTGGTGTGAAGGTCCCACAGATGTTTGGTCTGAGGGTCCCAATGAATGTTGGTCTGAGGGTCCCACAGAATGTTGTTCTGAGGGTCCCACAGGAGTTTGGTCTGAGGGACCCACTGAATGTTGGTCTGAGGGTCCTGCAGATGTTAGGTCTGAGGGTCCCAATGAAGGTTGGTCCTAGGGTCCCACAGGAGTTTGGTCTGAGGGTCCCACAGAAGGTTGGTCTGAGGGCCCCACAGAAGGTTGGTCTGAGGGCCCCACAGATGGTTGGTCTGAGGGTCCCACAGAAGGTTTGTCTGAGGGTCCCACAGAAGGTTGATTTGAGGGACAGTAAATAAAAATAACCTAACAGAGAATTTTATACAGACTCAATAGGAGATATTTATTTTCCATTTTAAAGGAAAATTAAATTTTACGATGCAAGTTTGGGTAAAAGTTATCTTAATTCTAAATTTTAAAACAAACAATGCATTAACATGTGAGATATTATTTATAACCATTTTATTATAAAACTCATGTTTAATATTTATATAAATGGTGCTCAGTTTCTTAACATAAACATTTATATTATATTATAAAGATCAAAGTTATTTGATGTATAAAAAAAATTATCAATACATTTATATTAAATTATCTGAGGGTTAGAGATTTCCTTAAAAAAAACAATCACATTCATGTAAATTTGTATATTACACATAAAGAATTAAAACATATAACAATTTACATGCCATACATTTTATGTTATAAATACTGTGAGAGGTTTAAATAATAAATAAATAAAAATAAAATAAAAGACATGATCACTGGTTAAATGTAAAGGTAGAGAGTTAAAATATCTGAGTCGTTTTAACTCTTGGTGTCATTAAATTGTGTTGTAATTGTACAAAGGTAAAACAAGTAATGCTGTAAATATATTAAAAAACAACTGAAATATTCTACATAAACAGTTGAGACACAGAGAAGGAACCAAAGAAAAAAAAAGGAAGAATAAAACAGCTTCCAGTTTACCCTAAAGATTTTGTCACTATACAAAACTCCACACAGGTGCGTCAACAGTGAACACAGTTATCTAGTTTAGGAAACTATTTCATTTTATTATGACGAGCAGCTAGACCAATTAATTATGCAATAAAGTTTAGCATTCTGGAAATTTTTTTCTCATTAAACCCTTCTACTTGATCAAACTTTCATTTATTGTAGAAAAATTACACTCATGAAATAAATACATAATTTCAAAGTGAAAAAAACAACAACTTATAAATACAAATATTAGTTAATCAAAATTAATTTTTCAGCACTCCCTTGTCTAAAAACAATATAGAAGATCAAAATAGCCTCATATACATGGTTTTAAAAACATGGCATATGTGATAATAAATTAATATAATATAAAAATTCTATAACCGGTGAGTAAAAAAGTCAAAATGTTTTTAAAAAGGCAAATATAAAATTCCAATAATTTAGACAATAATTGGTGGTATATTTATAATTGGTTTGTTGAAGCAACAAACAATACAAAATATTTTACATACACTGAAGTAAAGGAAAAAATTATCATAAAATATTGCAAATGTCTAACAGTTAAAATAATTTTCTTGAAATATATAAAAAACAGAGTTAGATAATTATTTCAAATCTTTGGAATAAAGTTGTCACAAAATATTGCGAATGGCCTAGAAAATAATAAGGTATCATGTGACTAGAATGATTTAAATACTAGACAACCAGGTACAGCCGTAACTGCTGCTGGTGCATCTTCTCTGCTACATTCTCTATCCTGATCAGCTTTGAGCTGGAACTACCTGCTCCATAGACGCGATAGATCTCAAAGTTTTCCTTCTGCTGGATGGCCAACTCTGTCTGGTTGTAGGAGATACGAAAGTTTTCTTTCGACCAGTGTTTGGTGGTTTTCACCTGAGAAAAGGAAGCAAAACATATGTGATGGCCTGTTCATGCAAATAGAAAATTACATTTAGAATATAGAGTCATGTCCAGACTGAACTTTCATTTATAGTTGAATAGAAATATGCCACACCTTATAGTTTTAAGTAGAAAAAAAATGAATTGAATATATAATAAAAAAAAAATTAATTAACATAGCTAAAACAATTTTAATTAATTTTTCTGAGGCTGTCTTTGTAACTCCACAGTTTCCTCCAAAGTGTCAAGTACTAAACTTGAATATTTGTAACTTATTAAGTTTTCTATTAGTGCAACAATCACAGTAACTCAACCATAAAAACTGTAGAAATAAAATGAAAGAAGTGCCTAAACGAGCAAACATTCTGCACCAAGTTTAACCCCACAAAACACCCGACACAGACTTTATGAGCTCCCTAAATTTCCCATTAAACCTCTCACCTCTATATAAATAGTTTTAGTTTTGTTAGGATCATCAGTCAGACAAGTGACTTTAAAGTCATAAGGCAGCCCCCTCTCACAGTCCACGTTGGCCCACTGGACATCCACAATTGTCTGGTCTACACACTGCTGCTGCTGCAGGAAGTTCCAGACCAGCTTCTCGCCCCACTGACCTACTTCTATGAGGGAGGCGTCGTCTGCCAGCGTCTGCAGGGATGTGATCAGGTTCTGCTCACACTTGAGCTCAGTGTAGTCGAGTTCTTTGTTGGTCTCTGTCCAGACAGGCTCATCTGCAGGTGAGTTTACAGGTGGGTGAGGCAGTTTACAGGTGGGTAAGTCAGTTTACAGGTGGGTGAGTCAGTTTACAGGTGGGTGAGGCAGTTTACAGGTGGGTAAGTCAGTTTACAGGTGGGTGAGTCAGTTTACAGGTGGGTGAGTCAGTTTACAGGTGGGTGAGTCATTTTACAGGTGGGTGAGTCAGTTTACAGGTGGGTGAGTCAGTTTACAGGTGGGTGAGTCAGTTTACAGGTGGGTGAGGCAGTTTACAGGTGGGTGAGGCAGTTTACTGGTGGGTGAGTCAGTTTACAGGTGGGTGAGTCAGTTTACAGGTGGGTGAGTCAGTTTACAGGTGGGTGAGTCATTTTACAGGTGGGTGAGTCAGTTACCAGGTGGGTGAGTCATTTTACAGGTGGGTGAGTCAGTTAACAGGTAGATTAGAAAAAATTATGATTTTACAGGTCTTCTTCTTCTTCGTTCTAACTTACAGGTGAATGAGAATCATTTTACATTGGATGGGAATTATTTTGCAGGTGGATAAGAATAATTTTAAATTAAATTTTTACATAGCATAACATATACTTAATACAAGACAGCTTATAGGACGGCATTGCAGTGTGGTAAAGCATATATCTGTTTACCCTAAAGACTTAATTAAGATTCCTGGTATAGAATTTGTAAGATATCACTGATAAGATATACAAAATACATAAGGCAATGTTTTATGCATACTTAAAAAAATGTTTTTGGCCATAAGAGGTTAAATTAGAAACAGGCTATAAAATAAACTCACTAAAGTTAATGCCACCATGGTTGGCACCATGCTGTCCACTGGTCTGACCAAAAGTATCAAAATATTTTTCTGTACTTTCAACTGGCATATGAAATGGGTATTCAAAACCCTGAAACTCCTGGCTGTCTTTGTTAATCTGTTCTCCCTGAAAAAGGTTTTTATATCCATGTGTTATACATAAGATAACAGGAAGACATAGGAGAGCTCATGGATTCAGGTGATGTATAAATGTTACACACACCTGAGCTGTAGGTAAAACTTGTTAAATCCCCCAACTGTATCCTAATGTTGATATCTACACACCTGAGCTAAAGGTAAACATTGTAAAGTGCCCACCTGTATCCTAGTGTGGATATCTACACACCTGAGCTAAAGGTAAACATTGTAAAGTGCCCACCTGTATCCTAGTGTGGATATCTACACACCTGAGCTAAAGGTAAACATTGTAAAGTGCCCACCTGTATCCTAGTGTGGATATATGGACCCTCTAGCACTGAGCTAGATCTGGAGACAGTGGTACTGCCATGATCCCTGGGCTGTGTTCCAGTCAACTGCTTCACATCTTTATTATTTAGATCATAAATATCATACAAAATTAATGTAAAAAAAAAAAATTGTTCAGCAAATAGTCTATCTTAATTATAAAAGTTCACACAAAAAAATTAATTGCAAAAGTTGACCAGCTGATATAAACAAGATAAATAATTTCAATGTTTATGTTAACCTTCAGTAGATCTTTCATCACTGTCTTCAGTAGCCGATGATGAAATATTCGTGGTTGTCTCCCCTGATCTGTATGTGATGGTTGGTTGAGGTGGGCTGATAAAGCCTTCAGGGGGAGCTGGTGGTGGCCAAATATTGTCAGCTCTATTGCCATCTGACATTAAGGAATAATTCTTAGTGAGTTACAGTTCAATACCTTTTTTTTTCTAGATTATAAAAAGTAAATGAATTTTAGTTATAGTGGTATGCTAGACACCATAATTTTTATATTTGATTTGAACCAATATAAAGTGTTAAAACAATCACATCATAGACTAACCATTCTCTGAACAACTGGTGCTTAAAGATGGGCTCAGGTTTAAAATTACAAAATAAATCTACAAGTATAATATAAATACCTATTTTTAGAACAACCAAGGGATCAAACTCTTGACCTAACTTTGGAGGCCAGGATTGTCTTTCATGACATTCCACCACAGTGGTTGGATCCTCTGTGTCAGTACCTGAAGTAACAAAATGCTCTGATCACATCCTTTATAACTTGGATGTAACAAAACACTTTGATCACAGCCTTTATAACTTGGCCACAGAAACCTGACATTTTTATAAATCAATTTGTCTGGTACTACTAGTATACACAATTATCAATCTGCATGCCTGTCTTATACTACTGTAATTAGTTGATATATATGTCATACAATTAACCATACAGCTAACCTGTCAAATTGAGTCATACAATGAACCTGTCAGGCTACCTGTGTCATACAATTTACCTGTCAGACTACCTGTGTCATACAATGTCAGACTACCTGTGTCATACAATTTACCTGTCAGACTACCTGTGTCATACAATGTCAGAATACCTGTGTCATACAATTTACCTGTCAAACTACCTGTGTCATACAATCAATCTGTCAGCTACCTGTGTCATGCAATTTACCTGTCAGACTACCTGTGTCATACAATTTACCTGTCTGACTACCTGTGTCATACAATGTCAGATTACCTGTCATACAATTTACCTGTCAGGCTACCTGAATCATACATTGAACAAGCTCACTCACCTTTTCCATACACCATCATCTCCTCCTCAGGCTCAGGTACTGGACTGACTGGAATCACAGGCAGGGAGACAACCCATGCCTCCTCATCAGCAGGTAAATCTTCTAACTCATTCCTTTTGAACATCTCAGCCAAAAACTCCTCAGATGGGTGGTCAAGAAAAGATGCTTTTGTTGGCAGCAAGCGCCTGTAGGACAGCACAAAAAATTACTAACAGAATTTAACTACATAAATAGGGGGGGGGGGTTAAATGGGGCTCTGGAAAAAGGTAGTAAAACAATTATTTATCCTTACCCTATTTCTCTACAACAGCTATTGTCTCCATCAGAAAAATATTTGGCAATCTGACGGTTAATGACATCCATGTCAGTGATAAAATCTTTTTGAATGTAGAAATGCTTGTCAATGACAAAACAATCCATCTCTTTGACCACATTCACCTCTTCATGACCAGATAATGAATACTTGATCTTTAGTTCACTAACCTGGGATTGATAAGATGGCAAGCCATTGAGAATAGTAACAAGTTGTATGAAAATAGTGGGAATCTTTATCAGCAATATTATATCCTGCTCAATATTTTAATCTTATGTTCTAGGTACCAATAAGGGGAGGTTGTGCATTAAATGAGGAGAGTATAAAAAGTGAACGTTTGCTTTGGAATGAGGTTGTATTGGAAACAATGTCACATGTCAAATAGAATAAGAAACTGTTATTGTAATGGTCATGTTAGGATAAATGATAGGGTTAATGGAAGTCTGGATAGGGATGATCAAAAATCTGACCACCACATGACTTTATAGTCATCATGGACCCACCTGACCACCCCATGACTTTAAAGTCAGCATGGACCCACCTGACCACCCCATGATGTCAGCATGGACCCACCTGACCACCCCATGATGTCAGCATGGACCCACCTGACCACCCCATGACTTTAAAGTCAGCATGGACCCACCTGACCACCCCATGATGTCAGCATGGACCCACCTGACCACCCCATGATGTCAGCATGGACCCACCTGACCACCCCATGACTTTAAAGTCAGCATGGACCCACCTGACCACCCCATGACTTTAAAGTCAGCATGGACCCACCTGACCACCCCATGATGTCAGCATGGACCCACCTGACCACCCCATGACTTTAAAGTCAGCATGGACCCACCTGACCACCCCATGATGTCAGCATGGACCCACCTGACCACCCCATGATGTCAGCATGGACCCACCTGACCACCCCATGATGTCAGCATGGACCCACCTGACCACCCCATGACTTTAAAGTCAACATGGACCCACCTGACACACCAGCAGCTCCTTCAACTGTCCAGATTTTTTCTCCTTCACTCTCCAGTAGACCTCAGGATAGTGCTTATACAGAAAGCTCTGTAGCAGACCAACAACAGTGTGGAGGTATGTCTGGCCTTTGGTGTATGGCAGGAACATTAATGTGACGGCTTCCACAGTGACACAGTCACTTAATTTTTTCACATCTAGTAATGTGAACAGGTGCTCTAGGTACTCATTACCTGCTGACAGGAATCAATCAGATTTTATAGAAGATATATTGTCTGATTTATTTCAAAAACAAATTCTTTTCAAATGTTTTTATTTATATTCATTCTAAAATAAAACCAATGAGATAAACAGTAAATATCTAAAATTTTACAAGTATTATATAAAATTACTCCTTATAATTCTAAAACTTGTTAGTATTACATTTCTCAATATTTTGGTGTTATCTGCCACCCAAAAATGACATTCAATTTTTAGTCACAAAATGACAAACATCCTCTACCCAAAAATAAAGTTACAAAGTTTCATTCTCCTAAAATGACAAATGATAAACAAATGTGAACATAAATTGTGATTTCAAGTAAAGTTAAAACATTACCCATAGTTCCATCTGGCTTTTTCTCATGCTTGTGTGAACCCCTTGTATCCAAATGCAGAAAATGGACCCCGGGTTTTGAATTAAACATTTCTGCTAGCTCTGCGTCATCTGCTATCATTGGTCCATCCTTCATACTGACCCAGAGATTTGACTTAGTTGGGAACATAGAAGCTTCTTGCAGTATTTCCATCACTTGGGGGAAGATTTCTTTAACCTCCAGAGCAAATTGAGTCGGCACACCTGAATTGTATAAAAAGTTAAACGGTTGTTTTTAGCATAGTAAAGTAGTATAAGCAATTAAGTTTTTTATATTTTAAATTAAAATAATAATGTTTATGTTATAAATAACACTTATGAACTGTCACGTCTAAGTAAGTGTATAAGAATATATTAAGGACAATATTACAACATTTTCACCTCCTTCAATATCATCAGCAAGGCTTAGATCATTTCCAATTTTTGAAAGTATGTTTAAACTATCTGCCAAAACACCTTCTTCAGAAAGTGAATGAATGGTGCAGATGTGTTTCAAAAGTTCTGCCAGATAAAGTGCATTAGGTTCTTTCTGGATCCTGAACAACTTTTTTAACATTTTATATTGTTCCTGGTACATTTTCTCCAGCTGGAATTTTAATAAATCAATGTTATGATATCTATGTGCAGGTGTATCCAACTTTAAATTAAGAATGCTCTACTGTTTTGTTTGAATATTCAAATTTTAATATTATTTAATCTATTTAAAATGTGTTTTTAAACTAAAACTAGTAGGCCTATTCATTTTTGAATTATCCAATAAAAGGATTAAGCATGTATTAAACCTTCCTTTTAGGTGTGGTTAATTAATTTAAATATTAACAATTTTCACATTAAAATTATCCTGTGGGGAAAATTAAATTTACCAAAAGATAATTGCTAAGTGTTGTTTAACAAAATAGAAAAAATAGATATAAAGCTGTTTTAGCATCTAGAAATTTAAAAAAATACAATATTAAGTTGATATTGAAAATTTAAAAACAATTAGTACAATATTTATTTTTTCCGCTCTGGATATTACTAAATAAGTCAACACCTCAAACGACAAAGAAATTTGCTTTAAAAAAAAACAACAAAAAGGTATAATGCTCTTTAACAAAAACACTGGTGAAAATGTATCCTCACTGTTCTAAATTTGCGTAGTGGAGACTTGTACAAGTCCAGTGAGGGCTGATACTTGAGGAAGAGTCCATCATAGTCAGACCACCAGACCTCATCTCTCCTCATCATCAACCCCGCACAGAACTCTCCAGCCCCATCACACTCAGTCAGGGGGACAAAAATGGCAGGGTGGGTGTGGAAGAGGTCCTGAGATTCTTTAGGTTTCAGATTTCCTTCTAGGTAAGCATACACCTGAAAAAATTAAATTTTAATTTCTGTATTGCAATAATTTAATAAATTTGGTGGAGAATCATAAACCATTTCTAATATATATTATTATGATTAAAATCAAATATAGGCTACATGAGCAGAAAGACGTAATTACAAAAGTTTATTTAAACAGACATTCTATAGTTACAATGGAAAAAAAATCAACTGATCAAAAAATGTTTTACTTCAAAAAAGTGCCAGACTCTAGTGCAGAATGTGACTGGGACATCATCGTCCTCTCTAGTACACCAAGAGATTAAATTCTCTTTAACCATTTCAGCTGTTACATTGGACTTGATCTGATATTACAAATAAAAAATAAGATAAATAAAATTAAATGGCACAATGAAATTTTTAGTAAAAAGATTATAAATATAAATAATAAATGAATAATTTCTATACAGTGAAAATGTATTACATTTAGGAATTTTGTAAACGGGGTATCCTTTTGTGACTTCACATCAAGGTATTGAACTGTATCTGCAAGCAATCTTTGTATATTATCCTGTTTCAGGTAGAGCTGAACTGGAGACTGCAGCTTATGAAATTCTTGGGAATCCAGCTGTTTACTTTGTTTGTCAAATGTGACTTTGGTTGAGTATGTTGGTAGCCAGGGCAAGGACTGTAACTGCTTACCAAAAGTGCTCTAAAATTAATAATAAAGAATATTATTTTTAAATACATTTCATCATCACTGTGATAAACAAATGCAATAACTCAAAAACTTACTTGAGTTTTTTTGTGGACTTTTCCATTTTTGTATCTTATCTCTTTACAGACAAAGTTTTGATACTGTGATTCCCATTCCCTGTTCAACAGTTCAAACACTTGCCCCATCTGCTCATACAGAGTGTCAGGCTGCTGGTTGTTGTTGAGAAGATTGTAGAACTCTTCACATTGGAAGTCCAGAATGGTATACCCATCTGGCAAGTCAGCCAATTCTTGCTGGATTTGGAAAAAAATCTCATGCTCATCATATAAGTAAAAAAAAGTAACGTTTCCCTTTCAAACCTGACGATTTATGGGGCAAGTGAAGTAGAGTTCACTTGTTTCTGTGACCTCGGCATATGAAGAGATAGTGTGGTCAGCACTATGCCCAGCCGCCTTTACTTTCCCTAACGTGCTAATGCTCATCATATGAATACTTAAAATTCTGAAGTTTAAGATTTTGGGCAATCAAATAAGAAAAGATTACATGCCAAACAGAAAAAGAGAAACACCAAGTTTAAGTAGATAATAAGTGAATTCAAATTATTATTTCTATTTTAAAAATTAAAATTTTCAATTCATTAGGTTAAAGTTGTTCCTACAAATAAACTTATTCATTTATGATTTACTGAAGCTTTATCAGGAAAGGTTAAAACTTGATTCATTAATTCTAGACAGTTTCAGCAGCCTTAAGTAAACCTTTAATCATTAATAAGCCTCAGTGTATTGGGACAAATTGGAAGCTTCAGCAATTTCAATTAAACCTTGACTCAACAATAAGCCTCAGTATAGTGGGACAGTACTCACCATATTGATCTCATCCACCTGTAGCTCCACCTCTCTCACCTTCAGGAATTCCACCACACCCAAGTCTTGGAGAAAACTTCTCCAGGTGTCCTTGTCATGCTGTGTGGGGGGGATTGGCAGGTAGGACGAGTCCAGTAGAACCCAGTCTATGCCTTAAACAAAAGGTACAAAAAAAGAATATTAAATAATAATAACAGATGGCTTATATTGAACCATGTTTTTGAAATTAATGAAAGATCAAGTTTATGTAGATAACAAGAAAATAATTACAAATTCTAATTAAGAGATTTTAGGTTACCAGGTAATAAGTGGAACAAGTCAATTTTAGTTCCATAGGCTGTTGAGAAGTGAATGTCAACATCTACTGGGGACTTAACGCCATGGTTTGTGACCAGCTTTATAACTGACCGCAGCTCCGACTTGTCCAAGATGGATGGATTATTGTCCAACTCATTTTTGATGTAGATCAGATAACTGACTATGATGTCTGGATGTTTGTCCTTTAAGAGAGATGGACAGCTTAGACAATGTAAGGGTAGTAATGACCAGTGGGCAGAGCTATCAGTACCAGAAAGGATAATTCATTAGTTTAAATCTGTGGAAATAGCTAGAGGGATAGGACATGGTTACAAATTCTGGTTAGTCTGATAATTGCTCTATCAACCTACAAGCGATTAGGATAGGACTACAGCCTCACTCAGCAGAACACTTTTATTGAGTAAATCAACTTTTAAACTCAGGTAAGTTTTTTTGTCCTTCCTACAAGATTTTACTGTGGCTGATTCAGACACTACTGATAAAAACCCCTAGACAATGATGAGCTTATTGGCTAGCACCATAACCAGCAATAGTGACTCACTCAGTAAGTGACATAGTATCTGACTTGCAGCATATTGCAAGTACACATATGTATTTATTGAAGTGTATGTATAGTTATAAAGTTGGCTAAAAACAACCAAATCAACCATCAACTTACTCTCCATTGATCTGATCTCAACACAGGCATGATGTGGCTGTGGATGAGGTCATGAGCGGTCAATTGTTTGATGCCAATTCTCTGCAGTAGCTTGACCGCCTGGGTGTTGACCAGGTCAAAGTGCACCAAGTTCAGATCTGTCTTTAACTTCTCTAGAGGATCTGTCCATGGTAGACACAGGGGAAGTTTAATGTGTCAACCAAGTTCAGATCTGTCTTTAACTTCTCTAGAGGATCTGTCCATGGTAGACACAGTGGAAGTTTAATGTGTCAACTTTAATATTGTTCATGTTTATTGGGCTCCACAAATTGCCTTATAGATAAGACATTCTAAAGATAAAAATAAAAATCCAGAAGCAGATATAAAAGCCAAATTAGGATGGAGATCAGAAACATTGAACATCTCAATGTGTTTTAATTATTTAAAAGTTGCAGGACAAATGTAACATTGATGATGACTATTGCTTGGACCTTACGCTTTTAAAACAATAATGTAACAAACAAACCAAAATTTTTATGTGATTAAATAATAATTTTTTTTGCTTGATTATGCAATTGCAAAAAAATACTACCTACATGGATTGAAAAAAATAAAATACCTCTGCTTTTGTCAGCTTTTTGCTTTTTCTCGCTAGGACCTGATTGGTCTGTACTGATCAAGAGAAAAACTGTTGTTTGTGTGAGGGATACCAGGTCTCCATTTGATAAAGGAATGATCCTGAAAGTAATTTTCATGATGATCTTATGTGAAAAGACAAAATGAAAGTATAAAAGTGCTGTTAATTAAAACTATGCATACTGGCTGATATATATCTTAGTTTTATTGAAGTAAGAATAATTTAAATAAGTGAAGTAAACAGTACACTACACAAAGAAAAATACATATAATTACATACAAGTATAAGGGTTTGAAAAAATTATAAGGTTTAAAGGGAGCTTTTAAAATGAAAGCTAAAGTTTGCTGAATTCTTAAAGTCAAAACTAATACAATTATCTAAATCCCAATATTATTTATAAGGCTATCTTGGGAATTTTTAATTTAAAAAAAACAACAAAAAAACTTTTGACCAGCTGATACACGTGTGGTGACTTAAATAAAAAACAAATGAAACTTTGAGCTAACGAAACTTCAAATTTTCCAAAATGAAGAACCAGTGATAATTAATAACAACAATAAAAACAAGGGTAGATACAAAATATGTGTGTGTGTCACTTTCCATCCAACTCTCTCTCTCTCTCTCTCTATATATATATATATATATGAAAAGGGAGAAAGTGGAGTAAAAACAAAAATAAACAACAAAAATGTTATCAAATTATTAAAAACACAAAAATGTAATTTATTCTGAAAAATACCTCTTGAATAGCTAGAATAAGAGAAAAAAACTGATTTAAAAGTAATTACACAGCATAAAAACTAAAAACATTTCTTTAAATCACTGCATAAATATTAAAGATGAATACATTTAGAAATTTGAGTAAAAATAAGCAGTTATAAAACATATTTTTCATCTTGATATTTAAAAAAATCTTACTTCATATTCTGAAGATGATCAAATAATTCAGAATTGTCTTGATGTTTATCAAGGTGGCGATAAAGGCAGGCCAACCAGTTTGCTATTTCTAAAGATTTATATGCGATATATAAAAGTTAATCAAACATAATTTTGATGTTAGTGCAATGAAAACATCAATATATATTTATATCAAGTGAATGACTTTCACAGTTTAATATCTGAATATAACTTTGACCAGTAAAGTTAAAGTTACCCTTTAAACCCAAGGATATATACATAGGGCAGATGAAGTAGGGTTTATATGTTTTTTGAGTTTGGCATGTGAAGATGGTATGTCAGCATTATGCCCAGCCACCCTTACTGTCCCAAACATGAGACAGGTACCCTTGCACCAGGGTTAGAGCTCATTTGATGGATGAGATTAAACCACTAAAGCCTACCCTCAATATCTGTATGCTTGAAATTTTGACTGATGGACTGTCCAAGATGCAGCAGATGCTTAGCTGTTACTGAGTTGATGCCCAGTGCATGCAGAAGTGGCTCACTCAAAACTTTGGCCACATCAGGGTGGAGGTAGTACAAGTCTAACTCCTTCTGCAACCTCTCAGGGGAGATCATTCTCAGAACTAATTTGTCATGGGTGATCACTGTTTTTGATGGAATTTTCCACACAATGCCTAGTGGTTACAAAATATTCATGATCAGTGGTTCATAAATTGATAAAAAAATATTTCTAATAATAAAACTGTTAACTTCTTATAATATAAAGTTACTTCTAAAAGTAACAGACTTGAAGAGAGAAAATGTTTTGTTGATATAATACTGATAAACAGCATCTTGCGATAAAAATGTAATATTGTTCTACTGAAAATGTATATGTTACTTTTACTGTCTGTAGAAAGCACAGGGACACATTCCTTTGCTTTGAGTTGTCTCAAGATCTGTGTGGAGACTGGCTTGAAAAAATCCAGAAGTTCTCCTTCAAGGGGGATGAACTGAAGATACATGACAAAGGCTTCAAGGGCTGGGATGTCTGGCTTGGTCTGAAAACAAGAATACCTGGTTGTAGATTACCTGTAGAAAACAGGTAACCTGCTGACAGGCTGCCTGTAGAAAACTGGTTTACCTGCCCCACAGGCACCCTGACTGTTACAATTTTCACATCAACATTTTGTATTTTAAAAAGTATCAGTGAAACAAAATTGTAACAAAAAGACTTAAAAAAAAAGGAAACCAATAAGCAATATAACAGTGGTGTGGATAAGTAAATGATAGTGCGGAATAGGTAAACTAATACAGACACTGTTCATCTAGCAGTAAAAAAATGATTTGATTGTTTACCTTGAAGGCATCAAAAGCTTCTAAAAACAAGAGATGAATCTCATCCCTCAACCACTGGTTCCATGCACTGTCTTGATCAATGTCTTCTCTACTAGAGGGAACATCAAAGTCTCCTACAGGTACACACAACAATTGTCAAAGTTGCCAATAGGTAGACAAAAACTTGTCAAAATAGATAGTCCACATACACAAAAATCTCATCATGTGGTTGTAGAAAAAAAAGCTGCTATTTGATTATTTTCTTGTGTATCAGACTAACTGCATATTCATATGTAGTAAATTTTTTTTTTTAAATAAATTAATTCAACAAAATTGTTTAGTAAAAGAATAGGAGAAAAACCTTAATATTAAATCTTCAACAAATGTTATAAAATGCTAGCACAAACATATACCAATATTATGTTGTATAGAATACTGTTACGTATGTAATTTAAGTAGATGAATCATGTACAATTTTTTTTAGCCCTGTAACTCCAGTATACAACTTCATTACTTACCTTGAATGATAAACCTAAACCCAAACGACCTGAGAGGTAGAAAAGCAAACACTGGCTGCATCTCATATTTTACCTGTGGTTTAATTTCATAGTAAAAATGTGACAGTATGTGGGGTAATATTACTAACAACAGATTTAACAAGCGAGTGCAAGAAATGGAGTCACTTTTAAAAAATATTTCTAAAATGGAATGAATACTTAATAAAATTCAAAGAATAATGTATCTTTAGTGAACACATATCCTAAAGTTTAAAAAAAAAATCCTCTGCAGTGAGGTATAGTAAATGTACCTGTGAATTGATTGCTGATGTATTTTTCAATGGGAATGCCAGAGCTATTTCTGTACACTCAACTTCCGCACCTGATTTAGCCTGTGTTCAAAGATCAACACAATGTTAGGTTATAAAAGTAGAACTTGTTGAGATGGTTAAAAAATCTGTTTGGAAAACAAGCTTGAGCTAAATTAAAATAAAATATTGAATTACATAATGGATGTATCCATGACTCACCTGTAAGGATATGCCTGATGTATCCATGACTCACCTGTAAGGATATGCCTGATGTATCCATGACTCACCTGTAAGGATAGGCCTGTTGTATCCATGACTCACCTGTAAGGACATGCCTGATGTATCCATGACTCACCTGTAAGGATATGCCTGATGTATCCACAACTCACCTGTAAGGATACGCCTGATGTATCCATGACTCATATGTAATGACCTGAAGGATGTATCCACAACTCACCTGTAAGGACATGTCTGATGTATCCAAAACTTTCTTCAGCACAAACCACTTGTCTGTGCCATGATTGTGTGAAATGTGAATTTCTCCATTAGGTAAATCCTTGCGCACCATGAAAGTTTCTGCACCTTCTACCTGTAATCATTGGTTTTATCAACATTGTAAGCCATAACAGATTCATGTTGGCCGTAATACAATTTAAAATGAATCCCTAGGATTTTCCAATGGAATGGCACAGTTAAGCAGTAAAATCTCAAGATCCTGGGCTCAAGTCCACCCAGGGTATCTGACTCACATAAAGGACAGTAAAGGTGGATGGGCATAAAACTGACTACACTATTTATATGCAAATATGCAGAGGCCATAGAAACTATACTAACAGGTCCAAAAGGGTAACTTTATTTTACTTTTATTTAGGAGTTCAAAACAAAGTCTATTTTAAGCACATTACAACTACTATAATTACATAATAATTGTTTCAGAATATATACTTTAAAAATAAGAAAATAAGCATGAGAATAAAATCATGACTGACCTTATTATCTATTGTTATCTTCTTAAGGCGATGAAGAAACAGCAACAGTGAGGGCTTTATGTCATTGAAACGGGCGGCATGGGTACGGATTTGTTGCCTGATTTCTTCAGTCCAGGGCAAAATGATTTTTGTTTGCCATCTGAAATCACAAGTTTGTTTGCTGCAAAAAGTTATAAACAATGCTTGACAATAAGATTAAATGGAGCTATAATTAAAATTTTATAATGATTTCGTTTTTTTGTTTTTTGTAGTGAAGTGTGATTTGGCCTATACCAGCATGCAATGAACATTTTGCTAAAAAAAAATTCTGATTGTTTACTCTGTGTCCCCCTGTTTGCTGTCATCTGACCAGTGAGGTAGGATGTAGCCCATTGGTCCACTGTTGACATCAAAATAAATATGGTAACCATTAGAGTGGACCTCAGGTCTCATGGTCACACGAAACACAGACTTGAAGCCAATGCCTTTTTGACCTGAAGAAGTATAGAAAATAACAATGTTAAAATTAGCTGCAGAAGTAGGTCAAATATATTATATATATCATTGGAAATAATAACTAAAATGTTTTTTTTCTCTTACATTTATATAGTTCTAAAATACAGAAATAGATTAACATTTCATTCAATAAACAGAGCTATGAAAGAAATAATATATATCTATATTTGAAAGCTATATAGGCTACACAGATTTGTATAGCTATAATGTAAACATGGTAAGGGGTGGAAGCAGGCGTTGTAACTGAAATAGCAATATAAACATAAAGTGATATTTCAACGCCAAGGGTAGACAAAGGTACAGAATATAGTCCAAGTAAAGACAGAACAGACAGACCCGACGGGTTCCGAACCTACCATTCCACACGGCTCCGAATCGCCTCGCCTTCCATGCCTCAAGTCAGACTTGAGGCATGGAAGGCGAGGCGATTTGGTGCCGTGTCGAATGGTAGGTTCGGAACCCGTCGGGTCTGTCTGTTCTGTCTTTACTTGGACTATATTCTGTACCTTTGTCTACCCTTGGTGTTGAAATATCACTTTATGTTTATATTGCTATTATAGCTATAATGAAATAATGTGTCCATATATTTATAAACTGGAATGTATGCCTATGTTTACCTATGTATCCAAGTGTATGCTTGGATTTTGTACTCTTGCCAACATCACAAACGGCTCGAATGTTTTGCTCTTCAAATCCCTCTTCGTTGTTCAGTACTGTTACCCCTATAAATGGAAAATACATTTTAAATTTATGCCACAATAATATTTGCACAATAACAATAGCTACTTTAAATGTTTTTAATATTTATTAATGCAATTTCTGTCATATTAATTTAATATCTGTTATTTATTGTTATAGGCCTACTAGTAACATCAATATATTAGTGCCATACCAATATACAAATAACATCTGTAGCACTATTCAAGTTCTATTACCTATCTCGTCAATGAGAAACTTGACAGATGGAGTCACCTCCCCCTGGTATTTGTTGTCATCAGCATTCTGGATCAGCTCCAGCACAAAGTGGGTATCCTTGCTGTACAGATCCTTGGACAGTCTCTGCAAGCTTCGGCCTTGGCGATCCTGCAGTGTCTGTTTGAAACAAATCTCAAGAATTTGTAACATTCAAACAAATTATAAAACATAACCCTAACGATTTGTTATTCTACGTTCAATGTAAATACAAGCAATATATAAAACAGCTAGAAAAATCTTTACTTTATAATGACAAGCTTTTAAATGCAATAAAAATGAAAAAAGCTCCAGAAATCTATTTAGTAAGTTTTAATAAACAAAACAATTTTAATTATTGCTTAAAGAAAAATCATGTTTATTTTTCTTAGAATACATTAACTCAATGGGTATTCCAAGTGAGCTAAAAATAACCCCACCTACCTTCATGAGTTTACTTCCAGCCTCAGTAAGTTCCACGCCCACACCAAATTCTTCTCGTCTGATTTCCTCAACAACCAGCCGGCATTTTTCTTCACGGGCCAACAATTTATCTTCCTGCAGGGCTAAATTTTCATTTGAAGGTAACTCTTCTTTATTGTTTACGTCACTTTTTTTATTCTGCAAATCCCCATCTTCATTGGAGTCTAATTAATAGAAAAAACATAAAGATTATGTTATCTGATTTACCCTTATAAAACTAAAGTTAAAAAAGTGATCTAAGCATGAATTATTTAGACAATGCTCACACAATACCTAAATCTGCACTATTGGAAGCTTTAAGATTTAAATCAACAGCAGGCTTTGTCTCTGATGTGAGATCTAATAATTGGTCCTCATCATCTGAATAACTGCTATCAGTAATCTGTCAAAGATTTTTAATGTTTCAGGTAATTTTTAATTTGTAATTAACTGACTTACATGAAAATAAAGTTGCTAGCACTACAATAATGAAGAAACTATAATTTAAAAAAATAGTAATTATTAAATTACCTCATTCTCCTCATCATTTTCTGCTAGCAGTTTTTCTGGTGCAAACAATTCATTTGATATGTCCTCTACACAACTTTGTGGAAATAACAATTTATTGTCAAGAGAAGATGTCCACTCTGGCAACCCTAACAAGCAGCCAAGCAACTCTAGTTTCTGCTGTTGCCAGGGAGCTTCACAAGCCAAATGAATAAGTTTCTTAGACTTGTCTGAGCCAACAACATCACCCAATGGTTTGAGCAGTACCTAAAAATTTTATTGAGATTTAACTAATTAAATTGTAATTACATACATATTTAATTCTGCTAGATATTTTCTCAAACAATTTTATAAGTTTCTTTCAAAAATTAGGGATACTAGAACAAACTTAACACATTATTTTTCTCTTTTACCTGGTTGGCAACTTCCACACAAATTTTGGTAGGAAGCTTAAGCAGAATTTGAGTTATAAAAAGCACAGCTGAATCAAGACTTTCTGTAGAAAAAATTGAAATGATGAAGAAAATATTTGATAGCGACATGTTAACAAAAATAGTTATATGGGTCCACAAATCATTTCAAATAAAAAAAAAATCAAATTCTTAACAAAACTGGAGCTACTGCAGAAAATTAAATAACCTGTAACAGTTTTTATTAGTAAAAAAATGGCAAAAATGAATAATAGTAGTAAAGAACATAAGACAAAAATAAAAAAAAATTCTAGTAAAATTTACCTTGTTTAGGTGAGCTTTGTGCATGCAATAGGATCAGCTTTGTCTTGATCTGTTCAGACACCAAAGCCAGCTGTGTATTCTTTAACCCTTTGTTGGCCACAATTAATGAGACCAGCTGACCAGCAGTGGTCAGGGCATCACCAGTCTCCACTGCTGATTTTAGATCTTTTAGACTGCCATCAGAGGAAGATATTTTTAGAAATTTACCAGGTGCCACCTCCAAGGCCTTGAAATCTGATGTGGCCATCTTGTGTCCACCTGAGAACAGACAACACTAAGTTCAATTAAACATAATTAAACATAAACAAATCATGCCAAAAATAACGTGTATATCTTCATACATTTCTAAGCTATAGTTACAGTCCCTGACCTTCCAGAGTTAAACTCTGTCTTCCTCCATGTTTTTCTATAAAGTGTCTCAAGCAGCCCAGTTGTGGCTGGAACACCAGTGACCAGTGGCTCCACTCAGCCATATCCTCCAGGAGTGGACATGTGGTCAAACATGCCAGCGCCGCCTCTTTTTTTATAGTTCCTCTAATGCCAACTTTACTCTGTGTCTCTGTGCTGTATTTTATATGTATAGAGTGTATAAATGAACACATTTTACTGTAGAATTGTCTTCAATATAATCTAATTTTAACCCTTTGAGCCCGCCAGTCCGGTAAACCGGCTTCAACATTAGGCAAATATGTCCGAAAAGCCGGTTTTCCGGCCCGATGATCTAGCGTCATATTCCTAGCGGCCGGTATACCGTCTAATTAAGTATAATTAGCGGAAGACTGATTAAAACTGCGCATACGTCTTTTGAGTGCGGAATCATGATTTTAAAAATTGATTTTTAGGTAAAATGAAAGTGTTTACATTTCGTAGCAATGCCGCCAAAACGAAAAGCTAAGCCACAGCCGTCGACTTCATCACATAAAGTTGGTGCAAAAGATGAAACAAAAGAACGAAATATCAACAAAAGAAGTAGAATGACTGCTTCTCAGGCAATACAACTACTTATTGATTCTAATGAAGAAGATAATATTCCTGGTCTTTATTGTGATGATAGTGACGTTGAATTTGAGAATAACACGGTGACATTGAAATTGACAGTGACAATGAAACTGTTCAAGTACGTTCTGATGCACGTAGTGCTAAGGACAAAGACTTGCCGAAACGAAAAAAAACAACTGTTTACTGGTGCAAAACATGCGAAGTTTTTCTTTGCATCGGGTCCGGCAGTAATAACTGTTTTGAAAGTTATCACACAAAAGTGGACTTCTGACGATCAACTAGTATGGCCAGGTATCAATAATAACAAAACAATTACTAAATGTAAATTGGTTTCTTCTATGTTCTATCAAAACAATAATTACGTGTTCGTTTTATATACATTGTTCAGTTCATACATTGTTAAAAAATAAAGAATTTTAGAATCTTGCTGCATCGTTGTTTGATCCTGAGTCTGGATATCAAATGTGGCTTGATTATCTCAAACGGTTCAAAAGTTATAGGCAAAGTTAGAAGCAGGTAAGTGAAAATTGGTTTGGCCCTGGGAGCTCAGGAAATGGGAGAAATTAGGCCAGGGCTCAAAGGGTTAAAAGTATTTAAAAAATATAAAGTTAATGAAGGTATCTTTCAATATATTTTAAACAAGTGTTTTGTTTTAAACACACTTTTTAATGATTTCTTTTATAACCATTCAAACACACTTTTTAATGATTATTTCTTTTATAACCAATGTGCATGTGTAATTCTAAATCTCTGACAAAATATATATATTGCACAAGAAAATAGTATTAAAGAAATGTCAAATTAAACAAGTTTAAGTTCCTAGCAACTAACCTGGCTTTTGCACACAATGCTGATTCAAAACAAACATTGTGTTCTTTAGATAAGTTTTTTTCAGACTTCTCAGCAGCCTGGCAGAGTCGTGCAATGTTGCCATGACCCAAATGTCGAATGTCACTCACTTGATAATGCTGGCATATGCAGTTTTCTTTTTGTTCAATCTTTTGAGTAGAAGTTCAAATAGTAAATCATTACATTTAGTTTCATCTTAAAACTTAAGGTTTAATTAATAATTTTTTTTTTATTAAAATCTTCTTCTTCTTCTTCATTCTTAATTTTAAGTGTTAGAAGGGATCGAGCCTTATCTGCCAGAGGGTTTGAATTCAAAACTTTTTTTCAAATTTATCAACCATGAGCTTTTTGCTGACTCAACCACGCCTCCATCACAATTAAGGATACGTGTCAACTGGTTATGCGCCATTCAGGCCATTGACTCTGATTTCAGCCTGCTTTTCTTTTTGGATTTGCTTCCATAGCCTTTGTCCAACCAAGAACAAACTACAAGGCAGCAGTTGTTTGATTTTGGAGTTGTCTCTCCTAGAAGAGTGGCTGTCCCCAGCTAACGAGCCTCATCTGCCCGAGGGTTTGAACTCGAGATTTTTTAGTTTAGCAACCATGAGCTTTACCGACTCGACCACGCCGACTTTATTAAGATATTTATTACATATTTGGAATGGAATTAATTTTGAAATGGAATTAACAACTTTTAGGCTAAAGTATACAAAACAAATTCATTTGACTACGAAAATTAGTGAGAATCTAATCTTCATAATATACAGCAAGACAGGTATAATCTTTTAATTATTAATGAAAGCAAAGCATCACCTAAATGGTGCTAACTGATGTAAAAGTGGAGCATGACCAAGGTGGCACTAATTAACATTAAACTGGAGCATGACCAAGGTGGCACTAATTATCTTAAAGTGGAGCATGAACTTGGGTGTACTAATTATCATCAAAGTGGAGCATGACCTAGGTGGCACTAATTAACATCAAAGTGGAGCATGACCTAGGGTGCACTAATTAACATTAAACTGGAGCATCACCTTGGTGGCACCTGCAGACTGGGCCTGGCCTATAAAGTCTAACAGATGTTTTAAGCTGGGCCTGAAGTGTGCAGGTGTTTCGTGGCTCCCTGAAGTTGATCCAAGTGCTGTTCCACCGCAGTCATCAAAAATCTGAAAAAGTTTGGATACAGTACATCAAGAGATGAGCTGAAGACATTTGAAACAGAAAAAAATAATAAAAGATTTTACATACAAAAGACAAAATTTATATATTTAACATTTAAAGTATTTTATTAGTTGAAGTTAAATATACCTTTTTGATTTTTTCCTCGAACACAATAACGTCTAGAAAAGTGCGACTGTCCATCTCAGGAAATGATTGGAAATCAAATTCATCAAGAATATCTGACTCAATCTTCCGCAGGTGTGTTAAATTTAAGGAGCCATTTTGAAGGTAGGAGGTCAAATGCTGTGCCACTTTTTGTACAAGAAGAACTGAAAGTATAAATTAGAATTGGTTGCTAAATTGTAACACAAAAATATCTTATAAACTTCATTAGAATAATATAGAACCACAAGTTACAACCTAAGGTCTTCATCAACTTTGGATAATGTGATAAGGTTTTTTTTTTAGATTAATGAAAGTTTTAGAAAACTAAAATAGATTTTAATAAAAATAAATTGGCACAGAGTTAAAAAGCCATCAATTATATGTCTATAATAATAATATAATTTAATAATAGCTGTTTCACATCCACAGCTACTAACATCTTTTTTATTGGTTTCAACAAAATTAATATTTAACCTGAAAAAGTAAAGTGTTTACAGAGCAATAAACTAGAACTAACCTCTGGATGGTGGTACTTTCTTGTTCTGTGTGTGTCCATTGTCCTGATCTTGTTCATTCAACTTTTGAAAATACTCAAGTGCCTTCTCTTGTACTTGAAGATCAGATAAACACACTGACAAGTGATAAAGCAAGCGGGCTAAAGGATCATGGAGAACTACCTGAAACAGAAATACAGAAATTCAAATCTTAACTGAAGCTTTTATTTAGTAAGAAAGTATAATATGCTCTGTACAATATTTTGGGTTGATTTTCATCATAAAAACAAAATTCTAAATATAATCAAAATAGAAATAGTCATTTTCACTTACTTTTATAAACTGTTCTATCTGAATACAAATTTTCTTATAAGTGCGAGGAGAATTCTCAATGGTTGCTAATAATTTAAACTTTCTGAAAATTTCCTCGAGGGTGACCTCTGGGGTTAAGGTCACATAGTGCTGTCGTAGCTTTAGAACATCATTTGCATTTGTTGGTTCCTTACAAAATAATCTTTTTTTCAATGAAAAAACTTTTCTAAAAAACACTAAAATATAAGGAATAATGTCAAAGCTAATATAATTGTTTTTAATAACTTTTTTTGAAAGTCTGGGTGACTTTTGAAATAAAAAAGTTCCAACTAGTTAAAAATATGACACCTGCAAAATGCTATCTTGAAAACATCGAAAGGCATCTTCAATGTCTTGACAGAAGACATCTCTGAGTTGCTCTACAAGTTTTTTCCTCAGTGTTGACATGTCACGATTTGACTTCTTCAGAGACTATACAAAATAAAACAGGAAACAGATGTGAAATTTTAAGACGATCCCTGAAAATTGTAATTAATATGTTTCAAAAGTTTTAATATTTCTATTGACATGATAAAATTTTGCTTCACCTAAAATAAAAACAACAACAACACAACATATTTTGCAACAATTACCTGTATAGCCAAAGGTAAACTTCCAATTTTGACACCTAATGAAAATGGACTTGAGACAGCATATTTATTAGCAAGGTACAGGATGAAGTCATCAATGTTGGTTCTCTCTGTCCACAGTTGTTTTCTTAAAATTAATAATTGTATTTATTTAGATTGGTATGGGGCTGGTCATTTCTCAAATATTTTTGTCAAGCCTCTAGCTGAGCCGTTATTTGTTTTAATTAAAATATTTCTTCTTCTTCTTCTTCTTCGTTCTTAATTATTAGTGTTGAAGGGGATCGAGAATTATCTGCCAGTGCGTTTGAACTCAAACCTTTGTTCAAATTTATCAACCATGAGCTTTTTTTGCCGACTCGACCACGCCTCCAACACAATTAAGCGTTACATGTCAACTGGTTATGCGCCATTGAGGCCATTAACTCCGATTTCAGCCTGCTTTTCTTTTTGGATTTGCTTCCATAGCCTTTGTCCAACCAAGAACAAACTACAAGGCAGCAGTTGTTTAATTTTGGAGTTGTCTCTCATAGAAGAGTGGCTGTCCACAGCTAACGAGCCTCATCTGCCCGGGGGTTCGAACTCGAGACTTTTCGGTTTAGCAACCATGAGCTTTACCGACTCGACCACGCCGACCCACGATTAAAATATTTAATTATTAAGATGTTATAGGGCCTGTAAGTCTCGTTCTTTCTCACTTAAAATTCGTAGTCTTGTGAGCCAAAGAGAGATTTAATTTTCAAGCTAAATTAATTGTAGCGAACATAATTTTCCCATTGATAACAAAAAAATTATGGCAGATATTTGTTTGTAGGCCTTGCTTCTAGATTTAAAAATTTCAAGAGTACCGAAAGAGAAACAATAACATATATATATATATATATATATATATATATATATATATATATATATATATATATACACATATATATATTATATATATTATATATATATATAAAGGGAGATTGATAGTAGACTTAAATGTAATAAAAAAATAACCAACTCATCCAAATAATTGTATAAATGCTCCATCACATCAGCAGTTGTTATGTCTGGAACATGCTCATCTTGTGGGAACTGGAAATGTTTCCAACTAGAAAGATTAAATTTCATTTTTTTTTTAATTTTAAAAAAATATTAAATAATGTAGGACAAAAATAAATACACTCTAAATCTAAATTCTGCACTTACATTACTGGCAGACTCTGTATTGGCCCAAGCTTCAAACTTTCAAAGCTCTCCTGATCTTGGTTCAACTGACCACACAATTCCATTATTTCATACAGGGTGCAAGTAGAATGGCCTCTCAGAAATGTTTCTATAAACAAATCCACTTTACAGAGAGCACGACTATGTTTAACTGCCGATTCCATTTTATAAAAGTTATTCACAGGCAACTCGAGGTCTTGAAATCTTCTTACCTAGATAAAAAAAAATGGATGTATAATGCTGCATTATTGTAAATTACAATGCAGAAAAGTTAACTTTAAAAAAAGTGACTGGGATACCATATTACCTGGAATTTTTTTAATAGTATTGTTTCCACGTCTTTTAAATTGACAAATTTTCTGGCATTATGAAGATCTTCAATACATATTTGTATTTCATTATCAACTTGTTTAGTTGTAAGGCGTGTACCTTTTGGTAAATTGATACATTTCATGACTACTTCCTAGAATAAAATAAACCAATTTGTAAATGTCATCAACACTACTTAAGTAATAATACGTTAAACAATGAGATTTACGTTAGTCTTTGTTATACTACCACATAATGTACCTATAATTTCAAGCACACTTTTTAAACACATATTGTGTACTTTGTATAATTTGTATTTGTGTTTAAGCATTTTTAATCACATTGGGACAAATATATACTACAATTAAAATCACAATTTAATTTGATTAGGCCCCATGCTACCAATATAAGAAACAAACCTTGTGAAAATCATCAATCTTGGTCCCTGGGAGGCAACCTGATCTGACTGGTGTAGCTGGCCATGACTCAGCACTGAGCCGAGATTTCTCTTTACTTTTACGTACCACTTGGGAGGTTTTCCTCTTATCCTGAATTTGTAAAAACTCATTCTAATGAGAATTAGATGAAGCTGTTTATGCCAAATTTTAAAAGTTTAACTCAGAATATCTTAAAAACAGATAGTGCAAAATTAATTTTTAGTCATAACCAGTGCATTAACTTAAAGTTAAAGCCAAATTTTTGTTTAATCACCTTATCATGACTAATAGTAGAAAGAAAAATGCATGGCATTTATTAAAAAAAAAACCTTTTTATAATGTTGTACAATGATCTAATGATGAAAAGAAAGCGTAACTAGAAATTGAATAAAAAATTCAAAATACAACACTTTAAATACAAAAATTAAAGTAAAATTACTCACATTCTCCAAACTTAGATCTTCTATCTCAGCTAGTGCTGTAGTTGTATGATGCGATGATCGCTCTGGTGTTGAATGTTGAGATGTGCTTTCTTCTGAATGTGAGGGAGCTTGCTTGGATTTTTTCCTTGAAGATTTTGGAGGAATATTTGAATTTGATGCAGCCAGTGTTGGAAAATCAGCATCCAACGATGGATTAGGTACTTTTTAAAAAAATAATGTATTGAATATTTCATTAGATTAATTGCATTAGACCAATATAAAGTAGAAATGACTTTCTTTAAAATTTATTCCATTTAATTATTAATTAAAACTGGTATTATAAAGATTAAAACCATGAAAAGTTTTATTAAAATAATCAATATATGTACCTGTAACTGTAGGTACGTTCCTACTGAGATGAAATTGGGGAAAAGATTTGAGAGGATTTTCTGTTGTTGAGAACTGTGATGAGGTTTGTGCCCAGCCTTTTTCCACTGTCTCCGAAACTTTATCGTGTTGTAGCTGAAAGCTGCCTCTCCTCTCAAGACTCTCAACGCTAGCTGTTACTGACCTCAAAGTGACAAAGTTGTTTTCACAACTTATCACATCTTTAAAAGCATCTAGATCTAACAGCCGATTCATTTTTGTAACACCATAGTTCTTGGCAGAAACAGGCTTTTTAGTGAAGCCTTGTAATTCTTGCCAGATGCTTTTGATTGGGCATTTTTTACCCTCTTGAGTATTTAGAAAATCAACCAGACTCTGCTTAAGACTCAATCTTTTTGAATCAGTATTCATTTCACAACCAAATGCGTTTCATGCAGTGGCATCAAAAAGTTCTGAAAAATAAAATCAACTTAGTCTGATCAGAGTTCAAGTGCACCAAAAACAATAACATACATGTTAAATTAATTGTTCAAGAAATGCTACTACTATTGTAAAGTATGATCCTTTCATATTTCTTAAATGTCATGTTTTGGTAATACAGTAGGCTACTGGCTAGAGTTGTGGCTTTGTACTTTTTAACACAAGTAGAATTTATTTCAACATGTTTTAAATTCAGTTATTTTAGTTAAGAAGTTTAAAAACACTTTAGGCTTTAACATTGTAAGTGGGAGTTGAAATCTCATATGTTGGCCATATATATATATATTTTATATAGGCTATATATATATATATATATATATATATATATATATATATATATATATATATATATATATAGGCCTATATATATATATAAATATACTGTCAGTCAGTGACTGTATGTTAGATCAGATCTAGATCTAATTGTTAGCAAAATAATACAATAAATTTTTATTAGGCCCTAGGCCTACAGTTTAATAGTTTAATTAAGATATAAGAATGGTAAACCTAGATCTAGACCTAGATCTTTATTACAAAAAAAAAAAAACAGCCTAAACAATACAATTTTATAAACATTATTAACTAATATACTAGATCTAAATCTATTAACAATTTGTGACATTACTTTCAACGAAAGATCACGATAAAGCAAAAATCATTTTTGGCTTGAATTCTTGAATGTTCAGTTCAGGTTAAATAATAAATAATTTTTAATTAAGTTGGACTTGCTCGGTCTCGGAGACTCATCACTTGCCAATGTGAATTTAAAAGCAAACCATCCAATGGATACTTGGTAATAATGGTTTTCCCCTTAAAACTGCAATTAGGATATGTCTGTAACTTAGCGTTTACTTTAAGTTTCATTTTCGATCGAAATAATGAACCTAGATCTAGTGGTAGAGCTAAAAATAGGCCAACAACTTAAACGTTGTTTGTTTCGGTAACGCCAGATACCAGGAAAAATGTTGCGTAATAAAATAAAATAAGTTTATATAAAGTTCTGCCTAAAAACAGAAAAATAATTATTGATGATTTTTTAAAGCATGATAAGATTATTAATTATTTATAAAACTATGTATATAAAAAGATTATTTTTACTAATAAGAGATCGATTTATGAAACATAACCAAAGCCATTAGTCACGAAAAAGAAAAACCAATATGGCAAAATGGATTAGAATTCCTGGAAAATTCTTGGAACGAGGGGTAAATGTCACTGACGATAAGCACAGTTGATGTTTCAACAAACAAATGATTGAAATATAGTCCTATATGACTCCATTACATGTGAACAGACTGCCATAAGTAATATTGTAGTTTTTATAAAATATAATAGGAAAACAACTAATAAATGCATTTAGGTTGTAAACTCAAAATGAAATACTAGCCTAGACTAGATCTAGTTTATTTAATCACGAGCCGACCCGCGGCGTATCACGCCGCTATTTAGTTTTATTTTCTACTTTTCAGTAATTCATAATTTGTGAATTCGACAGTACCAATGCTGTCACTGAAAATATTTGCTTTAAAACACTAAAACCCTCCTTTCCCCCAACCCCCCCCCCCCCTCCCGTGAAAGCAGCCTCCTCTTAGTTATACCTCCCCGTAAGTTTAAAATAGTTTCAAACTAAATTATCTGCCCCTAAACCCGGCTCTACGATTGTAAACATTTAGCGTGAACCACAGCTCACCAGACCATGTGGGGGTGGGGGTGGTTGCGATATGCCTAGAGAGGAAGATCGAGGGGGCTGCTAGGCGCGCTTACAGCTTGGTGTTTTCTAACGTCTCCAAGAAGAGAATTATATATATAGATTATGCTGATATTTTTATTTTCCTCTTTTCTAATTTTGTTTTAATATAAATCTAGATCTAGGCCTATGTAGTTTGGCCAAAGTGACTTAGAAAACCCACTAAATTAGTGTTTGTGGGAGAGTGGTTGCACAGTTACCGAACGCATTGATAATAAAACTAAGAGTAAGAGATTACCTGGAAATGGTGATTAAAAGATAGTTATGAATCATAGCGATCCTTGTCTATTTTCTTTGTATTAGTCGCTCCCATATTATGATTAGGCCGTGCCATTATAGGAAAAATCCACAGTGGCAGAACTGCCATGCCCTGCATAATCTCGCATTTAGGAAATGGGTAGGGTGGGACCAAAATCCAACCAAAATGTTAAAAATAATAATTTAAAAATGTTCGTTTCTTACATTGTTGCCTTTATTTGTACAAAAAAAAATACGATGTTTATTCATCTTTATTGAAACTTATTGTCATTAGACCATTTCCACAACTTATTACACTAGGGGGGATTAAAGAGGAAATGATCAATTAGGGTACCCTAGAAACCGCAAGTATGCTTAATTAAATAATGTATATATGTTTACTAACTTTTTTGTTTTAAATTAGTGGCGTAAATCTTGTCCTTATTTTCAGTCAATGACGGCGGACTATTAGAGCGTTGAAAGCAGAGTTTCTTCCAGGCATCTCTCCGAAAAAATTTTACCCCCCCCCCCCCCGAACGAAATGAAATTTATATAATTTATATAGAAAATATATACTTTTAACAGTGTCCGCCCCCCCCCCCCCCGAAGAAAGTCTACTGCCCCCCCCCCCCCGAAAATTTCAAGTGTCCCCCGGAGAAAAAAGTCTGGAAGAAACACTGCCCGAAAGTCTCGAATTCGAAGTCATCTATAAGTGACGTCACGCTTTTTTGACGATTTTTACCCCCCCTCCCCTCCATCACACATTGTCACAGAAAGCCAAACCCCCACCACTAGAATAACGTCACACCTCAGCCTACAACTCCCCTCAAAATTGCCGTTGAATTTTTCTTAAAGTACGATATTTTCCATTAATTTTGTCTGAACTCTGTCAACATAGAGTATTTATTACAATTTATTAAAACAGTTTTCTAAAACGCGAAATTGCGGCAAAAAGTCGTTTTCTAATAGTGCTTTTTTATAATGCAAAAGTGTGACGTCACACCATCTGAACCCCTCTCCTCCCCCTCATCACACACCGTCACAAAATTACAGACTCTCCCCCTCCCCCCCCCCCCCCCCCTTACGAGTGGACGACCCCTGCTGGTTGAAGTGAGTAGTACGTCCCTGAGTCCACCCAGCTTTAATGAGAAAGTAAAGGCAGCTGGTCATAGTGCTGACCACCCCCTCTCTCTCGATACTTAGGGCTAGAGTAAAAGAGTAAGATGTACAGATTATGCACACAGATTTATAAAACACAGCTTTATACCATGCATAATTTAATTTAACTATACGTGACACAAGACTTAGTGTTCGTCGTATATTTCAAAGCTCAAACCACTGACTGTAATTTAAATGATACTACCTAATGTTGCGTTATAATTGTTTACTAATATATTTTGTAAGCAGAAATATTTGTTTCGAGATCGCAAAACAGGTCCTAATTATGGAAATAAAACAATACTGATTTTGATGAATATACGTTTATTAGACATATTAATAATAGTTTTTGGTTAAACATGTAAAGCAGAACACATTGACAACTGTAAGGGATTGGAGGGGGGGGGGGGGGATATGGTGCAATCTGTAAGTTCCAGAAAACCGAGACTTCAGTGAGATCATCGAAATCTTGAAGATTAACACAATGCAATTTTATTGTCACTGCTGTTCTTACTAAGTGTATTTTCTTAACTGTGATATACGGCTTCTTTATAGCCTAGTAACTTAGGGTTAAATTAGGGGGAAATTATTTAGACATAAATGCAAATTCATTTTTTTAAATAATAAAATTACTACGAATTCGTTCCTAAAATTCAGATACCATTTTATAAATCAATAGTTAGTCATAACAAGTGGGGATATGAGGATAGATTTCCCAAATGTTTATTTAACTTCGTAAGACCAGCGGTAGTCATATAGCGTAGCTCAGCTTTAGATTCATTGTCACTGCTAATTTGTCACAGCCAAATTGTCATAGCCTAATTGTCACAGCCGAATTATCACAGCCGAATTGTCACAACCAGGACTTCATCTGCTATCACAGTCTAATATTGCGGTTTATAAATCAGTAGAGACTAACCCTAAACCTAACTACTGTATTTTATGAAGTATCAGCTTTAGATTCATTGTCACTGCTAATTTGTCACAGCCAAATTGTCATAGCCTAATTGTCACAGCCGAATTATCACAGCCGAATTGTCACAACCAGGACTTCATCTGCTATTAAAGTCTAATATTGCGGTTTATAAATCAGTAGAGACTAACCCTAAACCTAACTACTGTATTTTATGAAGTATCAGCCGATTGAACCAAGATGGCCATATGTACACTGAAAAATGTTGAATCTAAACTAAAATAAGCCCAACATTTATTCCAATGCTTCTATAAAAATAGTACCTAAGTTATGTATTCAAACAATAGCAAAAATGTCCCCCAGCATACATTTTGATTGCAACATGTATAATTTATATTTAGATACATTATGTTATTTTATATATATATATATATATATATATATATATATATATATATATATATATATATATATATATATATATATATATATATATATATATATATATATATATTATATATATATATATATATATATATATATATATATATATATATATATATATATATATATAGGCATATAATATATATATATGATAGACAAATTTAAATTGAATTTTTTGATATTGATTATAAAGATAGTTCTAAGTTCACATAAATGTTAGTTTTTCAAATAATAGTGAATTAAGATTTTATTTCGAATTTCTAAATGAAATGCTGTACACGTTGACCTTGAGTTGACCTTGGTTCAAGCTGTCTTGACATTGATTGGTTGAGCACCGTTGATGTCGTCCAGTTCGTTCGAGTTAAAGATGGCGATCAAGTCGGATTGACCCGCTTTGGTTGGGGTCACCGGAAGTGTAGCCAAGAAAGTCGAGTGGCCAGCCACATTTCTGTTGAAACATGCAGCCGTTAGTGATTTCAAGGGGGTAGGCAAGCAAGTTTTACTGTGTCGTAGGTAAGTAGGTTATGTTTTACAGGTAAACAAGTTTCCAATCCTGAACATATTACAGGATTGTTACCTACCTCACTTTAAACAAAAGTTACGCTATTTCCATAGACCAACCACCCCTCGTGTTGTATAAAATATACAGCACCCACCCTCAAAATAATAAGTTATGCTCTGGCATGTTCTGATTGAAAGGATATTCTGTGGAATAATTTACATTCTACCAAGAGACACCATTTTACAAAATGGCTCCTTTTTACGGACTTTCGTGTGAGATTCACGTTTATCATTGTGGTGTATCAACCCCGTCAAATAATTGGACGATTGTATAGGACGGCAAGAACTTGACATCTTTTAATTAGAAACTTAAAAATAGCCACTTCCCGCTTAATGTTTTGTCTACTCTCAAATGTTCACCAACAACCCGTAGGTTTCAAAATACCCCTAAGTTTATCTACACGCCCCGGATTTTACCCCCCCCCCCCACACACACTGTAGTTACGCTTTCGGGCCTGGCGGTCGATTACACAGATGAAGTAGAGTACACATCCACATATAACATGCTACCTTCCACCCACATATTACAGGCTACACCCCACACACACATTACAGGCTACACCCCACCCACACATTACAGGCTACACCCCACACACACATTACAGGCTACACCCCACACACACACATTACAGGCTACCTTCCACCCACATTTTACACATCCACCCACACATTCCATGCTACTTACGGCTGCGGGAAGTTCAAAGAATGGGTCACCCCATCCACCGCAACAAAACATTTGGTCAGGTCACGGCTGAGTGGGTTTCTAAACGAGACTTCGACCTTGAACTCTTGACCGACAGTGGCATCAGATGGAGCCTAGCAGAAAGACGTTTGGTTTCTAAAAACTTATTGATCATCATTTTCAATTACAGTTAATACAAATAAAAAAAAATCCACATCATTTAGGTTTGTTGACGGTTTGTTGATTCATGTTTTTCCTCGGCATCTGAAGGGGTGGCGTGGCCAGTTCTTTGCCCATCTGTCTTTACGTTGAGTCAGGTATCCATGAGAGCTATGTGAAATCAGGGACGTTCAACAAACGTAGACTGGCATCAAACTGGAGACTTTCATGTAGCGACCATGAGCTCTACTATCAGACCACGAGGCTGGGTACACCCTTACAAACGTTACACTGTAAACACGGCGCCACCCACCTTGATAGTCAGGTGAGGTTTGCGGAGTCTGAAGTCTGTTTTCTTGGTGAAATACTGGTCCGTCTCCTCGACGTAAGCCCAGATGGTGACGTCCAGCATGCAGCCGTCCTTCAACTTGCCGTCGTAATCCGCTTCAGTGGCCACAACCCTGAACACATTTTCTGGTGAAAATCAGAGAAATATTTTATCAGCAAAGTGTTAAACAACATATATTCCCCATTAAGTTTGAAGTCGCTGTTACAAGAAACTGGATGCCCAAGGTTTTTAGATTTTTTTTCAATGAATTCGTACCAATCCGTGAACTGAAATCTAAGTGCTAACTATATCCGTGCCAACCCGCCTTCTCAGAAAAGTTTAAAGGATTCGGTATTTTAGCCTCTTGTTAAAATTAATATATAAAAACCCTTAGAGTTACCTTCCCCTGGTTTGATTCCCGTGAGCTGGAAAGTCTCAGACTTGACCAGTTCAGCGACCACGCCCGTGTAGAACATGGTCCTGACGTCAATTCGGCCACTCGCTGACCGCGGGGCGGCGCCTCTGTTCTTCATACGGAGGGACAACTCGAAGTCTCCTCCAACAAATGTCGCCTCTTCGTTCTGGTCAACGTTGAAGTCAATGTCCTGGGGAGGTTTAAACACACGTGAGCACGCTTGACCAATGTCAGGTTTGTAAGGTATAGCGCTGTTATATTACATGTTATGCTTGAACTCATTGTAAATGGAAATTATAGCGTTAAGGTTTGGGTTTTATAGTATGGGAGCTGGTTTTTGTGTGTTTACCATTGAATTACACAGTACATCAAACTTGTAATGGGGTTGTTTTAAAATATGTGAATGTACGTGCGTGGCGTGTGTGTATGAGTGGTTGTGTTCACGAAATGCGAGTATAGGATAAGAATATATGTTAAAATTGTTACAGTATTTTAATTTCGTATTGGAGAGTCGCATTTGTCTTTAAAAATCAAACAGAAAAGAACACATCTGGAAAGTTACATGACAACTACATTATTAGACACATCAGTAAGTAATTTATTGCCAGTAGTTACCCTGTCTCGCTGACATCAGTAAGTAATTTATTGCCAGTAGTTACCCTGTCTCGCTGACATCAGTAAGTAATTTATTGCCAGTAGTTACCCTGTCTCGCTGACATCAGTAAGTAATTTATTGCCAGTAGTTACCCTGTCTCGCTGACATCAGTAAGTAATTTATTGCCAGTAGTTACCCTGTCTCGCTGACATCAGTAAGTAATTTATTGCCAGTAGTTACCCTGTCTCGCTGCTTGTAGATGTCTTTCCTCTTGGAGCCTGTCTCGTTAGCCCTAAGGACGGCCACTCTTTCGGCACAGGTGTCTAAACAACAGGGGTCAATAAAAGGTAAATTATAGCATGTGTGTCTTAAGAGCAGTGGCGTAGCGAGGTCGGGCGTCACCCTGTGCGGCATTTAATGGTGTCACCCCCCAGAGGCGTTTTTACTAAATAATACCATTTGTTACGTTTGCCTATATTTCAAAGATGTAACTTAATACTGAAAATGTTTAGACAATTCAGAATTTATTAGTGTTTTTTATTACAGAAATGAAAGAAATTAATTAAACCGTTTTTAAAGACGTTACCTTCATCCGGCTTGTAATCTTTTGTTAAGTCTTCTCTTTCATCTTTGTTGGCGGCCTTTGTGCTAATCTTTTGTCCAACACTGCAAGGACAACAACATGTAGGCGTCTTACAAAATGTATGAAGTAAAACACTAATCCATGCGTCACAGAAACTAAACCACTTTTAGACCACTGTTGGCAATTGTATTATGGTTTCTTGCACACAATAGAAGTAACTTACGTTTTCTTATCTATGTACGCTACTTCCAAGTCGCCATTAGCATTGGGCGTCCAGTAGACTTTGTCGGCGTTTACCTCAGCGAAGACGAATGGGCCGTCGTACTGCAGGCCAACCTCTCCACACTTGATGGCGGCCACGGAGGTGGGTCCACAGCAGTAGGTTTCTGGGGAGAGGGGTGTGTGGGGGTTTGAGGTTGATTACATGGGAGGTTGGGTCAATAGTAGGCTTCTGAGGCCTATGGTGGTTTTAAATAAATGGTAAATAAATAAATGGTGTGTAACGATGCGGCATGTAAGGACCTGGTGTGTAAGGACATGGTGTGTAAGAACATGGTGTGTAAGAACATGGTGTGTAAGGACTTGGTGTGTAATGACCTGGTGTGTAAGGATCTGGTGTGTAAGTACATGGTGTGTAAGGCCTTAGTGCCAGTAGAGCATGAACCAACCGTTGGAGAGTTCTTGGGGCGTGGCATCAATCACCTGCCAGCCGCCATAGTTTCCAGTCAGGTCAGGCCTGCTCATCCACACCTCATTCCACACGTGAAAGTTCCTGGAAAAAGGCTCAATTGTTTCAATAAACCTATTTTGTATTGGTCTAAAAACGTAAACAATGTTTATCAAATTGTGAAACCTATTGTACAATATTGCTTAATGGCACCAATTTAAGAATCCATCATATCCCTTTTAACGTTAGTTTATGTTTCTTTGTTTCTACTTTGGGACTAAAATCTGACAGAACACAAAACTAACCAGATCGAGTCACAGTCCTTGTCTGCATCGCTCTCACCGTTTGCTGTGAAATGATAATCTATCGTGATGGAGCCATCAGCGTCATGGGCTGAAGAAAAGTTCGTCACACTTCTTGCGGGAATTCCCAGAGCTCGACAAACTATTCGGGAAAACCGTTATGTTTTAAATAAACTTCGGGAATTACAAATATACAATTTACATAATACTTTGATTCCATCTTATTACATACGTGTTGTGGTTATTCCAGAGAAAACCCAACACTGTCCGTACTTGACTGGACGCTTGGTTTTCCAGTACTCATCAATGATGGCTCCGGATCCAGTCCAAGACAAAGGTGACCGGCCATCTTTGTAGTCGCCTGACCAGTTGCCTGTCAAAATACCACCGTCGTCCGAAGAGTTGGCCTGGGAACAAACAATAACAAATTTAGTCAGTAAAAATAGCATTAAATCATCTTAAATGCAAATGATTAAAAAAGTGTTTAGAAAGTAGTTCCAGATTATGAAATTGTGTTAACTAGGAATCATAGTCAAATGTATATGGTTGTCTTAAAGTAACTGCATAGATACATTATCTATATATATAATTCTCTTCTGGGAGCCGTTAGAAAACAAGCTGCAAGCGCGCCTTACAGTCCCCTCTCTTCCTCTCTATCGCTACCCCCCCCCACCCCCCACCCCCTCACATGATCTGGTGAGCTGTGGTCACGCTGTTTACATTTTACAATCATAGAGACGGGTTTGGTGACGGCTATTAGGGGCAGATAATTTAGTTTGAAACGATTTTAAACTTAGAGGAGGGTAACTAAGAGGAGGCTGCTTTCTCGTGGGGGGGGGGGGGGGGAGGGGGAGGGGGGGGGGAGGGGGAGGGGGGGGGGGAGAGGGGGTTTAGGGTTTTTAGGCAAATATTTTCAGTGGCAGCATTGGTACTGTCGAATTCACAAATTATACATTACCGAAAAGTAGAAAAAAAAAACAACTAAATGATACGCTGCGGGTCGGCTCGTATAGGATAAATAGAAAACGACTGCTGTTTTTTTCGATTTTTAGAGAATTTATCGTTGCTTACATTTCATTAATAATAGCTACGCCTAGCTATAATTAAATGTCATTTGCTTAACTTGTCATAACTTTCCAGAGCAGTCAGTGCTGTTTAAAAATAAAAGTTTCCGCAGCTTTGAATAAAAGTTCAAATTAATTTACCTAAACTCTAATTAAAAGTTTCACTAGTTGCTACAGCTAATTAAAATGTACGATACCAAAGATGAAAATGGCAAGTTACCAAAGCTGAAATCTTGCGGACAACCTGGACAGGGTTGCCCCTGGCTGACCAGTTGAGCATGGAGATGTTGAGGAGGAACAGCGCCACGTCCAGGGCGTTAGGCTCAAACTGTGGGGGTCAAACAACACGAACATCTTTTTATAAAGTTTTCATGGGTATGATATTTTACGAAAATCTATGTGGGGGTCAAACAACACAAACATCTTTTTATAAAGTTTTGATAGGTATGATATTTTAAGAAAATCTATGTGGAGGTCAAACAACACAAACATCTTTTTACGAAGTTTCCATAGGTATGATATTTTACGAAAATCTATGTGGGGGTCAAACAACACAAACATCTTTTTATAAAGTTTTGATAGGTATGATATTTTACGAAATCTATGTGGAGGTCAAACAACACAAACATCTTTTTACACAGTTTAAATTTTGATAGTTATGATATTTTACCAAACGATAAATAGTAGACCTAAATTGGCACTTTATTATAAATCGATGCAACGAATGAATACAAAGGATTATAAATTTTATGCTGCTTTGTAACTGTTTTCTGTGGGATGTATGTTTTTTAGAAGATAGTTTTGAAAGCAATATTGAGGATGTTTTGTTTTGATTTAACCTTTATTTGCTTTTAAATGGAAGTGCTTGAAAAGTTTAGACCCGAATATGTTAGGTTTATGTAAGCTCAGGAGTGTTGATGTGTTCTTTTTACCCATAGACGTGTATTAGGCCTGTTTACCTTCGATTTGTTGGCTGAAATGAAAGGCATATATCTTCCTGTTTACCTGTGCGAAATGCCAAGGCTTGCCTGTTATCGTGTTCTTGGTCCCTGTGTAGATTTTCCCCGTGTCGTTGAGCACGTACTCTTCCAGAAGTTTCTCGTCTTTCATGTATACAGCGTCATCTGGTGATGTCAAGGTCTAGCTAAGTACACACACATACACACACACACGCATATATATATATATATATATATATATATATATATATATATATATATATATACACATTTATCACACGATGACAGAGCAGCGAGATAATATCCAACACGTCAAGACTTGGCGTCAGTAACGACCACGAATAGCCAATAAGCTCCTAAATAGGGCTGGTAAGTAGGTCACCAACCAGTTCTATGGCTCATGCAGGTTTTATTGAGCCGTAGAACTGGTTGGTGACCTACTTACCAGCCCTATAGCCAATAATGAATACAAAAAGTCAGAAATGGCCATCAATCCAAACATTAAGGAACACGAAAACAAAGGTTAATTGTTGATCTCCCCACTTTTACACCAGGGGTTGATTATTTATCCAACTTTAAACCAAGGGTAATTCATGATTTGTTCACTTTTACACCTGGGGTTTATTGCTGATCTACCCACCTTTACACCAGTGGTTGATCTACCCACCTTTACACCAGTGGTTGATCTACCCACCTTTACACCAGATGTTAGTTGTTGATCTACCCACCTTTACACCAGATGTTAGTTGTTGATCTACCCACCTTTACACCAGTGGTTGATCTACTCCCCTTGGGTTGTTGATCTACCCACCTTTACACCAGTGGTTGGTCTACCCACCTTTACACCAGTAATTGATCTACCCACCTTTACACCAGGGGTTAAAGAGAATGTAGAACGGGTCCTTGTGCTGGTAACTGAAGACATGGACGCTTGTGTTTACCTTCTTGACCACGTCAATCTTTAGAGTCCATTTGCCGACGATACTGTCAGGCGGCGTGAAAAGGTCAATGTTCAAGGTCGTGCCCTGTAAATACATTACACGAAGCGGCTGTTGAACTGATTCTCATGATTTTGTTTCGTTAAGGAGATTCGAACTCGACTCTATCGGTTTTGTAAACACGATCTAATCTTTAACGCACAGCAACACGATCTTCATATAAGATAAATTATACCTTATAAGTTCAATTTATGGTCTGTTTTTCCCCAAATAGACTGAAGGTCCAAATAATAGTTCAACCCTTTTAGTAAAGTAAACCCAACATTGCCTAGCGATAAGTTTTTAACAGCTTTCTTAATGCCTTTTATTTCAAAACACGCCTTATAATTTCTTTAATGCAACACAAAATAAACTTTATTTGTGGCATTTAAAGTACTTCAGCATTAAACTTTACTGCCTCCAATGGACTTACTGTAGCTTGTATTCATTGACCCAGAACAGCTATTGCAAAAATATAAACCAACTTGGAAACAGAAGAAAGTAGCTTCATTGACCCATAAAGATTGCAGTAAAAATAGAAATTACCAGGTAAATTTAAAAAAATATTAAAAAACATTGATCACGGAAGTATGACGATATACATTAAAAACATCTTTATTAAAAAACAACCACCAACATACGAAAACACCAATATCTAAAAGAAAACAAAACATGTAACTAACAAAAACAACATCTAAATTAAAGAACCAACAAGCAGCACCTTCTGTGAGGCAATTTTTGCTCCCCATTCCTTAGGCTTGTCTTCATGAGAGAGTATGATCTTCACTCGCGTGTCTTTACTCTCCATGGGAGTCTCGCCTGACCAGGTTTTTGATACATTACAACCAAATATATATTGTAGTTGATACATTACAACCAAATATATATTGTAGTTGATAAATAACAACCAAATATATATTGTAGTTGATAAATAACAACCAAATATATATTGTAGTTGATACATTACAACCAAATATATATTGTAGTTGATACATAACAACCAAATATATATTGTAGTTGATACATTACAACCAAATATATATTGTAGTTGATACATTACAACCAAATATATATTGTAGTTGATACATTACAACCAAATATATATTGTAGTTGATACATTACAACCAAATATATATTGTAGTTGATACATAACAACCAAATATATATTGTAGTTGATACATTACAACCAAATATATATTGTAGTTGATACATTACAACCAAATATATATTGTAGTTGATAAATAACAACCAAATATATATTGTAGTTGATACATTACAACCAAATATAAATTGTAGTTGATACATTACAACCAAATATATATTGTAGTTGATAAATAACAACCAAATATATATTGTAGTTGATACATTACAACCAAATATATATTGTAGTTGATACATAACAACCAAATATATATTGTAGTTGATACATTACAACCAAATATATATTGTAGTTGATACATTACAACCAAATATATATTGTAGTTGATACATAACAACCAAATATATATTGTAGTTGATACATTACAACCAAATATATATTGTAGTTGATACATTACAACCAAATATATATTGTAGTTGATACATAACAACCAAATATATATTGTAGTTGATACATTACAACCAAATATATATTGTAGTTGATACATTACAACCAAATATATATTGTAGTTGATACATTACAACCAAATATATATTGTAGTTGATACATTACAACCAAATATATATTGTAGTTGATACATTACAACCAAATATATATTGTAGTTGATACATTACAACCAAATATATATTGTAGTTGATACATTACAACCAAATATATATTGTAGTTGATACATAACAACCAAATATATATTGTAGTTGATACATTACAACCAAATATATATTGTAGTTGATACATAACAACCAAATATATGTTGTAGTTGATACATAACAACCAAATATATATTGTAGTTGATACATTACAACCAAATATATATTGTAGTTGATACATGACAGCCAAATATATATTGTAGTTGATACATTACAACCAAATATATATTGTAGTTGATACATTACAACCAAATATATATTGTAGTTGATACATTACAACCAAATATATATTGTAGTTGATACATTACAACCAAATATATATTGTAGTTGATATTAACAACCAAATATATATTGTAGTTGATACATTACAACCAAATATATATTGTAGTTGATACATTACAACCAAATATATATTGTAGTTGATACATAACAACCAAATATATATTGTAGTTGATACATTACAACCAAATATATATTGTAGTTGATACATAACAACCAAATATATATTGTAGTTGATACATAACAACCAAATATATATTGTAGTTGATACATTACAACCAAATATATATTGTAGTTGATACATGACAGCCAAATATATATTGTAGTTGATACATTACAACCAAATATATATTGTAGTTGATATTAACAACAAAATATATATTGTAGTTGATACATTACAACCAAATATATATTGTAGTTGATACATTACAACCAAATATATATTGTAGTTGATACATTACAACCAAATATATATTGTAGTTGATACATAACAACCAAATATATATTGTAGTTGATACATAACAACCAAATATATATTGTAGTTGATACATTACAACCAAATATATATTGTAGTTGATACATTACAACCAAATATATATTGTAGTTGATACATTACAACCAAATATATATTGTAGTTGATACATTACAACCAAATATATATTGTAGTTGATACATTACAACCAAATATATATTGTAGTTGATACATTACAACCAAATATATATTGTAGTTGATACATAACAACCAAATATATATTGTAGTTGATACATTACAACCAAATATATATTGTAGTTGATACATAACAACCAAATATATATTGTAGTTGATACATAACAACCAAATATATATTGTAGTTGATACATTACAACCAAATATATATTGTAGTTGATACATGACAGCCAAATATATATTGTAGTTGATACATTACAACCAAATATATATTGTAGTTGATATTAACAACAAAATATATATTGTAGTTGATACATTACAACCAAATATATATTGTAGTTGATATTAACAACCAAATATATATTGTAGTTGATACATTACAACCAAATATATATTGTAGTTGATACATTACAACCAAATATATATTGTAGTTGATACATAACAACCAAATATATATTGTAGTTGATACATTACAACCAAATATATATTGTAGTTGATACATAACAACCAAATATATATTGTAGTTGATACATAACAACCAAATATATATTGTAGTTGATACATTACAACCAAATATATATTGTAGTTGATACATGACAGCCAAATATATATTGTAGTTGATACATTACAACCAAATATATATTGTAGTTGATATTAACAACAAAATATATATTGTAGTTGATACATTACAACCAAATATATATTGTAGTTGATACATTACAACCAAATATATATTGTAGTTGATACATTACAACCAAATATATATTGTAGTTGATACATTACAACCAAATATATATATTGTAGTTGATACATTACAACCAATATATATTGTAGTTGATACATAACAGCCAAATATATATTGTAGTTGATACATTACAACCAAATATATATTATAGTTGATACATAACAAGCAAATATATATTGTAGTTGATACATAACAATTAAATATATATTGTAGTTGTATCAACAAAAATGTTTTTCTGAATTCTTAGTGGGAAGAAAGTTTTAAAACATAGTATATACAATGTGTGCGGAGCTTTTGAACTCAGTCTTCAAACATCATCTGGATTAGCTTTGAGGCCATCTACTTGAGTGGACGTTATAGATTAACCCTTTTGAATATTGTTCGCGACATTTCAGCGAACATTTCTCCCCGACCATTAGGCTGTCAGGTGTGTCAGTGTGTCAAATGCCAGTCAGGTGTAGCAGCAGCGATAATAAGGGTGGCAGGACGTATTTATGAGAGAATGTGCATAGAGGGAAGTTGATGTGGTGTGGTAGAGTGATAACATGCACCACTGGACAGCAGTGTGTTTGTAAGGCTGGGTAGATCCATAGATTTGGATCGTCAGGGTACACCTGATATATATGTATGTATGTATGTATACATTTATATATATATACATATACAAATATATATATATATATATATATATATATATATATATATATATATATATATATATATATATATATATATATATATATATATTTATAAATATATATACATACAGCTTTTGTCCCGTAAAGAATTAACAATGTGCTGTAATCTGTAATTTTATAGACTAGCCCCCTGGTGTACTAGCGATGAGTACACCAGGTAGATCTGACGCAAATACTGACCAACTTCCAAGACAATTTGAAGGTCATCCTTGTTTTCATCATACTCTTTGGAGAAGGTCACCGATATTTGGAAGGGTTGGCCTCGTCTGACAACCAGCTTGGGGTTGACGACGGACGTGCAGACATCGTACTTGTGGGTCTTGTGGCTCTTGGCGTTGGCCGGGATGTTCAGGTTTAGACTGACCACGGTCAGCACAGCAGCAGGGTCGGGTTCTGTGGGCAGAGAAGTGGTTTAGTGGGGTCGGGTTCTGTGGGTAGAGAAGTGGTTTAGTGGGGTCGGGTTCTGTGGGCAGAGAAGTGGTTTAGTGGGGTCGGGTTCTGTGGGCAGAGAAGTGGTTTAGTGGGGTCGGGTTCTGTCTGCAGAGAAGTGGTTTAGTGGGGTCGGGTTCTGTGGGCAGAGAAGTGGTTTAGTGGGGTCGGGTTCTGTCTGCAGAGAAGTGGTTTAGTGGGGTCGGGTTCTGTGGGCAGAGAAGTGGTTTAGTGGGGTCGGGTTCTGTGGGCAGAGAAGTGGTTTAGTGGGGTCGGGTTCTGTGGGCAGAGAAGTGGTTTAGTGGGGTCGGGTTCTGTGGGCAGAGAAGAGGTTTAGTGGGGTCGGGTTCTGTGGGCAGAGAAGTGTGGTCGGGTTCTGTGGGCAGAGAAGTGGTTTAGTGGGGTCGGGTTCTGTGGGCAGAGAAGTGGTTTAGTGGGGTTGGGTTCTGTGGGCAGAGAAGTGGTTTAGTGGGGTCGGGTTCTGTGGGTAGAGAAGTGGTTTAGTGGGGTCGGGTTCTGTGGGCAGAGAAGTGGTTTAGTGGGGTCGGGTTCTGTGGGCAGAGAAGTGGTTTAGTGGGGTCGGGTTCTGTGGGTAGAGAAGTGGTTTAGTGGGGTCGGGTTCTGTGGGCAGAGAAGTGGTTTAGTGGGGTCGGGTTCTGTGGGCAGAGAAGTGGTTTAGTGGGGTCGGCTTCTGTGGGCAATAAGTTTAGTGTTCGTCGGTTGAGTTAACTAGCTCGCACGAGTGGGAGCAGCGAGCTACCTAAGTATTATAGCGTGCTGCCGATGTGAGGATATATAATCAAAGGCTAGTCAAATATGAACGTCGTCTAAGTTAATGTTTCAACCTGTTTTCATTATGTCGAAGTTTTACTAGATCAAAATCAACATTTGAGGCAAGGAGCGTTTATTTCTCTCCTCTGGGCCGTCAGGGACCTAAAGCCGTCACGTGGTGGTCAAAGCTCTACCTGTATACATTGACAAATTACCACGAAAACACATATCAATAGCTGGGTTGGATTTGAGCATTGTGTGATTTGTTTTTAGAATCCTCATTTTCAAGTGTGTTTCTTTTCCTAAACAATTAAACCACAAATTTTATTCAATCTACTTCTGAGCGTAACATTGAAATACATTGTACACAATTTAAAAGACTCGATCAACTTGTTGCGGTATATTCTGTCTGCTGTGCACATTCAAGCGAACAGCTAAATTTCCATATCGGCGCTGCTGGTCACAGTTCAGTGAACCCTAGAGATCTTAGCATTTTGTCACAGATGACTGCGTGTGTCACAATGCCCAGCTTGGGTGCAGCTATGTGAGGTGTATTAATGTACGAGCTGCCAATAAAATAGATACACGCACTCGTGGCTTTAATCAAGCTAAATCAGCAGATTTTAGACCCTACACACAAGCCTACTAGAGCTGTACAAACACGGGTTGATACCAAAGCTGCTATCGTTTTGAGGTAACTTATTTCGTCTTCACTGAAGCAAGTAAACTACAAGTCAGCTTCCACCGTGTTAAATGTTCCGTGAAACAATATGGGGGCGCATTTTAATATATTTTTAATGCCGACTTGCCATACAAACTTTTTTAAAGCCAAAATATTTCGAGGGTATGCCCACTTACTTTGTATCGGTGGTTGAGCTATGATTCTATTGTTGACATATTTTTAATGCAGGCTTGCCATACAGACTTTTTTAAAGCCAAAATAATATTTCGAGGGTATTCCCACTTACTTTGTATCGGTGGTTGAGCTGGAGTGTTGTTGTTGACGTTCGCGAGTGTCTCATTTCCGTACTGGTAGATTTGTCGGATGAGGTTAAATCTGTTGGTGCCTACGATGACGTTTCTGTTGAGGAAATTGTAAGATTGAAAGAGTAAACTTAAACAGTTATTCTAACCGATCATATATTGTTGACCAAAACATTTTAGACATTTTTTTTGTCATCCCCCCACAGAATTCCTCTAGGTATGGCGATATTTAAAAAGGAGTAAGTAGTTTATATCCGATTGTTTAATTTAGGCACATGAAAGCAATTTAATTTCTCGAATCAAGACTAATATTTTAATACATTCAGGACTAAGAACCTATGATAGTTTTATTTATTTATGCTTTTTATTTTAGGATCTGTTAATAATTGAGGGTATCGCCGATCTATGTAGTGCAAGGGCTGGAGTAGAGTGTAAGCAAATGTAAACAATTTATTTCTGGATGACTGCGTCTCTTAACACACCGTCTAAAAATAGCTGACTGTCGTGCAGAGGGGTCGGGATCAACCATCCGTGAACAACTTTACTGTGTGTAGGAGTTCAGGAATTTCAATCTTAGAGCTAAAGGTAAAAACAAGCTCTGAAGGTTACTGGGATATTTAGTTTGATAATAGGGCAAGGGATTGCACTGAATTACGATTACCTGTGATCAAATTATAGCATACAAGCAAGCGCATGCATGCCATAAAAGAAAATCAATACTTAAAAAAGCTTGTGTTTAGAAAGTGTAGAGTAGCCTATACAAATCTTTTTTAAGTGATCTCTTAGCTCTAGGCCTGGTCTTATGTCGTACAAACAAAACAAATGTACATTCTATACACTGACAAAGATCTGTCTATCTTTCACGAGCAACTCAAGTCCGATCCACCTTCATTGAAAGTGTCGTGGGGCGCAGAAGGGGGGGGTATTAAATTTCCCAGGGGTTGGAGGGAGGAAGGGAGGGACACGGGTAAAAATATATATTTAGTTCAAGAGGGGAGTGGGTGGGTGGGGGTGGGCTGTGCTCATCCCCCACCAGAGATGCCTGTAGGAAACCGCCCACGATCGCCCTCTACTAGAGCGTGAAATACAAATGTTGACTAGGGCGATTAGGCCAGTGGGGTAGGCAGGGTAGGAGGGGGGGGCAAGGCGTTGAATGGTCTGGGGGTAGGAACCACCATGTAGGCTACATCAAAATGGAAATATGTCTTTCATTAAAATTTACTGCGGCTATTTGTTGCAGTGGTGTAGCACTCATGGCGATCTATACGTTTACATTTTACAATGTAACCTTGCTACACACGTTTTGGAATACATGCTTATATATATATATATATATATATATATATATATATATATATATATATATATATATATATATATATATACATACACACACATTAGATACTGTTTTCCAGCCCTCCCCAACGACAACATCCAGCCTACGCCACTGGGTAAAGTTACACCCTCAGTGTAACGAACATGTAACCTGGTCTACCACACAACCAGTTAAATTGTCCCCCACTCGCCATTTGTCCTTCACGCTGTAAGGTTGTGTGAGCAAGTACAACATACCTGTGTAGTGGCTGGGTGTCCTTCACGCTGTTGTGTGAGCAAGTACAACATACCTGTGTAATGGCTGGGTGTCCTTCACGCTGTAAGGTTGTGTGAGCAAGTACAACATACCTGTGGAGTGGCTGGGTGTCCTTCACGCTGTTGTGTGAGCAAGTACAACATACCTGTGTAGTGGCTGGGTGTCCTTCACGCTGTTGTGTGAGCAAGTACAACATACCTGTGTAGTGGCTGGGTGTCCTTCACGCTGTTGTGTGAGCAAGTACAACATACCTGTGTAGTGGCTGGGTGTCCTTCACGCTGTTGTGTGAGCAAGTACAACATACCTGTGTAGTGGGTGGGTGTCCTTCACGCTGTAAGGTTGTGTGAGCAAGTACAACATACCTGTGTAGTGGCTGGATGTCCTTCACGCTGTTGTGTGAGCAAGTACAACATACCTGTGGAGTGGCTGGGTGTCCTTCACGCTGTAAGGTTGTGTGAGCAAGTACAACATACCTGTGTAGTGGCTGGGTGTCCTTCACGCTGTAAGGTTGTGTGAGCAAGTACAACATACCTGTGTAGTGGCTGGGTGTCCTTCACGCTGTAAGGTTGTGTGAGCAAGTACAACATACCTGTGTAGTGGCTGGGTGTCCTTCACGCTGTAAGGTTGTGTGAGCAAGTACAACATACCTGTGTAGTGGCTGGGTGTCCTTCACGCTGTAAGGTTGTGTGAGCAAGTACAACATACCTGTGTAGTGGCTGGGTGTCCTTCACGCTGTAAGGTTGTGTGAGCAAGTACAACATACCTGTGTAGTGGCTGGGTGTCCTTCACGCTGTAAGGTTGTGTGAGCAAGTACAACATACCTGTGTAGTGGCTGGGGCGCTGCCCTTGTGGCAAGGCTGGGGCGGATGACATTGTGTCGTCTCATGACGGATGGGATGGTCGGTCTAATGATAGATCTGCCAGATAAATAGAAAAGTCAGTTCAACCAACGAATAGCAGCTGAAATTAAAAGATGAAGCTTCTGTTGCTTATTGTAAAAATTAATCCAGGCATTTTGCAAAATGTCTCGAGTTCGGATCTCGGACACACGTCTGTAGCACGTCCCTGAGTCTACCCAGCGCTAATATGTACCTGACTCAATGCCACCCAGCTCCGACATTCGTTGAAGTAAAGTCAGCTCGGCATAGTACTGACCATACTATCCCTCCAAATACCGCAGCAAAAAGAAATAAACAAACTCTACTTTATTTTACAAAGACTGTGAAGTTCGAAAGGGTAACATAACTTTTTACTTTATACACAACAAGCTTTATATTTAGCCGAATAAATTTCCAAATTTAAATCCTTAAGTAGATCGTGAAACTAATATTTAACAATAAATAATGAATTTTCTAACACCGTTCATAAACTCATGAAACGTTTACAATCTTACGTGAAATTAGAAGTCTTTTCAGAGACAGGGTCTAATTCTTCCTCTAAGTAAGTACCTCCAGTAGAAGTTTATATACTGAAACTCCAGTCAAGTTTCGGTTCCAGCTGACTGGATTTGTTGTAGAGATCTGGACTCGTAGGCGAAGAGAAGATATAATGTTACAAAGGGCATGAGGAAAAACAACCCACGATATCTGTTTTGTTGCGATAGAGTTGCACGCTTTAATACAGGTGATATAAGCATTAAGTCCCGAAAAGAGTGCGTGGGAAGGGGGTGGGTTGATACATACCTCCTGTCTATGTTGTTGTGTTGAGGTACGATATGGTGTGTTGAGGTACGATATGGTGTGTTGAGGTACGATATGGTGTGTTGAGGTACGATATGGTGTGTTAAGCGGAGTGTGATACGCATGGCTGGTACACCCAAATGGCCTTACCAGACCTAAACATAGCTGGTTAGAAGGACAAAGTGTGTACGTTATAGTGTACAAGCTTAAACTTGTACATCAAATGACAGTGGGCATTCCAGTCTATCAACATCTTGATACAGTAGTTACCCCAGTCTATCAACATCTTGATACAGTAGTTACCCCAGTCTATCAACATCTTGATACAGTAGTTACCCCAGTCTATCAACATCTTGATACAGTAGTTACCCCAGTCTATCAACATGTTGATACAGTCTGTACCCCAGTCTATCAACATCTTGATACAGTAGTTACCCCAGTCTATCAACATGTTGATACAGTCTGTACCCCAGTCTATCAACATGTTGATACAGTCTGTACCCCAGTACATCAACGAGTTGATGATACAATCGTTATCTCATTGTGGTTATGTAATGTGTATGAAAGGTGTATACGTGGGATGGATCACAGCGTGTGTGTATGTATCATGTAGTGATGTGCGAGGCCGGGTGTGTTGACGTGTATGTTGTTGTATGGGGTGAACGAGGGTAAAAGGGAATCGACTGGTCGAGTGATAGCGGTTGTGTTGTGAGCGAGAGTACAGAGGTTTGTAGGAATGAATGCGGAGGGTAGTTGAATGTTGGGGTGGAAAGTGAAGATTGATGTTTGTGGAGAATGAGAAAGCAATAGTATTAAACCATCTTGTATTAACTAACTGCAAAGAGTTTTTGTTGGTGTGTATATATACCTTGTCACAACGAGATTCCTGACGCCCTCACACCCAGTATATTCACGTGTTTGATGTAATTTGTAAACTTGAGTGAAATAAATGACAAAGATTAAAAAAAAAGAAACTATACATTTTGTAAGTGATAATTTTGAAATTTTAGATAGCCCGATAACGATGTTGTTAGCCCTGGGGCATATGTAGCTTGTGCCGCATGACTTAACACTGGGCCAACTTGACCTAAGCTCTGCCCACTATGTTGCTACTTAATTTCTGTAATGTTTGCAAACATACTAGAACGGGCTCTGCTACAAGGTGTCTTAGACCAAACTCGACAAGTTACCTGTTTTAATCAAAGGCCAACAAATTATGGCGAACGTTGCGCTGAAAAGTTCTTCATGCAACCCATGCAATCTGAGAAACATGTTTGAAAATATAGAAATCTGTGACCCATTCATAAGCCCATAACGTTTTAACCAAAAATCCTGATTTATATTTAAACCTAAAAATTCCACCAGTTCCAAGGACTGCAAAAGTTAAGTGTGTTAGCGTTACTTTTGTTATTTGTGTTTATATGTTGTCGGCCGGCGAAAGAATTCTAGAAACAGCTAAGTCGCGCCTGGACAGGTATACAGTTCTTTCTCTATTGTACAAGTGTTTTCCCCTTAACAACATGCAGCAGTTTGTAAACAACTGACGCAATTACTCCACCATTAGCGATTAATACGCTGGGATCTGCCAAGTTGGGCAAGGAAATTAAAATACAAAAAAATTATTTAAATACCATGACTTGACCACCCACGGTAATGTTTAAATTAATCACATGTTTTGTGACCCAGCGATATTTTTTTTGGTTCTAGATTAGCCTACAGTTAACGCATACAGCAAAACTAGTTGCTGAAAGTGTGTCCAGGGGCGTAGCGAGGGAGGGGGGGGGGCGGGGGTGCGGACCGCACCGGGTGACACCATTTAGGGGGGTGACACCAAGGCAAAAAATATCAAAATATATAGAGGGGGGGGGGGTGCAAATCGAAAGTTCGAGGGGGGGGTGCAAATCGAAAATTATTTGAAAGTTTGTCCCCGGGAAGGGTCGCTACGCCTCTGGGGGGGGGGGGGGGTTACACCATTAAGTGCCGCACCGGGTGACACCCGACCTCGCTACGCCACTGAGTGTGTCTAAATAAGATGATGTACTTCATGGAAGTCTGCGTGGAGAAGATCGTATAGCTCAGTTTATATTTTAAATATACTTTGAAGTTTAAATTTTTATTATAAAATAATAGATGTAATTTGATAACAAACATTAGTGATAATTAACAAAAGTACTCAATAATACACAATTAGAAACTGTTTGGTACAATATAAACAAAATAATGTATTTCTATTGACCAGTGTTTCTTACAGACTTTTTTCTACGGGGATGGGGGGGGGGCACTTGATATTTTCGGGGGGGGGGGGTGGACACTAGTAAGACTTTTAGTAGACTTTCTTTGGGGGGGGGGGGGCACCGTCTCCCCTGAAGACATGCCTGGAAGAAACTCTGCTAGTGACGCGATTCAAGGTAGTCCCCCAAGAACACTCGCTAACAATTATTGCAGATAGCAGGATTAGTCACAGACAGGAGGCCAAGGGTCTTCATCATCATGTGTGTGGACAGTGTGGTCGGTCAAGAGACCACAGGTCATCATTGGCCGTGTGAGAACGGTGTGGTCGGTCAAGAGACCACAGGTCATCATTGGCCGTGTGGGGACATTGTGGTCGGTCAAGAGACCACAGGTCATCATTGGCCGTGTGAGAACGGTGTGGTCGGTCAAGAGACCACAGGTCATCATTGGCCGTGTGAGAACGGTGTGGTCGGTCAAGAGACCACAGGTCATCATTGGCCGTGTGAGAACGGTGTGGTCGGTCAAGAGACCACAGGTCATCATTGGCCGTGTGAGAACGGTGTGGTCGGTCAAGAGACCACAGGTCATCATTGGCCGTGTGAGAACGGTGTGGTCGGTCAAGAGACCACAGGTCATCATTGGCCATGTGTGGACGGTGTGGTTGGCCAGGAGGCAGAGGCGTAGCGAGGGGGGGGGGCGGGGGGGGACATATGTCCCCGGGCGCCGACCTTAGGGGGGGTGCCAAATTGAAAGGTTGAGGGGGGGGGGTGCAAATGAAAAGTTCGAGGGGGGGGGTGCAAATCGAAAGTTTGAGGGGGGGGGTGCAAATGAAAAGTTCGAGGGGGGGGGGTGCAAATCGAAAGTTTGAGGGGGGGGGGGTGCAAATGAAAAGTTCGAGGGGGGGGAGGTGCAAATCGAAAATTTGCTCCCGAGGGGGGCGCCAAATTGAAAGTATGTCCCCGGGCGCCGGGAAGGGTCGCTACGCCTCTGCCAGGAGGTCGTAGGTCATCATCATGTGCGTGGACAGTGTGGTCGGTCAAGAGACCACATGTCATCATTGGCCGTGTGGGGACGGTGTGGTCGGTCAAGAGACCACAGGTCATCATACACCGTCATGGCAGCTAGCAAATTGCGTACAAGAACTACTCTCTGTAATTACAAGGTCCATTTCTTTACTGTACTAATATTTTGTGCTCGTTTTTTTAAAATCTTGAAATTTTGTTTCAATTTTTTTCTTGCATCTCCATACTTCGTTAAAGGAAAGATTTATAAAACTCCAATAAATTACGTTAATCAAACCTCTCATATATTAATTTATGTTCTTGTGTATTTTTTTTTAGTAATTGTAGTCTCATTGATGTCTAGTAGTAAAATAATGTAACAAGACAGCCGTATATAGGATACATGAAGCAGAGCAAATCTGTCTCTCTAACCTTGGCATTTGAAAGGAGGTGCCCTGTCAAACGGCCCGGGACAAATCGGCCCCGTCAAAACGGCCCCGTTAATTTGACCCCGTCATATCGACCCCTGACAAAACGACCCAGTCAAAATAGCCCCGTCAAAAGGGCCCGGACTTATTGGCTCCCGTCAAATGGGCTCCCGTCAAATTGACTTGCGACATATAGGCTTCCGACAAATGGGCTCCCGATATTTAGGCTCCCGACTAATGGACTCCCGACATATTAACCCCTGACAAATAGGCTCAGGACATATTGGCTACCGACAAATGGGCTCCCGACATATTGGCTCCCGGCAATTGGGCTCCCGACATATTGGCTTTTGACAAAATGACTCCCGACATATTGGCTCCAGATCAATGAATGGCATGACCACTATTGGCATAAAAGTAACCATTTTGTCCTACCTCCAATACCACTATAATTTCTTTTAAATGCCCGAATGAAATTGTTTTTCATGAACCAACATTAATTCACAAACAAATCGAGCCCTTAACAGCTAAATTCCACCAATTCTAAAGTTTTGATAATGTTTAATTTACAACAGAAAAGATCTGTTGCTTAAAAGCGAGCACAGAAGTGTAAATGTATGATATACATGATGTTTATATGATAACAGCATTTTGTTTTGATAACCTACAAGCATACTGCAGGTAGGAAGGTACAGCGTGGACCCTTCTCCCCAAACACTGAGTTGGAACAGCCTATAACCGACTCAATTATGGATGTCATAGATAGATGACCCTTAAATTAAAACATACTATATTTTATAATAGATAACCTAATATAAAAATAAGACCTGCCTAACAATAAATGCATACGTTGTATTACATAAGAGTGATGGATAAGCTAATTCTAAAGAATATTGATGAAGGGGTCCCACTGGCAGGTGTCATATTCAATGAGACCGCTTTGCCGGGAGACTTAGTCTCTACAGAAACGGTATTGTCAGTGGTCCTTTTGTCTGGTGCCAAATTGATAGGAGCCTTTTTGTCGTGAGCCAAAATGACGCTAGCCTATTTGTCGGGAGTCGTAATGACAGGGGCCGTTTTGTGGAAAAAAATTAAATGACGGGAGCCTATATGTCGGGAGTCAAAATGACGGGAGCCTATTTGTCAGGAGCCTAATTAACTGGAGCCATTTTGTCGGGAGCCTATATAACGGGAGACTATATAACGGGAGCCTATTTGTCGGTAGCCTAAATGACGGGAGCCTATTTGTCGGGACCCTATATGCCGGGGTCCATATG